CAGGTAGGGCTGTATAGCGGGCTCATCCGCTCGAAGAGGAAGAAAGGTAGGATAAGGAGGAAGAAAGATAGGTTGTAAGGAGGTAGAAAGATAGGTTGTAAAGAGGAAGAAAGATACGAATAGGTTGTACTGTACGGATGGTACTGTAGTGATGGCGAATGGCGATTGGGGGTGCTTGTGGCCCGCGAAGCGGGCCCTAGATCGAAGAGCTCGCGTAGCGGGCTCTTACGATCTAGTTATGCACACTAACCTGGATGTTCCATCGCTTTTATGACGTGCCATGGTGGATGCTACGCTGTTCGTGCTGGCCTGAGTTGCGCAAATATCAACAATGGTCACTTTCGTCCGTGTCACTAAATTCAATTCCAATCGCATCAAACAAGGTTTGACTGTGATGTCGCCTGAGTCCATGTAACTAAACCGCTACCGCAGCGTTACCGCCATGCGACTCAATATGGCCCCTGAGACCTCCTGTTGCGTGGGCCCTGGCCAGGCCCACCCAGCTTACCTCAGCCAGCCACACTCCCCTATTTCTGGCCTGTACGTTGGCCAGGAATTTCCTCCTTTTCTTCCTTTCTTCAGTAGCCCTGACAATTCCACTACGTTGACCTCTCTTCCTTCCTCCGTCCCCTCCGACGCCTCCGCTTTGTATGTACAAGACACTGTTGCTCATAGTAAAGGCCCACGGCCACAGCGATCCCCCCGGGCTATGACTCAGGACAAGTTCCGAGATGAACGCGTGATGAGCATCGATTAAGCTCAGAACAACCGTCTTATTCCCCAGCCGGGCTTTGCAGTAACCTGTCGCCCTCCCTGTCCCGAGCCTCCAAAGTGAGAAGCAGCCTCATGTTCTCACAAAAGCCTGCCACTAAATCCACATCCTGCCAGGCGTTGGTAAGATCAACAGCGTCGTCAATCGCCTCGATGCATGACTCCACAAATGCTATCCCCAAGATCACCTGTAGTTTCTTGGTAGCGTCACTCCTTACGATAGGGTGGTTTTGAAGCTCATAAAGCTGGTTGCGTAAGGAAGTGAACCGGTTACGGAGGTACCGTCTCTGTACCAGCTCCTCAGGCGTGATTTCCGTGGACATGATGTTCTGAGTTAACTGTTATGGTCGGGTCGGTCAGGAAGATTAGCTCGCTGGCTTGTAAAAGTCTAACCGGTCTGGTTATGTATGCGTTACTCCTCCAAGCTACACGTGGCTGTTTGACCTACCAGCTCCTACCCCACAAAGAGAACAGTTCCTCTCATATCTGATACTGCTAAATCTGAGTGGAATCGGAATCATGAGCGACTCAGGATATCGGCCGAGAGCCACTTCACAATACTAGGAAATGTCTTGGACAATGTGTAGGGTTGTCGAATCCAAGAAGGAAGGGATCCATCTGGCATTGGATATGGATTACGTTCAGATTTAGAAGGAAAGTCCCAGGCTGTTTGCGCTCTATGCTGATCGGTATGTTTCTCTCCTTTGCTCTTGCTGTCTTCCAACCTGAATGCCCACAAGGAAAGGAAAGTCCAACCGAGCCTCATCGCTTCGCGGTAGTATAAACCCCCCCTTCGGAGTTCAGATTTCAAAGCCCATGCTCATTTTACTAGATCCCCGCCATCGTTCTGTAACACGCTTTGAAAAGAAGTGGCATCATTGGCAGCTCGATTCATACAAAGATAGCGAAAACCTTAAGTCCACCTTCTACTGGATATTAGTAATGTCCATGTCGGCACCCTCCAGGAGCACCATCAAGACGATCTCGTTGTACCCAGATAAATGGCAGTAAGCGAGTCTGATACGAACACTGAGGCTTGAATGGGTCATCGCCTGCCTGTGTTTCCCCTTAAAAGCAGGTTTTCCTTACACCAAAGCACGCATTTCGTAAGGTCGTTGTTGGTTGTCCTGCCAGAGGTTTGCAGAACCCACCATAATTTCCAAGTGCCTTCTGTTCTTCTGATCTCAATAGTGCGGTATGAGCCAAGCCAAGAATCACCCCTGAAGAGTAGACAATGGATCCTTTGAGGCTTTGAGCAACACCAGATTGCACCTTGTTCAACGCATCACGGTTTGCCACCCTGTTCAAGCCAAACATCAGCTCCAGCATGCACATGAATACATAAGTAGAGCCTCGGCCTCCCGCTCAAGGGCACTCGTTAGCCGTCCGGTTTTCGCGCTTGTACTCCGCATTCGTACACCGTTATCCGTTACGAAACGGTCGTCGAAACCGGCGTGCACTGGTGCTTAGTATCGAATCCAAACACAGTCACGAGACAACACAATGACCCAAGACGAGCCGGCAAACAAGAAGCGAGAACTCTCCGCACTCCAAGACCAATTTAGTGAGCTTAGCGAGAAACTCAAAGCCAACTTGGGACCCCATGGCAAGCCTATGGTCAGAACGTACCTAGTTGTGCATATGGTTCTGTGGAAGCTGGCTATGTGTGTGGCGGACATCGATGCTGGAGAGCCGCATCGCTCTACCAATCATGGCAAGTCCGTCCAGGTCGTCCTCAGGCGGGTGCATGAAATTATCACGGAGATGGTTTGGACAAAGAGTGATGAGGATGTTGTGGAGGCTGTGGAAGAGGCCCTTGACGCTGTAAACCTGTATACTGCTGGATTAGATGCCTGCGGAGACATGGAAGGCTGGAAGGATGGAGAGGAGGAGGTACAGGGTCGGAAGAAGCAGGGGAAGGAGAAGAGAACCGCAGAGTGGTGGCAATACGAACTCATGGGACTCCCATGCGATGATATTCTTTGAAGGTATTGAGTACTAGAAGTGGGTTTTGGATCTGCGGCTACCTGAGTTGTGCTTCGGCTTGTGGTTCATGATTGAGCAAATCAAGCATGCTGATTCTGGTAGTTGGGTGCACCCTCCTTGAGGAAGTAGTCTGCAAGAACATCATATTATGAACATGAACATGAAAGTAACGGGAGACGCTCGATTGACAAGTCCCGTAGCCATCCATACTCCCAGCACCCGCACGCGAGGCACTAAGTGGCTAGAATACCCAGCATCATCTCTCTCTCCAAATCCCCAACCAGGCACAAGATTACCTGAGATCAAAGTACCGTCCATGTAAGGGATAGCCCCCTAGCAGTCAACATCCCCTTACCCCTTAGAAGATCAAAGCAAGCAGCGCACCCGCCACGGCGCCAAGCACCGTCGTCAGCAGCCCTTTAACCACAATAAGCAAACCAACAACGACCACCTCCAGTGCCTTGACGAGTCCAACCAACGAAAGCAGCAGCGGCAGGAGGTATACAAGGACACAGTCTAAGCAATAGTTAACCATTAATCATCAATACCCCATCACCATAACACCAAAGACAACTCATTAATCAAGAGGGGAGACTAACCAAGACCGAGCTTGACAATGATAAACTTGAGAGTACAAGCAATCTCCCAGACAAGCAGCTGGACCTTGACCGTAAGGCAGTCCTTGTCACAGCCACCACCTCTAGCAACGACAACGGCGCGCTTGGTCAGGAGGGAGGTGGTGGCCGAGGTGAGGGCGTTGGTGATGGCCTGCAGGTCCGGGGCCAGGGCGGCGGCCGCCTCGTTCTGCTGCGCTACGGAAGGGTTGTCCTGCACCGCGGCCGTTGTCTTGTCTAAGGATTGGGTGAGGTTAGTGTTGCTACATGTAGTGAAGTCTCTTTGACTTTTCTGTTTGCAAAAATTTTTGAGGGTGCATAGGGAAAGGATAAGGGGAGGCGGTGTAGGCGGGCGGAGAGTAGGGAGGGACAGGAGGACATACTGATGTTGGCTGTGTGCACCTTGACAAGTTCGGTCAGCTTGTCGATCTCGTCAGCCTGGGTCTCGAGCTGCCGCTTGTCGGCGAGCAAGGGCGAGGCAAGGGCCGAGGCGGCCAACGTGAAGAGGGCGAAGAAGGCAGCCTTCATTTTGACTGAGGTGGGGTTGAGTTGAGTGTGAAGTCAAGGCTAGGATAGAGAGAGAACTGAAGTATACAGTTGAGAAGTATCAACCGAAGAGAATGGACCGGCGGTGCTGAGCTCTGACCCTCTGGTGGTTGCTGCTGCTGAGTTGAGGGGCAAGACATCGACAAAGCAGAACAGTCTGATATTTATGCTTTCCGGGAGATTGACAGTCTGCTCTGTCTGGTTCCCATGTTCGTGCATCTCAACTTGTTGCCTAGATGATTTCCCTGCCATCTCAGCTAGCAGCCACAGAGCAGGTTTCTTTAGTTTGTGGCAAGGTCCTTGATGCATTCTGTAAAATGATTTTAATTCAGATGTGATGTCAACAAGCCCTTCCTCTGAGACTGGTTTGTATTCTGGCCATCACTTCCCTCCCTCCTACAGCACAAAGGGGACGGAAATCTGATTCTCCATGATACCCCTGAAAGAGGTAAGCTGATGCCGATCGCCATCCACAACCAGATGAAGGGGCGATGCTTGACAAGTAGCGAGAAGAGCTGGACGCCCATGGAAGTCCAGTGGTCTGTTCAAGCGCGCTTCATTGGGTCATCAATATCACGAAGAGCTTGGTAAACAGGTTTGGTGCCTCTGGTCCTAATTGCAGCGTAACGTCCTACATCTCAAATGCGGAGGAGAGGACAATAGCCTTGCCGTTCCACTGCAGTTACTGTAGTGTCTGCTTTCAATCGAAGACAGCGAGCTGATAGACTCGGAACGGGATGTCGGAGCCCTATTGGTCCTCTCCTTTCTCGGCCTGCCGACGGAACGCAGAGGTTGCCAAGTCGGTTCAAAATCTATTTAGCACCGCCTATACTAGCTCAGCTAGCGAAGGTGGGAGCAGTATCGGTGGGTGCTACGCGATGATGTCAGATCACAGAGCTGGAAACAGTTCCATAGACATTTACCCCTTATCGCACATTCCCATTGACTTTGCTTTGATCTTCCCTCTCCGGTACTCCGTGTATTTCCAGGGCCGAGGATATGGGGTTCTGGGGCGGTTTGAAGATCTTGCAAATCCTTACCGAAGGTGAGAAGCATCCCCTGAAGAGATCAACAAACTGCAGCGTCCGTTGCGGCTAAGGTAGGATGAGAACCCGGGTTTGGGCGGTGCTCGACAGGCACGACCCGAAAGCTGCGATGGTGGGTTACTTGATAGACGGCTAGACAATAGTCAGTCGCCACTCAACGTGAAGTAGTACATAAACTGGACCAAGTCTGTCCATCTGGACAAAGGGGAGACGCTGTGTAGCGCCCGACGGCAGTCGTGCCATATTGATATTGGTTTTGGCACCACACTCAACTTTCCAACTATGTTCCCTGCAGGCACTATACATTATAGAAATTGGTACCGGGAAAAGGGGGGGGTTATGCATAACGTACAGCGTCTAAGATGCAGCCATAGAAATAGATTGCACAGTCCTCACTTATGGCAAAAACAAGGAATGATATATCGGCATATGTTGAATCCCATCTCAACCGATGGAGTGTGCTGCGGGGGAATCGAGTTTGACGGGCCGAGCAAGAAATCGATGATCGTGTCTGAATTTGAATCGCTTGCCAATACCTGATAATGGGTAGTAAATGCCGAATACTTCTCACTAGAGCCATGTTGGTCAACCTTCATTGACCGACACACTTCCCCCTTGGTACGTCTGAGGTAATGTGGGTCGTGACTCGAGAGAATGAGAGGCAGTTGAATAAAGGTAGGTAGTCTAGGTAGAAATACGTGAAATGCACGCAATGGGCCTCCCTTATGTTTCAGCATCTTGTCCTTAATGTCCTTAATCGGAGGATCTCAGAAATGCAGATATTGAGGATTTAGTTGACCTTGGATATGGGGAATGCACTTACTACTCGAGGCGAGAACGCATCAGGCCACAAAGTCTCTTCTCTTTGGCACTTTGCTGGCATGCGCGGCGTGTGTGTTGGAGCGACGGGAATGATTGGACCGCTGTTAATCCTATGTTCAAAGTTCGGACAAGATTCTCCGGCTCTCAGTGAGCTTCGCCATCCCTTGCGGCTGCCGTTCCTGAGAAACAGCCCTAGCCGAAGAGGCACGGATCGCACAGGGAAAGCGCCTCCTGGGAGATTGCTCGCATACCTCACCTTCCATCACCTCACATACCCACAAACTTACCTCCTGCCTTACCTCGAGTATGCACGGGATTTTGACTTCAAAGAATGTGGACAGCTACTCGGAACGAACAACACCAGAGAGCAAGCCAACAACACAGGGAGAGACCTACTAATATTCAGCCATGGATATTCTCGACAATAAAGATGCTGCAACGCGGCCGAGTTTTTGGCAGTCAGAGTACGGACATGCCGTCACTTTCGACCGTCGATCGAATCGTCTCTCCTCAACTAGAAACAAGGCCTCTCGCACGCCTAAGTTCCAGTAGTTTAGGCCATGCCCTCAATCTCGAGGACTTGGTCACCATCTACCTCCCCAGCCTCATCTCCCTCATCCAAGATGAAGCCGGCGGCCAAAATGTCGACGACGACAGCAGCGCCAGTGACGTATATCCCGCCGCTGCGCGACGGAGCGTGCGGCACCACCCCGCGCTCACAGCAGCCCATGTGGCCGGCGGTGCGGCGCGAAATGGTGCAGATGCTGCGCACAATGCCCGCCGTCTGCTGGGCCATGCTCATCCAGCGCAAGCAGCACATGTCGTGGACCGACACGGCTGGCCTGGTCCTCCACACGCTGCTGGCCTGTCTGGAGATGGGCATGATGATGACGGCCGTCCCGCTGTGGTTCGTGCTCCCTGGTGCCATATTTGCGGCGTGGGTCTGCGTCTGCGCCGCGATGGTCATGGTCATGTGCTGGATGCTCAATGGCAGAGAGCAGACATATCAGTGTCCCAGTGCTGCCGGATCCGAGGGATTGATGATGGGCCATGAGGTGGAAGACGAGAGGTGGTTGTTCCTTGGCGGGATGAGTATGAGGTGTATTTGCCGCTCCTGTCGTATCTGCGCTGTGATTAGTGTTTTCTGACAGCGACAGCTCGAACCGATGTCATAAGCAGACGCTTCCAGTGCTGTCGCGGCTCTTTGGCCGTCCTGTGATGTGCGTCTGCATGCCCACTTACGGGATACCGTTCGACATAGTTACCATGTTGCTCCAACGCTGTGCCCCTATCCCCAGCCCGGCCAGGCAAAGCTTGTATGCGCAGATGCGGTGCGCTTTGCTCGACGACTCGGTGAACCGCTGTGTCATTATCGCCCACAATGACAGCACAATCCTTCTTTCTCAAGCTGCCGCCCAGCTCTGCGCCGATATCCCTGTCGAGAGGCTTTCCAAGCTAGAGATCTACACCTTCGGCGGCCGCCTGTGAGTTTGTGATGCCGCTCGGAAATCTTAGCACCGAAGACGAGCAAGTGCATCAAGCTGGCGAGCCGACGAGCGAACGGCAAGGTATTCATATTGAGCATTTCGCCATGGTCAACGATCCCTTCGCGCAGACGGGCGTCCTGCAAAGCGTCCGGAAAAACATGGATAGCCGGTTCTGCGGCGGCGTGTTTATCATCAACAACAGCAACGAAAACCGAATGCAGACCAGGCCTCCGTTTAAGGCCGGCCATAGGGCTCGGTGGCCGGCCTACTCAGGGCTGCGAGTTGAGGAGTACCTCACAACCCTCTTTCCCGCGCAGATGGCCTCGGCAACAAGTGACAACAACAAAGCAAAGTCCGGAGGCCGCAGCGTGCTGGACAGCGTCCTGGCGATCGACAGGGACTGCGCCGAAAAGCGCGAGATTGCCGCCATGAGCAACTACCACGCTGCCTCGCAGGCCAAGAAAGGCTCCCTGAGCGGCAAGCGCCTGAGCTGGACAGGGTTGGGCTTGACCAATAGCCCCATCTCCGGCCAAAAGAACGGCATGAATGCTGGCTTGGTTGCCCTGGAGATGGCCCGCAAAGACTGTAGGAACTGCGATGGCCACACGGGACGGGAGGTCACCTGGCTAGCTCGCTATGTTAATATCGGTGCAACTGCCGTAAAGCAGACTGCTGATAACATGAATGGGGGTATCGGGAGGACCTCGTGAGGCGGACAAGCCGAGTCGGGCGCTCAACAAGCGCTCTAGAGACTAGAGATGTCCAGGGTGTTCTGGGGGCCAATGTAACTGTCTTCATCTCGCTGGAGTCGCACTTTTTCTTCTCTCGATTCCATCACGATTCATGAATGGTGGAACGAATCGAATAATGTAACTGTACTAATGTCCAATACCTACCTAAGATCACAGATTACCTACTGTTCCTATTTTTCAATATGATCAATTTCCCGCAATTCCAGTCAACGAGCGTGGCGCCCTGTATGTCCACATCCATGGGCCATTTGTCCTGTTTCGTCGGTGAGCTCATGTACGGAGTGTTCGCCCACGTTTCATCCCGAAGAACTTCGTGGGGGTCTTGCCAAAAGACCGGGAGGGTTATGAATATGCACTTCGGAATAAGAGGAGCCCCAAAAGCAACATTTGATTCACGCAGCGGCCCATGTTCCTGGTATGCACTACAATATGCAGGACCCCCTTGCACATATGCTGTGCCTAGTGTAGTCAAACGGATCAAACCAGGTTCCTGGAAAAGTTCGGATCAAACAAGATGATCGACGTGATTTATGCCACGGCCACGGCGCCAGCATGGCGGCGCCCCGAATTCCAGACTCGGCGAGGCTCTGCCATTGATGATTATCCTGGCCCCTGAATGGCAATGGTACCCCGAGGAGTGTGCCTATCGGCGTGAGCTAAGAAGGAGGTCGGGATGATCTAAGCAAATGCCGGAGGGGGACGGCCCGGAAAACGTGTCACGGGTTAAGTGCGCCCAACAGCTCAAGTACCTAACTTCTTCGTAGCCTTCATACTGCTTGTGGGTGGTCAGTAGGGGGTACTGATTACCAGCCTATGGCATGGACTCCACGAGTTACCCAACCCTTCAGCACTGTGCCTACCAACCAGAATGTCAACTACAGATCTCTCACCATCCATACATTCCCCTCCTTCTCCCCGCCGGGATAGACTCGGAACCCAACCTTCTCATAGAAGCCCACGACCTTGTCATTCTCCCCCGCAACCCCGATCTGAATGCCCCTCCCATAATCACACCCACTCCTCCTGACCGACTCAACAAACCTCTCAATCATCTGCCTCCCCCATCCCTTGCCCTGATACCCCTCGAGCAGGTCGATGTGCATCATGGCTCTCCACCCCCTGACCATCTCCTCCTTCCCTTCCACCGCCCCGTCCCCGTCCCCGGAGTCCAGACCAATAAGCCACTCAACCTTGTACGCCAACTGCGCAAGACACGCACCGTTCACCACTTCCTCTTTAGCACATGTAGTCTGACTTTGACCTGCACCATTTTCTTCACCACCCCCACCCCCACCTCTGCCATTACTCCCCTCAGCACCAGTGGTGGTAGTAACAGTCCACGGCTCGCGCCTCGCAAACCCCCTCGGCACCGGCACCCCGCCGTCATCGACCGCAAGCACCTCGGCAATGTACCGTGGGTACTCGCGCTGGAGGGCAAACACGTCGGGCGCGCCAAGCACGTACCCCACCGCGGTTCCCTCCCCGTCGTCCAGCACGAAGCAGTGCTCTGGGAAGAGGTGCGTGAATTGCAGTGTCCATAGGTACGGGGCCAGTTTCACTGCTGCTGGGGAGGCGGCTAGGGACGGGGGGAGGGTCGCTCGGCACTGTGGTCATATATTAGAACTGTTTAGGTCTGTTTGCTCCAGTACCGCATTATCTCGCGAATTTGGGAAATTAAAGTGGCTAAGTCAAGCCCAGCTCAGCGCAGCAAAAGCGAGCAAAAGATGCAGGACAGCCACATCTAGCCACACTTGCCCGTGGTGCCCTGGTGCTCCCATTGGTGAATGTCTGGCTTTCTGGGCTGGGCATACCCACCTTTAATTTCCCAAATTCGCGAGATAATGCGGTATATGGGGTTTGGTGAACTGTTTGTTTTTGGTTGGGTGGCTGAGGGAGAGTCATTTTGTCTTTTTGGGGGTGGGTGGGATTTATTAGGCGATGGAAGCTTGAAGCCCGTGAGGGAGGGAAAAAGGTATTCAAACTTCCAACTCCAAAGTGGAGGAAGTGGGAAGTGCCCATGGGACTACTTCGTAGTGCTATCTGGAAGACTGGAACCTGAAGCATAGGAATCGGGAGAGGAGAGGAGGTCGGGATTTGAATTCCCAGGAAGACTCACAATATGCTTACAAGCTTCAGTATCCTCGGGCTTGAATGGGCGGATGAAGGCCATGTTGCTTGCTGACTCCGTGACTGCCCCCTGGGAGATTTGTGAGTTGGCTGAACAAACACGAAACGTGAAGACAGACCTGTTTCACGAACCAGGTCTGAAGAGGAGGGAGTGGTAACTAACCCCGTTATAACCTAAATCTCTCCGCCCAGGACGACAGATTCAACCGTTGAATTGTCCCAGTGTCCCAAATGACCCCCTCGAAAGGGTAACCCCCTCACTCTGCAACCATGATATCTGGCAAAACCTCGGCTCGGCCAGGCCACTCGGCCCGTCGATGCCGACACGGAGACACTAATCCGGCATCACAGCATCCATCAATCCGCACCATGTTCAAGCAAACACATCTGGCCTGACTGACCAGCCAAACAAATATGGTTTCATATCTTCCATTCTCACTTGAACGTTAGACTACTCTCAGCTATCCCGATCTATGTCAGATCACGACGCCCGTCTTCCAGTATATGTCTCTGTGTAACAGCACACCCAGCCGCCATCCGTTCAGTCCAGCCGAAAACACCTAAACAAACCCTGTCCTGAAATGCGAGAATTACCGCATCCCGGCCTTCCCCGAAAACTCAAACTTGGGAGCGCGAGATATCACTTTTGTCTTCGTCGCGGGCTTCTTAGCAGCTGGTCTAAGAACCCAATATTGAAAGAGCAAAGATAAGACACCAAAGATACGAAACAAATATCGCCTTCGACTTCCGCAGAGCGCTAGGAGGTATCTCACTTTCATGACCTCATGTACTGACGACCGCACCAAACCTCCAAGCCGGCCATCCTTGTAAGATGCAGGTAAAGCTCCCCGAAAAGAAAAGAGGCCAACAAGATCATTGGTAAATAGAAAGGAAAATTTGGTACAGTGTGAGAAAAGAGAAATGGATGAACAGTGTCTGGAGTGTTCAGATCATGCCCCCTGGCATACCCATGCCGGGTTTACTTCCCATACCCGACGTTGCCATAGTCCGACTCGCTGGCGGGCCTTTGGCGACAAATGGTGGGCTGGTATCTCTTGGCTTCCCAAAAGGTCTGGCGCCAGCTTGTGGCATATTCGGGTTGGGCTTCTGCAGCCGCCGCCGTTGGCTTGGTTTGCTGTTATTGTCGTCGTCGCTAATCGAGAAAACGCTCCGATTGTCTTCTAGGCCGAGACTGGATGTGCTGTTGTTTGCCTGGTTGGCAAACGGAAGCCGCGGGGCCGCTAGGCCACCATCGTCATTGGCCATATGCGCCCGCGAGTCGTCACGCCTGCGACGGGGGTTGATGGGCGGCACAGGCGGCGCAGGACCCTGACCTCGGCTATTCGACCGAGATCTTGTCCCATTGCCTCTCTCGGGGACCATGGGCAGTGGTTGCTGTGGATGCGGGGGTTGCTGTGGATGCGGGGGTTGCTGTGACATGCTTGGAGTCGGGATCCGGCTCGCCGGCATGGGGGTGGGTTCTGAAATGTCTCTCTTGTCGATGGGTCGCCTCATTGGGGGGGGAAAGACACCGCTACTAGGGCCAAGCGCTGGTGATTGCGAAGCGGAGGCTTGCCGAGGCCTTGGCCCTAGAGAGGTGGGAGTACCTACTGGTGAGCCGACGGGCCCTGTCGCGAATGGCGCTGGGGAGGGCAAACCCATTGGTGAGATCGGGGAAGGTTGACCTGAATGAGAATCAAAGCCAGGGCGTCCGGCGTGTACTGCGAGATTGCCTGCCGATCTTTGCCACTCGGAGTGAGGTGAAGGCGCTGGAGATGGAACCCCTCGGCCCGGGTAGGGATACGGCGGCATGAGAGGAGAGCCCTTGATGTCAGTTCCGGGCAACCCTGGGGAACGCATCACGGGTTGCCTGGAATTGCCCGGTGCGAGCTGCTCGTACGACGCCGTGTTAGTTCTCAGACGGGGAGGCCGGCTATTCGAACGACCTCCGCTGGTTTCCGACCCACTCCTGTCCCTTCCGGAGGACACATCTGCCGCGGACGAGTTGTAGCCGTGTTCGTCGCTCGGGGCGCGTTGTCTGTAGGTGATAGGGGGCGGTCTCCGCTCCCTGCTGGGTGTTCGTTGCCTCGGTCCTCGATCTGGTCTGGGTGAGACGTTTGCCCCGTCAATCGGCTGCTCGGGAGACTGTGAGGTTTGAGCGGTTTGACGTCGAGCTAGCAACTCGAGCTCCTTGTGCCTTTGTAGTTCCCGACGAGCTTGTCTAAACGCCCTCAAACCCGGGTGACTGGTGGCCTCTTCATCTTTATCCCCTGAAGAAGTCGATCCATTGTGGTTCCCGGCCTCAGCAGAGGGTTGATCCTCCTTGAAACCCTCTTCCTTCATTGTCTCCAAACCTAAAGACTCCTTCTCCTCAGAACACTGCTCTCCCCGCTGCGGGGGGCTGCTCATCGTCCCTCCACCGATGCCTAGCAGCTTCAAGCCTTTGGATTGGCTCGTTGTCGTGGTTCGCGACCGGTCAACAAGCGATCCTCTGCTCGATTTGGGCTTGAGCAAGCCAATTCCTAGGGCATTTGGAGAAGCTTGGGCCGAGGAGTCCTTAGGCAAATCTGACGGCGGCAGCGGGGAAGGGGCTCTGCTGCTATCCGACTCTATGAACGAAGTAAGCTTCTCCCTGACGCGGCGACGGGCTTCGGCAAGTTGGTTGGCGAACTCGTCCATGTCGTCAGTGGCATCACTAGATCGGTTTGGCGTCCTCGAGTCCGAGAGGAACTCCTCCTTGTGTTGCGGCTCTGTGTCGGCCTTGCTGAGCTCGCTCTCGGCAGCTTGGTCGCGGGTTGAGGAAGTCGAGTCCTGGCCGGAGAGTGACCACAAATTGGACTTCGACTCTAGCTCGCTCGCGGTGACAGGCCCCGTTCGAGAATTGGCGACGAATTCCGAGCCGGGTGCCTCGGGCGCAGGAAGATCCATGAATGAATCCAAACTTTCAGTGCGGAGGTGCTGACGAACCAATCCGCTGAGACCTGAAACCGGCCCGAGGGTAGGAGAATCGACCGGCGCTGACTGGGGCGCTTTATCTACCACTACCTCGAGCTTCGGGCTGGGTAGCGGCATGTCGGTTGCTTTCGCACCAATGGATAGAGGAGTCGGTATAGCAGATTGCCTGAATGCGGGATGGTCCATGTCAGAAGGTCGTTCAACACTAATATTTGGACGCGTCGACGCGTTTGGTAAATTTGCGGCCGTCGGAGAGTCCGTATCCGTAACGGGAGTTGGAGGAAGTCTATCTTCTTGCAGTCCCGGCCGCATCCCGGTGACAGGCTTCCCTTCGTGATTCCGAGACCGAGAAGCGCTCTCCATATCAGATTCCGTGCTCTGCCGTTGCGTCGGCGTCTCACGGCCCTGTTGGAGCTTCTTCTGGAGCTGGACGTACTGCGACTCATCGTAGGGATGGGCCGGCTTTTGAAACAGAGCCAGGTCGCCAGTCTCACTGATGGGTGGACTTAACGGAGGAACGCCACCTGGGTTGGGTTTAGGGTCTGCTTGGACCTTGATTCCCAGCTCGAGCGGACGGGTTAAGGGGTTATGAGCGGTAGGGCTGGTTGACCTCAGATTTGGCGCGCTCGCCTTTGTCAATACCACTCGGCTACTACCGCTGCCGGCCTGTGGAGTGGAACCTATGGATTTGTCCGCTGGGTTGGTGGCAAATGGTCTCTGACGAGTGAGGCTTTCGAATCGCGATAATGCCGAAGCCTGTTGGTCCTGATTTTCTTGCCCTAGACCTTGTTCGTAAAGACGCCGTGTTCGGGTGACCATCCGCTCGGGAGCCGGATTGGAAGCAGAACCCGGCGACTGCGTGTCCTTGACAGCCGTGGCAGCCTGTGAAGTGATGGAGGTCGCGGCCGTGGAGTTGCGGGCTGTGATGGATGCTGATGAAGTGGTGGACGATGTCTCGCGCTTTCGGTTGTAGCCAATTGGAGGCGGAGACTCTGACCGCTCTTGCTCTTGCTCTTCTTCCGTCGAGGCGTTGTTCTGCTCCTCATACGATCTCTCCCTCTCGGCTAGCCTCCAGCGTTGGAAAGCTGACATTGCCACGTCGTCATCATACAGCGCCTTGCCAGGCAGTCCTCCGTTGGCGCTCTTTGACCCAGCAGGGATCTTGTAGATCTTCTGCCTCCCACCAAAAAGGTTGTTGCCCTCAGTGGGCTTGGCCCTGGTCATGACGCTCGCGCCCTTCGGCATGTCTGCATCATCAGAGGCAAATGAATTGGTGCGCAGGTAAGGAGCGGCCTTGATGGACTCGACCTCGGCGATGTCGGTTAGCCCGTTAGCGCCACCAAAGCCAAAGTCGGCCAGTCGGGACTGTCGTTTTGGATATAGGACACTGTCATCGCTTGCTTTGCCAATCTTGGTATTCGGGTCGTCCTGCTCCCTCAGCATGGAAAAGCGTGCCGATAAGTTGGCCATTAACAAACTGGTTCTGAAGTCATCAGTTGAAGGCAGGGCAGTTGATAGATCAAACTCCTTCTTGACCTCCTCCTGGGGCTGCTTCTTCCGTCCAAAAACCTTGAACGGCAGCGAGGAGTGCTCCGAGTCTTCGCTCGAGCGACCGGCGGAAGCGTCATCCTTGGCCTTCTTCTTGGTTTTGAACCGATGCATTGTGCCTGAGAGAATCCCTTTCAGTGCCTAACTTGCTGAGATCATCAGAGGCGAGGCAGAGCCGGTACAACAGGGGCTCTGCGAGTGGCGTGTCTGGTAGAAGATGGCGCGTATGCCCTGACTAGGAAGTGCGGTTGCACGAGATCCGCTGCACGTTGACGAACCCAGCCTGGGAAAGCAAGGGACCGTTTAGGAGCTACATCGTCAAATCAATATCAATTGTAGCTTAGTTGCTTGTACACTAGGAACGGGCAATGGTTGGGAGATCTGTGGTCTTCAGGAGTCTGACAGGCCAGCACGAGTCATTTATGCCCGCTGTTCATGATGTACATGGAGGAGATGGAACAGATCCGGGGTAGATGGTTGCTCAAGATTGGAAAACTGAAGCAATCTCACTCACCGAAGAGGGTACCGTCGACGCTGAGATTGCCCGTGGACTGACCCAAATTCACCCCGCTGTCAGGCTGCAAGCGGGATCGCCCACAATGACGCTCTGAAAATGAGCAGCAGTCGGCGAAGAGGCCCGGAGGCTCAAAGTGATGGGATCAAAAGCGCAACTAGGCATGCAATGCACGCTCCATATAGGCCCCGGCTGGCTCAGTGTAGCACAGTGATGCTGTACTAACCCGTCGTTAAAGAGGCAGGCGGCAGCTCTTGGTCGCTCGCGGGTCTAAAATTACTTCGCTGTGATTCGAAGAATGTTGACGCAGTCTTGGACACCTAGGGCGATTGACGTTCGCCTTTGGCCGGGGTATCTCTCGTCGATATTTTTTGTTTTTTTTCTGGTTCGTTTATTCCGCTGGTTCCAGGTTGACTCGGATGCCAGTGAACGAAATGGTATCGCGGGCGCAGAATCAAGGTGCGAAAATGAGTGGACGAAGCGAAGACTGACGGGAAATCGGTAGAAGGAGTGAATTGGCGAGGCGCTTCAAGACTCGAGCCGTTGGAAACTGTGGTTAAGGAATGTGAATGTGGCCTTGGACATCCGATCGTACACAAATTTTGGATCCGGGGAAAGGAACAAGGAGAGGAGGAGAAGCAGGCCAGGAAGCGCACACGCTCAGTTGAAGAGTGGAGGTCAATTGGGACGAACTGCCCTGGAAGCCCGAGAACTGGAGGGCGTGCGCCTAGGAAACAGGCGCGAAACCGGGAAACGGGGAATGCGATTGGCCAGTTTGGGGCCAATAATGGGCAAGGGCCACTAAATCGCTAAAACCAGGAGGTCCTCTCCACTCCCGAAGTTGCTCTGGGACAAATTTGACGCGCCCGTGCACCCAGAGCTTATCCTGGGAAAGAAAAGCCGGCAGGGGGATGGAATTGAAGGTGTGGGTGCAACAAATGAGCAATGGAAAAAGAAGAAATTTTGTGGAATTCTCGGCGGAACAGAGAACGACGTTCCCGCTTTCCCGTGGCCAGTTCATTCTACACTCCACAGTTGCCCGCCGATGGGCTTTTCCCAGCTTTTGGCTCGGCCACACTGTCCGAGACGAGACGGCCTAGAGGACGTAGGAGGATTGCCTTGCATTCTTGCATGAGCAGACTCAAGGGGATGCATCACACTCCTGCCTCAAAAAGTGGTTGCCCGCACTGTGATGGGCTGAGAAAAGATCATCAGAGAGGAAAACCCGGTATGAAGTATTGCTCAAGCAGACAGAAAGACATGGGGGGCCGGTTCCGCTCGTTGGATGATGCGGTATTGCTTAACTTCAGTACATATCGCTACACGGAAGCAAGGTAGGTACTGTGCATGCAGATGCACGTCTAGCACGCCCGTTTTCCGTCCTCCTTTTTTGGCTGCCGCATCCGCCCATCGAGCCATCATAAATTTTGTTCGCCTAGACCTTTTTTCGTATCTGGTTAGACCTTTCTCTATATATATACCAGCGCACTCAACTTATATGCCCAGTTACAAGCTAACCTAGCGCATCGCCAAAATTCCCCCCAATACATAGTACAGCGCATCACTATAGAATTCCTGTCACCCCAACATAGCGCATCGCTATAGAATTCCCCCCAAGCCAGCGGCAGTATTGCCATGTAAACGCCATCGCTATATATAACAAGCCAAGTATAGTAGGGAATTATTAGTATATTTGTTATAGAATATATAGTACTAATATACTTATCTATAGGTTACTTTTCAATTAAATAGAGGTTAGAACCTTATATATTAAGTAAGTAATAGGGAGATTAAAGGAAGGTACTTTAGTATACTAATAAAGTTGGTGTATTGGAAGGTATAGGTCTAACTAAATATAAAAAAAGTCTAAGTAAATAAAAATTTTATAAGCTATAGGCCTTAATAGAGAGCTAGAACCAAAAATTTTATTTGCTTAGACCTTTTTTTATATTAGTTAAACCTTTCTCTATATATATACTAGTATATTCAACTTATATACTTAGTTATAAGCTAACCTAGTATATCGCTAAAATTCCCCCTAATATAGGGTACAGCGCATTACTATAGAATTCCTATCACGCCAATATAGTACACCGCTATAGAATTCTCTTTAAACTAGCAGCAATATCGCCGTATAAACGCCATCGCCACGTATAACAAGCCGAGTATAGTAGGAAATTATTGGTATATTCGTTGTGAGATATATAGCACTAATATACTTGTCTATAGATTGCTTTTCAACTAGATGGAGGTTGGGACCTTATATATAAAGTAGATAATAGGGAAATCGGAGGAAGGTACCTTAGTATACTAATAAAGTTGGTGTATTGGAAGGTATAGGTCTAACCAAATACGAAAAAAGGTCTAAGCGAACAAACTTTTTGGCCGGAGGCAAATGATTCCGGGGGTTTGCGAGGAGCTTTCCAGGTTGTCAGCCGACTCCTGTCACACAGTGTTCCTGGCCGCATGGCCACACACTCTCCCACTCGAGACGCTGTCTGCCTGGAATTACGCATTGTTTCTTCTTGCACAGGCGGCTTTTGTTTGTTCGAGGATTGACTCGAGAAGTCGTCCTGTATTCGTATATTGTCACGTTTGTCAAATGATATTGAATAGCGGAACCCCTACGCCCTTCACCCTTCAGTCAGGCGTGGCGATTTTACGGACCGAGTCGAAACGCGAAAGCAAACTGCAGAGCGCAGTGCGACCTTGAACAACTCCCGAGTCGAGACATTGTCTCTTTGTCAATCGGGTTGCCGCAGCTCCTCAGCCACAATGGTGGCATTGCGCTTGGATATCATTAGCGCTTAAGCAAATGAGGCTACCTAATAACTCAACCAAGCTTCCGAGTTTCGACAGGCATCACTCTTGCATTGTACGGAGTATGTACAGTACACCGGGGAATGGCTACGGCCATGTCGCTCGCCATTAAGATATTGTTATTTTCAGCTGCAAACTATGTTGTGTAAGCTGTGCGCAACCTGCTCTCCCAAAGAAGCATTTTCTCACGATAACCATTCGTATCGTTCAGGGGCTGGCAGCACCAGCTCAGGGGCATTTCCTGCATAGGAGCATCTGTGACTGGACGGGCAGGCATTGCCAACACAGTGGCCTGCTTTACGCTATCCGCACTCCCACGGCGTTTGCCGCACCATTCCCGTCCCACCACCACGGGTCGGTCAAGCCTTCCGCGATCCAATCAGACAGCTGTGCCTGACGCTTGGCCGTTTATGGTCTGGCGCGGTCAGAAATCCGATCTCCACTCGCCAAGAGCAACCCCCTTCAAATTTCCCGTCGCGCTTCTGTCCAGGGAAAACGAATGTCAAAGGACAAACCTCGGCTGGCAAGGCAAAGGAAACTCGATGACGTTATTGACACTGACAAACTGGACATTGTAGGGTAGATTGGAAGACCGAAGGACTCGAGTCGCGATTTCAGGGGGGTCTGCCTGCTCCTCTTTGTTTCTTTTCGCGTTCAATTCAGCGCGGAATGTCTGCAGATGGGCTGTTAGGTAAGTTAAGAGGGGTTACATATGACAGTCAACGCAAAGCAGGTGCTGCTAGCAAACAGTCACTGCAGCCCGGCCTTCCGCAGCATTTCATTCATCAAGCTTCGCCGCTGTGGCGAACGCAGTGCATTTGGCCGGTGACAAGGGGTTGCGGTGACTGTGGATTCATCCTCGCCTCACAGGCGTCAGTTCAGGGCTGAAGCCCGGCCGACGGAGTCGCGGCCTCGTGGTTCCCTGGTTCATTTCCGTTACTCTGGTAATCAGTGGGGTTAGCCAGGCTTGACAAGTGGAGGGATCATCGACCGATGGAGGCCTGGAGGAGAGAAATCTGCGCAAATTCTGATATTGCCAGGCCCATCGTCGAAAATGGTCTCGTGCCAGTCGCTGCCGATGTTCCCCTTCCCCAGGATTTCCGTAGGGGTATGCGGCAGATGCGAAGCTTGACGTTATTCATGGATAGCACTCATCGAACCCGTCCAACCTGAACGGATCAAATTTAACTTACTTACCTGAAGAAGTTCGGATGACGACTGCAACCTGGAAGCAATATTTCGATGCAGGTTGTCAGGATAAGCGAGAAGCACAGAGGCATCTGCCGGCATTGAGACGAGGCACTGACAGAACACCCGAGGGTAAGGAATGCGAGGAAGAATGCTTAATGTGCCGTGCAGCGCAACTGCAGGTCAACGGCATTGGATGATGGGTACCTTCCGGCCGTGTCGGCCGTTTGTCTGCACAGCTGCAAACGTGAAATGTTACACACACCCAAATGGCATATTGGCATCCCGTATAGCACACCATCTCAGTGCAACAGCCGAATGTTCATCGTCGCGTGCAGTACATCGTTTCCGATGCACATCAAATTTAGGTACCCATTTACTCATCTTGAAGAAAACTGAAGGTGTCCTCGCTGTGATGGAATGGGCGGGGAAAGCACCACCGCCACTGCAGCAATTGTGGCTAACTTTAGTATGTACTGAGCTCGTTGCAAGGCAAGAGCGCTCCCTCTCCTTCTACCATCTCGTTCGGGCAGCAAGATTGGTCTTCGACAACTGGAAATACAGCCAACTAGGCAACAACACAACACGGTAATTTCTTCCTCTGATCGGCCTGCCATATGCCTAATTGGGTGTTATTCGCGGATACGGCGGACTCGATTGGTCCGGCTCACATCCCGGTGAGACGGGAGCGCTAGGCCGAACTCCCGGCGTCCAGATCATCGGGTCCGCAGCGACCAACGAACAAACGGATTGTCGTTGGTCATACGGGCGGGGTATATCCTACAATACCTACACAAGTCGTCTGTGTAGCATTGACTTCTCTGCAATGCCGCAATGGAATACCTGAAAAACGTTTACAACAGGCTGCATCGGAGTCTCCGGCCGTCCTGTGGCCGTGGAGAGCAGGTTGTTCTCAATACCAAGACAGCCTTGACCGCTTTCTGCGCTGTTTCCTCGTCGCAAGCAGGTTCGAATGTCGCTGCCCTCCAAGACGATGTCTCTGAGCTGCCGTATTACGGCCGCAGTCCACCGGTTTATCCTTCTCGTAGGTCTTTGCTTTGGCTCGCCGCCCCCGAATCTTGGTCCGGTCCCCGTTAACTAATCCGGCACCGGAGCCATCGGCAATGGCTCCACCAACTCCCGCTGGGCCGCCGCCTACGGCCGCGCCCATGCCCTAGTCTCCCAGATGACGGTTGAGGAGAAAGTCAACATCACACGTGGCTGGCCTGGCATTTGCGTCGGTAACACCGGCGAGGTGCCTCGTCTCGGAATCCCGGCCTTGTGCTTCGCGGACGCTCCTGACGGCGTCCGAGGACAGGAGTTCGTGTCGGCTTTCCCGGCAGGCATTCATGTGGCCGCCACGTTTGACTGTGATCTCATGTACCAGTACGGCCGGGCGTTGGGAAGTGAATTCTACGGTAAAGGCATCAACGTTGCCTTGGGTCCCGTGGCTGGTCCGCTCGGCAGGGTTGTCAGGGGTGGCCGCAATTGGGAGGGCTTGAGCAATGACCCCTATCTGGCCGGCGCTGGCATGGGTGCCATTACTCGTGGCATGCAAGATGCGGGCGTGATCGCCACACCAAAGCACTTCTTACTCAATGAGCAGGAGTTCCGCCGCAGATGGACCCCCATGGGCCATGCCATAAGCGCCAACGTTAACGACCGTACTCTGCATGAGCTGTATGCATTCCCCTTTATGGACGCCCTGCGCGAAGGAGCCGGTGCAGTTATGTGCAGCTACCAGCGCGCCAACCACTCATACGCATGTCAGAACTCGAAGCTCCTGAATGGCATCCTCAAGACCGAGCTCGGTTTCGAGGGCTTTGTTGTCAGCGACTGGGATGGCCAGATGTCTGGCGTGGCTTCAGCTAACGCTGGCCTGGATCTCGTCATGCCAAATGCCGGCTTTTGGGGCGAGAACCTGACGCAAGCGGTGCATAACAGGTCGGTGAGCAACGAACGCATCAGCGACATGGCGACTCGTATCCTCGCATCCTGGTATTATCTTGACCAGGTGAACACCTACCCGCCCCCGGCCGTCTACTCCAACACCCAGAAACATTTTCCCGTCGATGTACAAGAGGACCATGCCCGTTTGATCGAGAAGATCGGCGCTGCCGGGACTGTCCTCGTCAAAAATGTCAATGGCACCCTGCCCTTCAAGAAACCCAGATTTCTCTGCGTTAATGGCTACGACGCAACCATCAAAGGCAACCCATGGGAGAATCCAGCGCGGTTCGGCGGTGGGTACGAGGTCAATTCTGGCTGGAACACACTCAACGGCACTCTCATCACCGCCGGCGGCTCCGGAGGAAGCACACCGCCCTACGTCGTGTCCCCGTTTCAAGCTCTGCAGGAGCGCGTGACCATGGACAGGGGCATTCTCCGCTGGGACTTCTACTCGGAGGACCCGACGCCCTACGTCAACGCCGACGCCTGCCTCGTCTTCATCAACGCGTACGCGTCTGAGAGCTTCGACCGCACCAGCTTGACGGATGAGTTCAGCGACCGGCTGGTGCTGAACGTAGCCTCCAAATGCGCCAATACCATCGTGGTGATTCACTCCGCGGGTACGCTTATTCCCTTCCCTTCTTCTCTTCCCTTTCTTACCCCTGACTTACTCACCATCCATTTCCTATCAACAGGCATCCGCACCGTCGACGCGTGGATCAACCACGCCAACGTCACAGCGGTCCTCTTTGCAGGCCTGCCGGGGCAAGAGTCCGGGCACAGCCTGACGGCCGTCTTGTACGGGGACGTGAACCCGTCTGGCAGGCTGCCGTACACCGTCGCGCGGTCCGAAGCCGACTACTCGGAGGCGCTGCTCAACTCGAGCGTCTCGTTCGACCCGTTCCCCGAAGCAAACTTTACCGAGGGCCTGCTGCTCGACTACCGCTTCTTTGACCACCGAAACATCACCCCGCGCTTCGAGTTCGGCTTTGGCCTGTCCTACACCGACTTTGCTTACGCGAACCTCTCCGCCTCGCTGCTTGGTCCGGATCCCTCGTCTTCCGGAAAAGTCAGCGTGCCGGAGTATACGGATGATGAAATACCCATTGTCCAGGGCGGACATCCGCAATTGTGGGAGGTTGTGGCCCTGGTCAAGTGCGCTGTGTTGAATGTGGGCAAGGTGGATGGGGCCGAGATCGCCCAGCTGTATGTGGGCTTCTCCGAGGCGGCGGAGGACGAGCCGGTTAGGCTGCTCAGAGGGTTTAAGAAGGTCGGACCGCTTGTCCCGGGTCAGTCCGGAGAGGCTATTTTCGAGCTGACCCGGCGGGATTTGAGTGTCTGGGATGTGGTCAGGCAAAGGTGGCGGTTGAGGAGGGGGACATATCGGATTTGGATTGGGGCTAGTAGTAGGGATTTAAGGCTTGAGGGGAAGGTGATGATAGAGTGAGGGCTTTAGTGAGACTCTTAAGATTGGTATGTAGGTCGGGATCCTGGGCGTTCCTTCGAGTGAACTAGCATGTGTGCAGTGCCTGGCTTGCTTGAGGCTGGTCGTTGGTGGGTCCATAATATTCATCATGGCTGGTATATAAGACTTTATCCCCGTCTGCTATGCATTGCGAGATGCTTGGAATTTGCTAGACAGTCGCCTTGGATTCTATAGTGGTGTCGGATGGTTGATCCTAGTTGAATTTCCTCACTTGCTTGATCATCTTCATGGGTCACATATAATCTACATAAAATGCAACAGGATGTTTGGCTGGGTTGGTGTCGACCGTCACGGTGAATGGCGTGTTGCACGTCGAAAAGTCTGGAATCCTAACCAGAGATACCCCTCGTCCTTGATTCCATTCCATCCTGTGCTATCTGACTCTACTTTCCCCGGTTCTCCTGTTCGCGTTAAGAATGAATTCCATAGTAGGGCGTAATGATAACCCACACCTCTTCTAACTAGGAGTTCCCGGGCCCGGTGAGATGCAAAGCCGCCGCGAGCATCGGCAGGAGCAGTTGTTCGCACCCTGGATGGTGTGCAAGGTCTCGCCGCGGACTTTGTCCTTGAGTGGTGAGATGCGACTGCCTATCGCGTTCACTGCGGAGAGATAAGGGAGGAGGCATGGGAGAGAGCGGCCCAGACATGTTGAGTGGGAAGGAGGAACCGGGTGGGAGAGCGTGTATTTATTGGGCCACTGGGGCTTGTCTCTTCGACTCTCCTCATCCCTCCCACAACTCTCAACCGCCTACAATGAATACACCCGATTCTTCAGTGCGTTCTTCAGACATGGCCAACAAACACCGACCCAGATGAGTTTGACTCTTTACAAGACCACGAGGACAGCCAACCTTGTAGGTCCAGACATTCGGACAGTGACAGCGAGCCAGCAGCACGGACAGGGACGAGCTTACGCCTGCTCGACACACGGCTCCAAGCCTCCTCCGGTAGCCACGAAGCCAGCCCCGCCGGTAAGTTGAAGAGACCCTTGGCTGGGGATGGCATCAACTTACAGTAAACATAGACAAGTTGGATCATGTACAAGACGGCGTCAGCCTACCGCCTCGCCGGAATAAGAGACGTTCAGAAGAGGACGGCGAGCCCAAAGCAGAGGAAAAGGCCAGACTTCGTTTTTGGAACCAGGGTCCGCCCCGAGGCGACCGGGGAGACTGCTTTCGGGGCTATCGTGTGCGAGGAAGAAAGCGCTGGGCCCGACACACGGCTTCGACCCGATGAACATGATATTTCTGGACACGGTGGTAAGCTGGAGAGACTCTTGGCTAGTGATGGCATTGGCTTACAACCGACAGGCTCTGTTAACGGAATTGAGTCTCAGCCAGACGCAGACAACCACGAGTCTCTGCCATCCGGTGATGATCGAAATGGACATGCTGGTAAGTCGAAGAGACTCTTGGCTGGAGTGGCATTAGCTCACAACAAACATAGACACAGATGATGACGAGGAGGGTGTTCTCAATAAGTATAGCAAGGAAGAGTACGACCTCTAGACGAGGAGAGTGTTCCATTAAAGCAGAGTGAGGAAGAATACGACCTCTATGGGGACCATGACGGTCCCGAACCCACCAATGACGACGCATCGAGCAACCAGACACTTCTCACTCTCCCGGCATCCGATCAGAGGCGGGATCCATCACTGGTCCTCCCCGAGGGGGAATCGAACTGAGGGCCTCTTTGGGATGCTTCTCCTCCCATTCCACTATGCTACACTACCAGTGGGGGGTGAAAGTAGGAAGGGGACTTGGCTTATAACCCACTCTGGCTTGACTCCTGCTGCACTGTGAGGAGGTTGGTCCCCTTGGTCAGCTGGGCCCTGGGGTCTTCGAATTCTTTGTTACCATCGTTGAGGTCTTGATCGAGCTTTGCGCAACCACAGTTTCCAGCTTACGCTCAGCCTGCCATGTATACACCCATAGCGCCTCACTGGCTGTAGTTACTGAACGGCTTGATTATCACTTGAGTCGGCTCCCTTGACTGCCATGTAGAAGATTCCTTCCCCAACTCCCTGTCTAACTCCTGCGGATTCTTACTCTTCCCACAACGAGCATTATATACGGCGTACAGGAATACCACCACAGATAGGGTACTCATACATCATAATTCATCAGCAAGCCTCAGCCTCTCGCCTACCATATCAACTGCAGTGTGATTGCCGCTCACTCCTCCTTGACCCTCCCCTCCCCCTCCTCCCCATCGTCCTCCTCCAGCTCATCACAATCCGCGCCCCAATCGCGCCACCCCTCACCCCTGACCCAACTAATCCCCTTCCGCCACCCTTGCTCGCGAACCGCTTTCGCATCACGCTCGTACACCATGCCCGTAACCATCAGCGCCGCCACAAACACCCAGACATCCCCGCCGCGCATAGCCCTCCACCAGCGTCTCTTGACGCCCACCTTCCACAAACTCTCCACGCTGACCTTTGCGCTAGCCAAAAACACGCTCCTGCTCCCCGGCCGCCCCTGCATGAGCACGGCCCACCAGCCGGCCAGGAACCCGCCAAGCCAGAACCTGCCCTGGGGCAAGAAAGCGCGCGGGAACCAGGTCTGAAAGAAGCAGATCGACGACCAGGCCGTGGCGAGCGAGCCCGTGAGAAACGCCGACATGCGCAAGGCGGTTGCAACGAGCCGGTGGAGGGTTGACAGCGGGAAATGGTAGAGCTGGCTGAGGCGGGGCAGGAGGAGGGTTGCCGAGTAGACGACCAGGAGGAAGCGCGTGAACTGCGGGAACGAGCGGAGCCAGAAGGTGAGGAAGGTGCGGGAGCAGGAAGGGTCGTCCGGGTGCAGGGCGGCGCACGACAGGGAGGTGATGAGCGGGTGCGCCGGGGAAGTTAGTGGGGAGATGGTGGATAGCGACGCGGGGAGTATGTCCTCTTTGTTGGGGAATAGGATTGGGGAGATGAACGGTCTGATGCGGAGCGGTCAGTTAAGATGGGTTGCCTTCCAAAAGGGGGTTGACTGAGATACTCACGGCCAGTTGAGACGCGCCATTTGCGCGAGGCTGTCGACAATCTCGCTGGCCTGGGGCCATCGGAGGTATGAGGGGAAGAACTCCGGCCTAGGCTGCAGGTATGTGCTGGAGTTCTTGAAGATGAGGTTGCCATACATCTAGTAGACTCCCAGTCAGTCTCACACCTTAGGACCCCAATACCACGCGCACTGCTGAACTCACCGATGGAAAACACTCCCGATCAAACACCAGCGCATGGAACAGCTGTCCAAAGGCAAACGGCTGCATCATCCAGCTGCCCCACCACGACGGGCGGGACCGCTTTCTGTCGGGCTTGCCGTTGGCGCCCTTCTCCCACCCCCACACCATGCCGTTTTCCTCGGCACAGTTCCATCCGAATTCGAGCGCGCGGAACAGCATGTATATCGCGATGGACACGCGCAGCTGGCGGCTGGGATACACGCCCAATGCCAGGCCGGCCAACGAGGCGCCCACGGCAGGGGCATATGGCGACGTTAGCGTGCTGGCCGTTCTCGGGTTGCGCATCCGAAAAGGTGCTGCCGACGGATCGAGAAGGTGGGCGCGCAGGCGCGTGAAGAAGCGGAAGAGAATCCGGTACAGCAGCAGGATTGTGCTAAGAGACAGGGAGAGTCGGAGTGTGGGCGATTTATGCAGAGGCTGCTTCTTTTTTGTCTTTGATGCGGGACTAGCATGATAGTAATTGTGTTAGCTCCCGTAGATCCGTCCAAGTCATTGAAATTCAACATACTCATCCTTCTTCCCCATCAGTCTCGCCGATACCACGTCCCAAAGCTTCATCAGCGCGCCCGTCGCAATGAAGACGCGGATCGAATGCCGGACCGCACGAGCATTGTAGTCATCAGCGCCGCTCATGCCAGACACTTTATCCTCCTCCGCTACTTTGCCTTTCGTTCTTCGTTTGTCCCCCTTGCTCATAGACTGCGCGCGGCCCCTGGCCTGGGGTGCGCCGTCCATGATCCGCTGCATCGCGTCCACCGTCGGCGCGCGTTTCTTGAGCACTCGCGACCGCGAGATGACGTACTTGTGGAGCAGCGCATACTCTCGTGCGGATATGGTGTATCGGAGGGCGTTGCGGAGAATGGGATCTGACGTCGACTTGGCTGTGACCGCTGGGGCGCTGCTGGCAGCCGGGCTCCTGGAGCTCGAGGGCCCGGCGGGCGAAGCCATTTAAATGAACTGGTCTCTTGAACTATTAGGAGGTTGCAAGGGCAGGATGTGGTTGTGGTCGATGGATGCGTTGAAAGGGGAACTGCAGTCTCGATGATTCTCCCAGCCACGTCGCGTTGGTGGTGTTGGCAGTAAGATTGGCCTGATGCAGTGTTCGTGCTGAATCATGCACACGCGTCGCGTTGGTCTGCCGCCGATGCGCAAGATATATCGTCAACTGATGACGGTCCAGGCGTGCAATACAGTCGGCGACACTTGCTTGTCTCAGTACCAGAAAAGGGGACAAGTTTGGATATGCATTGACTTGAGTGGAATAAATCACATGTGCTAGCCTCGGTTCTCCCACGTTTCATGGACCATCGCCCGAGCAAGGCCAATGCTCTTCCCCTGTTGGTGTACGCCAAGACCTGGAAGAAGCCTCGAAGCTTCCCCACACACCCCACATTGAAGATTGAACCGACTGGGGGATGCGTCATCCGATGCCATCGTTCACAACTTCCCTGCTCATCAGTCTTGCAGGATTTGCGAACCAGGAGCATGAGACTCGCAAGAAGTATCTCAACGGGATGATCTGTATTCATTTTCGACCATCTCATCGGCCAACCGATGGTAATCGATATAGTAAACTGAGGCACTAGGAGCCATTAACCACACAAAAGCCAACATCAACGCCAAAATCCACTTGCGCGCCGTCTCACCCGGAAGCGCGCCCGGCCCTGTACTCTGTAGCTCCCCCTTTTGGATAGCATGACCGAAGAAATCCACTCCGAGATGCTTTTTGTATCCGTAACGTCTTTCGAGAACCGCCTCTTCTTTTCACCCACCGCCCTATTTTTGTCCGACGAATCTCATATGTCATTCCCGAGTCGTCGCCCATTCCCTGAATGACAATCACAAACATCTTATGAACAACAAGAGTCCACCATAATCCATCTGCCGAAGGCCCTCATCGTCCCGTTTACTGCCAACACAGGAAACGTGACGCGCTCTCGAAACGCTCGAGGCAGTCGGCGTTTCACGAGGTCCGTTCCAGGGAAGAGACCAGAATCGATGTGGCGGCTCATCTAACCCCAATACGACGGCACCAGAAAGCATCGTTCCATGCGTGCCGGCAAAGCCGAACAAGAAGAGAAAAAAAAAAAGACTATCGAGTCATAACATACCCATCACCTTCTAACCCGCCCAACTATGGACAGGCAGTTTTGTGTAGCCGCTCGACTCCAGACGCAATGCAGGAAAACCAAGATGACGAAGGAAGCATGTATCAAACAACAGGGGAATAAGAAAGAAGTTTATGCTTGGAGGGAATAGATGTAAACGACAAGCCCGAAAACCGCCAAAACCCAATTCCCATGGTCATAAAGTCGTGGGCAAAACTCGGGTAGTTAGGTCGTGGTCCCAAGACCTTTCAAGCGCCGAGACTGGCCGGGCTGCCTCTTGTCCAGGTCCGAACAAGGTATGGCAGGTCTCCGGAAAACACCTCTTCCTTAAAGCCCATGTTGCTCACCCAGTAATCATCCATATTCTCCACGCTCGGAGGGGATGGCTCGGACTCGACTCGTTCTTGGTACGCCCGGAGGCGTGGGTCTGCCTTCTCTAGGGCTTTTAAGCGTCTATACTCCCTCTCGGCGATGATATCCGCGATTAAGCTTTGCCGAGAAGACGGGCTAAAGTCTCCAGATGACTTGCCCAGATGCGGATGCTCCAAAATCTGCTTCAAAAGCTCAAAGGGCAGGTTGAGAAGGATCCGCGAGAGGATCGCGTCGTTCGGAGTTGAAACCCGCGGTGATCGGGCGTCCTCAGAGGACTCACTGGGCTCGCATCCGTTCTTTGACGGCGATATGTCCCCGAATTTGATCTGAGACAATCGAGGGTTGGCGGATACACGGGGGTTTCGTGGCATCTGGGCCTGAGTATTGGAAGATTGCCGACTATGAACCCCGCGGGATGTGCCGTGAGCTATGGTGGGCGCGTTGGGATCACGAGTCGGGAGGCTAGCAGGGGGGAGGCGAGGGAAGCCGGAATCGCTAGCATTGACGTCAAGGACGAAGTCAACGGGAAAATTGTGCACAATGAACAACACGATTCGACCGAGGAACTCCGGCGCGTTGAAGGCCGCATTCCGCGGTGGCACGGCTACCATCCGAGAAGCGAACTTTACCGCCAGCTCAATCGTATTCCAGAAGAGAAGGCGGCTTGCGTGCTGGACAGCAACTGCGTGCAATCCTCCAAGCTGCAAGTAGCGGGCAGTCGCAATGTAGCACAGGGCGGTCTTCAAATCGTCACGGGCATCTCGAAGGCGCATATCGGTGGGGAGGATGCCGTCAGCCAGGCTCCAGCCGTAGAGAGTGCGCAGGGAATACCAAAATACATCTGGCCGCATGTACTCGTCGTGAAGCTCGAGGTAGATGGCCCCGCCTGGCATCGTGCGCTGCGCCTTCATCACCCCAGCGAGTGTAGGGCTGCGGGAGTAGACGAACCGATGGCCGTGGGTTCTCAATACACGGTGGAGCTGCCGGTAGTCGGGATGGTCCTGAAACTCTGAGCTTTCTGGGAAACGAACTTCGAGGGTGCAGTCATTGAACGTGTCGTCGGAGATGCCGTGCCGCAAAAATGCCAATGACTCGTCTTGATCGCGGAAAGATTGATAAGCTGAAACCGAACCAGCGACGGCGTGCAGTGTTCCGTTCATGGGTGGGCCGGGCGGCGGCACCGGGACTTGTCCCATGGGGTCCGCAGGGTATCCGTTATGGCCGTTGACGGTGGGGTAGGGATTGAGGGCATGTTCCTCGGCCTGCGCCGACGATTGCGATCCTTGGAAGCTATGGGGAGTGGGCGGCCCGTGATGGTTAATCAGATTCGGGGGGTAGCCATCGAGATTCTGCGACACAAGGAGAGGGCGCCCATACCCGTCGACAGGCGCCACATGCGGGTACGGCAACATGCCTGGAGGAGGAAAGCCGCTGCCGCCCGAATGAGGTGCAGGGGAAGATGCGTTGGAGTCGTGGTAAGCCCCGAAGATGAGGCTTCCATTACTAGGGTGAGGTTGGTGGAATGTCGGCCGATTCATGATCGCAGGGTGCGGCGCGGGAACGGGTGCTTCAAGGACCGGGCCGGGGGTGGTCATGGCGTCGGGTGCGGGGTTCTGGACGGCGGGGAATCGGTGGGCAAGAGACACAATGCGACGGTCAGGGAAAGCGGAAGAAACCTTAGGCGTGTCTAAATGTGAAGATGCGTGAGCAAGAGCTGAGCAATGCAAACTATGGGCGGTGAACTCGAAACAGTAACCGGCAGAAGCCACCGGAAGCCCGACTGGGCGGAGAGCCGGACAGTCGCACACCCAAGTCGCAAGTCCCAAAGTGAAGCAAGAGCAAGTAGAAGCATACCTTTCGCGCGTTCATCAAGAGTCACGTCTGGCTCTGAGGGCTCTGCCTTGACAGCTGGCTTGGCTGAAGCGGTAGAAGACACTGAATGATCGATGCCGTTTTCAACGCTGGGGCCAAGGCCGGCAGCATTTCCGATCAACTGTTCTTGGCGCTGCGAGAGGTGCGTTCCTGTCTTGTCATCGGTCGCTGAGAGCCCAGCTTGGTCACGGCCCCGAGGTAAGGGTACGGCTTGGGCCGAGTTTTGTTTGGTAGCCGGGCGCTGCGGGTAGTTGAGGGGCAGCACGGGGACAACCGGCTTGGATACGGCTCGCCGGGTTCGTGGGGCCGCGCCCGCAACCCCATTGACAGATGACATATTGCAGAGGAAGGTACCAAGGGAACCGGCGCGCTCCCTTGGCGGAAAGGGAAGTGTAAATTGGCGGAATATAGAAGGGGGCGGCGGGACACCAAGGTCGAAAAGAAGGTCGAGAAGCGAGTTCAATTTTTGGGATAGGTAAGCCCGATCCTTTGGCGGCGTGAGGCTTGTCGAGCTTGACCTGTGCGACGCGCTTCCTAGCTCTTTGTTTGCGACTCATTGATTAGCAAGTGACAAAGCAACAGCGCCGATCAAGGCAGGGGGAAGTACCGTTCGTTTTCAGAGCAGCGAGCGAGAGGGAAGCGGGGCGGCGTGACGATTCCGCTTCACGTCGAAGTTTGACGCCAGTGATGCGGGCCGTTTGCGTGCAAGCTGGCGGGCAGGAAGCGTTTGGCCCGAACAATTTGACTCCCCCGCAAAAAAATTGGTGCTGTGCTCGGATTGGTGGGCTGCCTTGCATTGTGGGGCTCCTGTCTCTTGTTGAGTCTGCAATCTTCCAGTGTGCTGACTCACCCCTCCAACATCATCATCACCGCTGCTTAACCACAAAGTTGCTTGTTTCGGTCGGGATGTCTGCTACATAGCAGTGAATGCAACTTTGTATTATTTGTTGGGATCATCAAAGATTACAGGAAATGAAATAGTTTACATTCCTCCTGCTCAACACCTTACGCAGCGGAGCCTGTCCAGAGTACAGGATACTGACCTCAGCCTTGTTCTTGATGCGTCAGGCTAGGTAGGTCCCCTAATTCACCGAATCCTTAGATCAAGTATAAGATACATCATGAGAAACAACCCAAGCATGGCTTCTACTTTCCCATTGCTTCTGCTGCCCATCGTCCGAATCATGCTTTGAAGGCAAGCTCCCTTGACCCTCCTCAGTGCCATTAGTCCCTACACTGGACACACTTCCATTCTCGACACCCTGGAGCAATGCTGGAGGACAGCAGAAGCGAGCAGCGTGAGCAGAATTTGGTGAGGTCATACCCGATTCTCACTTGATTTGTACATACACAGCGTGGCCGGCGCAGACGTTCTATCGACTTTTTCTGATCTGCCAAATTGCTAGACTACTCGCAGCAATTGCATGATCTCGTCGGCTTCATAGAGCTCCTACATCATATACTTTAGAGGCCTGGGCTCTGTAGTTGAGCTCATGAACCGAATTCAGGCTCAGTACAGCGGCCTGCTGTTTTGGAAACATCGGCTTGGTTGCTGCTACCTCAAATGAGCTCGTCATGTATGGTGTGGTCGATCTCCGCCAGCTGCTGGAGTCCATCATGGATGGGAGTTAATCCAAGATCGAGACTGAGTCTTTGCAACGGTCTGGTATCAAACACCGAGCTACATACGTCAAGGTTCACTATCCTTGGAGATGAGAAGTTGGATCTCAGAGTTCAAACACCAACTAATGCAATGTACTCGGTGAATTGTGCAGGGCGAGAAAAAGTGGTGGGCAACAACCAAGCGACCCTCGATGCCTGCCCCTTCAGGTTACTCATGTATGGTGTGGTCGATCTCCGCCAGCTGCTGGAGTCCATCATGGATGGGAGTTAATCCAAGATCGAGACTGAGTCTTTGCAACGGTCTGGTATCAAACACCGAGCTACATACGTCAAGGTTCACTATCCTTGGAGATGAGAAGTTGGATCTCAGAGTTCAAACACCAACTAATGCAATGTACTCGGTGAATTGTGCAGGGCGAGAAAAAGTGGTGGGCAACAACCAAGCGACCCTCGATGCCTGCCCCTTCAGGTTACCTCGCAGAAGCTGGCTGAGAATCAGGAATACACTTGGAGATGAAGCCATCATTGGCCGAAGCGAAGTGACACAGCAACTCAGGGAAGACCTCGCGCCCTTACCGCAACCATCCACACAACATCGTTAACCATGACTCGGAGAGTTTCGACCCAAATTCGCCTCAGCAGAATGAGATACGGCGAACATGAACCGACAAAGCCGCTGCGAGGTTTCAGATTCACCTGGAACAGCAACCCATTTTCCCTCACTCTGTGGTAGATAGGTACATAAGCCTGGGGGCTGGTCCAGAATTTGGGGAGATTTGTCTCTCAGAATTCACAAAGGCATCTCGTTTACACATTCTGATCGTTGCGCAAGACACCAGGTTAGCAGGGACGAGAACGAACGTCGTTGAAACAAGTGCAAGGCTTTCGACAATCTTGGAAAGGGGTTGTCGCGGCAGAAAGTGTGGCTTAGTGGCTGGTACTGGGATCAGATCTGATACTTGGCTTCAGGAGGCAGGCCGTAGAACTGGACTGGAAGTGTAGAATGACGATAGGAAATAGACAAGAGATGGGTGCTTGTTGGATCGTTATGGTCAGCATGTTAAGGTGCCCCTTCGGTCCCTTGTCCATTAGCGGCCCACCTCTTGATTCGCCAATCAGTGGTATACACTATACACTTGGATGGCAGTATTCACAGAGATAGTAAGTAGCCGCTCGAAGTGTTCTGTCAGGGAATTCCAACGGTCCCTGCTTCTATCCGACTGTTGAGGCACAGACTGCTCACATTTCATGCATGGTCGGATCTTGTACTGCTGTAGAGCAGCCAGCTGGCGATTCTAGTATGAGACTTCAGATGCACTCACTGTTAATGTAACGATCAAGACAAAGGACTACTAGTAACTAGCAGAACAGCCCCAGATCAGTAATATAATAAGCCTTGCCCAGTCAAGGAAGCTTAGGGCAATGCTTTTGTTTCATTTCTTGACCAGCGTGCTAGATACAGGCCTAAAGGCCCCAAGACGCGTCTTTGCTCTCCCTTGATGCACCAGGAACACTTGCGACTCCCGATGTCATATTATAGTACAGAGCCAGATTCTCCAGTGCCTCGGGTCGGGCAGTCTCAGTGGCGAGCTCCTTAAGCTCGACGAACTGCTCCAGATAACTGAAGTCAGACAGTGAGTAAGCCCCAGACTTCTGAGCCCGGGATTTCAGCAGCTCGACGAACTCAAGAGGCAGCAGAGAAATTCCCTCTTGAGCATCCCACACATCACACAGGCGGTCGCTCCCACAAAGGGAATGAGGGTGTTCGTCTGAGCGCGACCAAGGGATTACTCCAAAAGGAGAGTTGATCGCCGAAATGGCTTTGGCTAGGCTGTCGACTGTGTCAGCATATTCCTCCGTGACAGGGAACGGGAGCAGCCCGTTGGCACACAGGCCTCCACAGGCCTCTCACCAAGCAGCCGAGCTGGATGTATTCGCAGACCTCGTTCGACACCTCGTTGGAGTCCCATTTCCGTTCTCGGCTGAGACAGAAATGTTCTGTGCGTTCTTGCTCGGGTTGAACAAGCACGTTGAACCAGTGGCCGATATGTTACAGATCTTTGCGACGGCTTTATGTCGAATTCTCTTGATGAGTTCTGGAGACATGATATGGTTAGATTAGATTGGCTCTGCACTGGAATCAGCGACTCTTACCCAGGAGGAGAGGAGGTAGACCCTGGTCTTTCCATGGCTGGCCCTGGCTGTCCAGCAGAGTTCCGTCGCCGCTGAGACTGGTGTGCTCCCAGACCTTGGTCAAGTAGGAGATCCATTCACGGGCAGCTCCAAACACCCAAGTGATATACAGCATCTTCCCGTCGTTGTTTCCTTCCCTTCCTGGATCCTCAGTTTTATCATGGTCTTTAATTGTGCGCATCCTATACTACAGTCAGCCGACTCATAGACTGATTTCGGACCGCCGTCGGCCGGATTTGACCTAGGTAAGCTAGTTGCGTTGTTATAACACTTACCACTCTTTCATGAATGGAACAAGGAGATGAGTACAGTCGTACTCTTCTGCCACTCTTGCGATCGAATAGAGTTGGTGAATCTCGGGTCGGTGAGGGATCTTCGACAACTTCCGATGGATAATCAACAGGACCACATCCATGCCGTAGGTCTGACCCTCAAGATTCGGAAGGTTGAAGATAATGCCGGAGATGTGACTCTCGAAGGCTTTCTGCCAAGCTGGAGATGCTGCAGAAAGTAGAGCTTCGCAGGCTTCGTAGATGACATTTTCTCCCTGCTCCGATCGAACCAGGATACGCAAATTGGCTTCATCGTGATACAATATACGCTTGAACACAAAGCCATGTTTGTTGGTCACAGTCTCGGCATCGTTGACCAAAGCTTGTGGATCTTTGTGGTGTGGTCCAGCCTGCAAGTTCGCTTCTCCGTCAAAGCGAACCGGAGACACCGATGAGTCTTTCTCGGCAGCGACAGTGACATGTTCTCCTTGCGAAGCGACCGAAGAGGTACCGACCGCAGCTTCATCGAAAGTAACATCCGAAGGACGAGGGAGCTCGCCGGAAGACAACATGCTTGTTTCGTGCACTCAGAATTGCAGCGGTTTGTAAACAGAAGCCAGAAAGGTCGGCAACGACAAACCATTCGAAGATGAAAAGGCTGGGTTGTGGAAACGATTCGCAATTCGAAAAGTGGGCGATGCCTGCGGTGTCGTTGTTCAAGAAAAAGAGCAAACGCGTCTGCTGAAGCTTTGTAAACAGCATCGGTAGCTATATAGCTCTGGAGAGACTTCGGACGGAAGGGCTTTGGGATATGACGCCAGCAATGCTGAGAACAAAGTAGGGGGTTCAGCACAAGATCCACTCGAACTGCTTGGCTTTGGTTTGACATGATTTGAGTGCAGGTGCCTGGTACATTATTGACAGTCACAGTTTAATCAGGAGTATATATAAGAATTGGACTCTCACTTTCTACTCTGTCTCGATTCACTTCACCACAGCCGGCACAGTCACGGTGCTGATGGTTTGGGGATTCACAGACGCAGTACCTTCACATTCTTGGCTCTTGTACTGTACATGGTACAAGTATATGGGAGTGAAATGCTTGTTGAGGATGAAAGAAGAGAGATGGCAGGACGTAAGGACATGATGTGAGGAAGCGAAGCTATTATACCGGTAGGGCTGTGAGGCTGTTTGTCCTAATGTTTGCTCCTGTGCATGGTAGACACATCTGTGGGAGCAGCAAAGGTCAAAGGCCTACAGCCCCGCCAGGCAAACCCCAAATTCAAAATGATGAAGAAATAGAGTTCTGACTCAACCCGCGTCCCTTGCGGGAGGATCGATGCACGGGCAGCGGCATGCAATGGTAAGACGGCCCGCGGTTTGCACGTGGGTTCTAACTCCCGGCTAATCCGAACACCATCTACGACATGTATAAGTGAAATCTGGTAGCATTAATCTATGTTCGATCTCGACATCTTCATCATCCGCATGGAATCAGACGTGTCCATCAAACTCACCCTCAAAACTCCCATTATTTGGCAGTGACCCCGGCCATTTGCGGCCGCTTCTAGGCTATTATGATCTTTCGATTAAAACGATATAGAAATCCTCCAGAAAGCCATCCTCTATTGGCCAGATTCCAGTCTGTTCCATCGGCAAGAAAACCAAAAATATTGCAATGCTGGGGTATAGAACGCCTGTCCCATGTGATGCCTTGCTGGTTTTTAGATACGCCATGTTGCAAAAGGAAGAAAAGCAAAATCCAACGCGCCGACTGTGCAGGATGCAAATAGTTTCGACCCCAGGAAATCTGCGGACCATGATCGTTTGGTGCCACGCGGCTGTGAACACCGAGAAGCAACGGAAAGCCTGTCGTGTCGCAGACAGCATCAACGGCGGCGCATGCTGAACCACCAGCCCTTCCATCCCCGGGTTCTCACCGATTCGGCTCTTTCGGTGCTTGTCTCGGAATCGAGTTCGAGGCGGTACCGCACCACGCTGCCCCGATCGTCCTCAAAGCCTATCCGCCGCTTGCTTTGAGGCACAAAGCACTCCGGCACCACGTGGCGCATGACCCAGCCGCGCACCCCCTTGCTGGCCGCATCAATAGCCGCATACTCGAGCCTCCGCGTACGATCGCTGGTCCAGTAGTGCGTCGTCTGCGGCGGCAGGGGGTATGCATGCGCCTCAACCGCCAATGCATGGTTCGCTTTGCTGGCGAAATCGCGAGTAGGGTGCAAATCAATGCCCCTTTCAGACTCGACCAGGGCTGGATCTGACGAAGTGAAGTGAGGAAAGTGAAAGTAAGTCACCGGCTGTTGCGGCTGTTGCGAGAGGGACCGAGAAGAGCCGTGCATTGAAACCGAATGACGACCGTTCCGCGGCCGGGGTGCTCTTGCAACCCGCTGAGCCGGGACCTTCGTACGGCGTTGGCGCGTCGACGGCGGCGGAGAAGTACAGGTAGTTTTCCGGCGTGAGGACTGAGAGTCTCGCCGAGTAATCGACTCGTATCCAGAGTCCTGGCGACGCATTTCTGGGGGCGACATCTCCTCCTCCGTTTGCGATGAGGGTAGCGGTGATGGACAGACGACCGGCATCGGGCTGGGCTCTGACGGGGCCTCGGGCTCGTACAGCTCAATGTCCTGGAAGCTATGGTACGTCGTGTCGGACAGAGCAAGGCTCACCCGTGAGTCTGGGCGGTCGATGGCCAAGAACTGGCTGGTTTGAGATATGGACATAGCAGCCATTGCTCTGCGGCGGTGCTTGAAGCTGGGGACATCACAACCGCGAGGTTTCGACGACGGGAAGTTCAGGAGCCAACCGCAGGAGCCAAGAAGCAGAAGCTAAGAAGGGAGGGAGAAGTGAGATTCTTGAGTTCTTGAAGCTGTGGCCCTGTGGGGTGTGCAGCGGCGGGAGTGGGCCTTCGGAGCGGAGATCCAGATCTGCCGTTGCCGCAGTGAGGGTTCTGCCGAGACAGTAGTGAAGTTGCGGTCAGCGTCAAATGCTGGAGCGGAAGTAAACAACCGGCAGCCAAGTGGATTCGGGGGGAGCTGTATGCAGCCAACAGAAGATGCTTGGGGAGCGTCTTTTCCACAGGCGAGCGAATAGAGCACGCCAATTGCTGTCACTCCACTAGCGGCCACCAACAGCCAGTGTGCGATTGGCACGTATGTAGTGTTCGGGGTCGTGCAGCTCAGGGAGGGGTCAACCACGCTGCATCTGCAGGTCCGGTAGCACCACAAAATGCAGGACAGTCGACTTTGCAGCAAAGAGAAAAGACGAATGAAGTGTGGTGCACCAGAACTGTCGGGGCCGGTGCGCAGCGAGCCTCGAGAAGCAAAGGGCTGTACCTTGTGTGTCCCGTCTCAGAATTGGGGGATTGCGCTGAGTGGGTGAAGTCTGAGTGGAAGGCGTGCGCGCTTAACAGGAAGGTTTTGCGCCGGAACTCCACAAAATATTCCCCAGATTTGTTGAGACACTTGACTGTGAAAACAAGCGGTCAGCAAGCTTCCAGGGCAGGGACACTGTGGAGAGGGAGCTGAAGCGGTGCAATTGACATTTCCCAGCGATTTACCTGGTATCCACACCAAACGCACGTGGGCAACAGATCGGTATTCCGGCCGGTCAGACACCAAAGAGATCCTTGAGATGAGAGGAAACGGTTCCAACGGTCCGGTGATTCGACTGAAGACGTTGAACGGAATTGATGGCAGTGGGAATGTGCATACACAAGAGCAGCAGGATGAGGGAATGTGGGATAGGAAACACGGATGATGGCAGGAAAGTCGGGCACTGGCAGGTTGACAATGACAGGGCGGTCAAGGTTTGTCGTCACCCTTGCCCTTGCCGTCCGTCGATAGAGTTGACACGCTAGACCCTGTCCGATGTCGCTCGATCATCGATGGAAAAGCGGGAGAGCCCGAATCGAAGAAGGAAAGGTTTCGAGTTGCATTTACAAGCTGCGAGGTGAAGACTATCGGTACGTACTGAATATCTGACCGCAAGTGAAAGAAAGTGGTTGCATTGACTCTGGCAGCGCAGCTGAGTGTCGAAATTCGGGCGTCTATCTAAGAGGAGTGCAGAACCTCGCAAACATATATCATACAGGAAGTGAGTGACGCATCTGAATGATTGGCATCCGAGGCTCGGCGAGATGCATCATAGGTAGGTACCTTTACATAGGTGAGTTGTGTATGAATCAGCGGCGCGCCACAGCATCGCATTCTGAGGGGTGGCGCTGTTCAGCCATACACTAACCACTCCGTACGAGTGTCCTCTACCTTCGTAGCCTTGGCTGGCTTGCCTGCGCTTCACAGGAAGAGCGATCTATTTCTGACCGGCCATGTGGCAACGAGATTGGCTGGTCCGGGCGCTCTTTCACATGCCAGACGCTGCAGACAGTTGAGTGCCACTCAGCCGCTTTTGAAATGTTGGGAGTCGTGCCTGGCACAGCTGTTCATATTCCGGGTTTTGTGTGTGGCACAAAATGCCCTCTGCATTTGGTTTCGAAACCGGAGAACCAATCGGAAGCGCTTTCGCTGCAGGGTGGTCTGAACCGCCGGCAACGAGGCGGGAACAACCCAATCAGTTGCTGGCAGGTGACACTCCTGGGTTGCGGGACTTGCTGTGGCGTTTGGGACGACTGCCCGAGGAGGGCAGCGTCACCGTCACCTGTCCCAGCAGATCACATCCGCCAAGGCTAGTACGAGACTAGGTACTTTCCTCACCCGCCTATGTATCTAGGTATCCGTGAAAGGAGTGGGAAGGAAACTCAGCACTATTCCTCAACAGCTCATCTCACCCTCAGCTAACTTCTTGTGTACAGTACATGGATACTTACACAAACAAGTCTCATCTCAATATAAGGGGAGACTGCCACTGCCAACCTGCTAGGTTGTCCATATGGCGGCCACGCGGCATGGAAGGGAAGCGCTTGCTCAAGCTGGGTCTACCCCCAGTTCGGTAGCCTATGCTGCCTATCTTGCGAACAATGGTCAATGGGGTTCATACAGTTGACGTCAGCTCAAAGACATTGCTCGCCCTTGTCCCTTCGGACAAAATACCTATGCAACCATTGAACCGAACATTGATCGAAGGGCGCCTTTGTGCCCAAGGCTCTATTTGGGAAAAGCCCGACAATTTAAACCACATCGGAGCCTCCGAGTCCGAGGATCGAAGATCCGAAATCGTTTTGTTCGACCGAGACAATTTCTACTGCTCGCTATCAGCTCAGTGTGCACTGTGGCACGCGTGAAAGCTTGTAGAACTTGTCACGGCGATACCCTCATGGCTGCACACTGGGCTCGCGATCCCGTCACGGGCTATTATCAGGCCATGTTGAGCCAATCGGGCGGTCATGGCCACCACTTCAGGCAAGGGGTTCACGGTGTACTCAGAGATGTCTATTGCGACCCATGCCTCCAGGTTATGGACAATATGCACGCGCAACTTGACGAGGCTATCGAGTCGTTGGAAAACTTGACGCTCGATGAGACAGAGGTATGGGAAGACCCCCCAATGCCCAATCTCACGGTAGGTGAGATCACCGATCCCGCGGTAGGTACAGAAGCCCGCTACACCTTGCAGTGGGAACAGTGGCTGAAGTCACCGAAGGTAGGTGTATACACCCCGGCCATAACGCCTCACGCTCAGACGCCATGGTGGGGGAATAACCGCACCCACTACGGACTGTTGCAGCCTCAAGAACAAGCCCGGCTAGAACGCCCAGCATTTGCCGCCCAGTTTGCCAGGGATGGTACGTATCCCCCAGGGAGATCACGGTTTGCCCAACAGGTAAGAAGCCCTCGCCCGCGCTCTCCTTTGCCGATGTCCAGACCGGTTCGTTACGCTCGAAGTTGTTCTCAAGACATCTACGATGACCCGGAGTATGAACCAGAGTTCTGGGCAAGGAACCTTCGCCCTGGAAACATCTGGACAGATCCTCCCCGGTTCCCGGTTCGGGATCAAGATAATGTCTCACCTCGAACTGTACTAGAGCCCCAAGCTCACAACTGGAATAGGGGCGTATCGCAAATTGGCAGAAGCGGCCAGTCATTCTACCAGCCCGTCTACCAGGCCGTCTCTGGGAGAAGGGAGAACCTCAACAGCCTGATGAATTGGGATCAGTACCAGAGCACCCCATACTTTCTGTATTACTAACATAAGGTAGTCATGTCCTAAACAGTAGATTGCTCAGTGAGAAGGTAGTGGAAGAATCGAGTCCGAATCCCCGCCATAGAACCCCTAACCTCTCCATCTAATCTGAATCCCGGTACCTTAACATTTCATAATACATGCAGCTCAATGTCATTGGAATTACTAACCACCTCTCCTCGCTCCTCTTGTGGTTGGTGAAATGTGAACTTACAGATGTCGAGTCGTCTAGATTGAATGACCTTACAAGCACAGGTACACCAGGTAGTCCTCCAGCACCCGCGTCCACCGAGAGGGCGAAGAATGATCTTACCTGGAGAGCGTGGGCCTCTGTCATCACTGCCCTGGGCAACATTACTGCCCCGGGCAACATTACTGCCCCGGGCAACATTACAATTTACCTTGACCTTAAATTAAAATCTGGCACAGATGAGGCGAATAGTAATGGCAACATCAATGGAACATAAATGACCGAGACGCCCCTGTTAACCATTATAGTGACAAAATGTCGGTCACTACACTTGCCTTCGCCCGTACCAGACCCAAATGTCAAGGTGGATTGCAATGCTGCTAGGGAGGACAGAGACCCCCTATTCCCTGACCCCGAGCACCGTTTAGGTAAGGAGCAGGGGCGGAGCAAGAACAATACGCAAAGAACAGGACGACCGAAAACGTCCGACAGACATGATGGCGCCTGAGAATGCGAAGACGAACAAAAAGACTAGGAGGCCACCTAGCCACGTCGGCATGGGTGTGGATCTGGTAAGAGAAAAGTACTTTCTTTGTTTTGAAAAAAGAGGAAAAAGAGAGACTCGGATACCGGGAGTCGAACCCGGGGCTGTTGAGAGAACAGTCACTTCTGTGAAGTGAGAGTCAACGATGTTACCGCTACACCATACCCGATTGAATCGTGTGTGGCTCCGATTGGTTGGGATTGCGAGCGGAAAGAGAGCTCTTTAAAAAAAAAAAAAAACTCATCTGCATCAACCCACCCGCGACGCAGAAGCGTTTGGCAACTTGATCGTTGCAGGTTATTGCAAATTGCATCTTGTCTAGCCAGCCGGAGTTGTAAAGAACTAAGGAAACGCAATGTCTATTATATAGAATGACTAGACCTAGTGTACAAAGTTCTCTCGGGCTGATTACTGAAGGCCTAGAAATCCTGTAGAAAGCTGTCTGATGTCTAAGCCGCAGCCCTAGACCTGATGAGAAACTGTAGATGAAGAGGTTGAGGAGTATACCCGGGCGGGAACAATGCCTCTTGATGCCTGACAGTAAACAGTAGATCGTTTAAGCCAGCCCAGCTTAAACTCGAGAACTGCCTAATGACCGAGTTGAAACGATCATCGATATGTACAAATGTCCTAGGATGCTCATGCCCTTATTGTCGTTGTTGCTCTTCAGTGAATCTTCACCTACTGTAGAACCTAGGAGCTCTTGCTTTATAATTCTCATGTAAGAAAATATCTGAAACCGAGTAACTGCTAGTGTAGTTGTCAAACCGAAGGTTAAGGAATTGATCATTGAACCATCATAGACAGTTTGAAAATGAAAATGGATATACCCACTCCATCGAAGTAGCAAATCTAGAGACAGTACTGCTAAGGAGGCAAGACGCGAATTTTGATCCTAAATCGTGAGCTGTCATGAGAGTCAAAGTCAGAAACTGAGGTCTAATGGCCCTCCTGTAACAGCGCGTTGGGAACCGGGCACTCCGATGTCCCTTGCCCTGAGGTTCAAGTTCTGATTTTATGTCCAGAAATAGCACATTTCAGGTCGAGTGGCGTAAAGGTAGCGCGTGGTCCTCCTATAAATTGGAGCTATCCAAGACTGAGGTTGTGGGTTCGAGTCCCATCTCGATCGGCCTTCTCTTTTGCCTGTATCTCCATCCATTGTAGATACGGACGGGGAAACTTATTTTTTTTTTCGCCTGTTTGGTGCGCATCACATTCGTCATGAACGCGGAGGAGTAACACGTAAAGAAGTGCGTATATATGGTGAAGAGGCAGATTTGGTATGACGGTTAGTACAATACAATTATCATTGTAAAAGGTATCTATGGTAGGTATCTCGTGAATCTCATGCAAATGCTTTTCCCAGATTGACTCCGACCCTTTATGACTGTTGCCCACCCACTTTTATTCAACATGCCGCCTAGTCTTTAGGCTGGGACCTCTTAACAATCCTTGCACCAAATGTGTAAAAGAGCAGCGGGATGGGTGCCAGCCCCAAGGAGATAAAACCGAGAAGGCTGTTGCCCCATCCCATATCCAGCGCCTCATACATTTCCAGGGCACAGAGCGGGAGCAGCGCGCCGGCGAGCGACCTCAACACGGCCGTGGCAGCCGTGACTGATGCTGCTTGGCGCGGGTAAAGATCCAAAAGGTAGTTCTGGATGCACATCTGCTCGGGAAGAACAAGGAAATTGTTAGCATATCCGTTCCATTCCAAATCATGTGGGCTGACCGCACGTACCATGACGCCCATTAAGCCAAACGCAAAGATGAGAGAACCGAGCATGGGTACAATCCAGTGCACGCGATACTGGATTGTCCAGCCGTACAGGAAGAGACCGACGGGAATGGTGAGGCCGGCCGGCAGAGTAAGCCACGGGAGGAGCCGGATTTCGGGCCGGTGCTGTTCACCGCTGTCGAGTTTGGCCTTGACCGATTTGTCCGAGAGGGCGCCAAAGATGCTGATGCCAAACATCATGCCGATCGCGGTCGGAATGAATACTAGGCCGCTTTCGCCCTCGCCGAAGCCGTAGTATTGAGGATACACGAGACTGAAAGTGGAGAAGAGAAGATAGAGGATGCCGTCTGCGGAAGCGTTAGAGATGGCTGCTGTTGGAGGGATAAGACAACACGACACGGGCTTACAAGTAATGGCAACGTAGAACGACATGAGAGTGACAATGGGCGTCAGGAACAGGAGCCTCAGCGGCCGAACGATGGCGACTTTGATCTTTTCCACCGCGTGGCCCGACAAGTCGGCCAACTCGCTCCGCAGGGCCTGATTCCCCGTCTCTTTGCGCAGCCTGGCAGCCTTTCGCTCGAGAATGACCGGTGCGTAGGATTCCTTCAGGGTGAAGAAGGTGAAGACGGAGACGATGCCAGCCAGGATGGCTATGAGCCAGTACACCCACCTCCAGCCCGCAGCGCGGATGAGATATCCGCCGGCCACGGGTCCGATACAGGGGCCAAGCAAGGGACCCAGGGCCCAGGCAGCCATGGCCCGCCCGCGCATCTCGACGGGCATGATGTCTGCGATGCTGCCGCTGCCGATGGTGATGGGCACCGAGCCGGCGACGCCCATGAGGAAGCGGAAGGCCATCATCATGCCGATGCTGTTGCTCAGCGCGGTGCAGATGGAGAAGACGGTGAACAGGACGTTGCCAATGTTGTAGAGCGGGGATCGGCCGTAGATCTCGCTCATGGGCGCGATGATTAGCGGGCCAAAGGCGAATCCGAGAATGTAGACTGAGAGGATAAACGTTGCTACGGTGGGCGATGTCTCGTGGAACTCGGCCAGGATTCTGCGGATGCCAGGCGCGAACATGGACGAGCCGAGGGGTCTATCATCATCCCATGTCAGTTACGCAGGGAGAGGGTCGTGGATGAGAGCGCAAAGGACTCACGTAAGAACGGTTAGGATGGAGATGACGGCAATGTTGAACCATTTTTTGCGGTTTGTCCAATTCATTGGATTCTCCGGGTCGTTGGCGCCATCCCACGAGACGATGTCGGGGTCCTTGTCATGATTATCAACCTGCCGCTTCTCGTCGGCAGCGGTAGCCTCGGCCTCATCGGCAGTTGTGGCCTCCAAATCCGAGCTTGGCTCAACGGGCCCCTTTTCGAGGTCGAGGTTGGAAGAGCGCTTGGTGCCGTCGGTGATGGCGACCTGCGATGATGAAGGGTCCATGGCTGTCGCGTGTTGCTGTCGTCACCGGGGCAGTTGGTTTCGGGAGCGACCGTCTCGGCGTCTCTTGGCTGCTGAAGATCGCAAAGCCGGGCATGTTGCGTAACTTGCGTTGGGCGCGGCATGGCATTGTATTCCTATTTGTACGAGTACTTTGCTGACCCAGGCAAAATGCAACGGGGTAGTATTACTCCCCGAGAGCCGGGATCGCTACCTCGGTTCACACAACCCGAAGACGAAGGGGGTTCCAGAGCCTGGGCTCAGTGGCCCGCCGCGGGGAAGAAATTGGAACCTTGCAGTACATGCCGAACCAACTGCATTAGCGCGTAGACTTGCCTACACATGTGCATTGCCAGAGTAGGACGTTGCTTTACCTCGACTCATCTACTGCGTAGGTAGGTACGGATAATGTACATACACATAAGAATTTGGGAAAGTTGCATTGGATGTCTCGCATGATGGGACGCCAAGGCGCCATCTCGACCAAGAACTCTTGACCGAACCCGAGGCGCTGGATGGGCTAGCAAGGGCTTTCTGACAGGTTTTGACAGGTTCCACGGCTGAGTGCACAAAAAGTTTGCACAACTCGCTGTTAAATTATAAACAGGTGAGAGCGAGAGTTCGGCTTGACAGCGCTTGCTAGCTCCGGGATAATTCCAGCGTTACAGTCGGACGTGTTTTGGACAACAGAATGTGCGCCCAGTCGCCCACCAATCATGGAAGTCATGCTCGCCCTCTCGGTTTCGCTTTCGAATCGGATTTTGCCATCTCCACTCAAATCATCTCCGGTGCCCCTTTATCGGCCCCACGGCGCCCGTTCGCCGAACCGTCGAGGGGACCACCAAGATGCCGACGCCACCGCCATACACTCTCAACCAGAGCCTCAGTAGGTATCCTCCGTGCGGGCCATCTTCTTGGGCGACGTCAATGGTGAGAACCTCGAGTGATTCATGAAGTGCCCGCCTGCTACAGTACATGAACTTCTTCTACACATTTTGTATTTCGACAATTCCTGGGGCCTTCTCTTCATACGCCCAATACCCGATGCTACAATAAGCAACCTAAGAGCAATCCCAAGTTCAAACAAAGCTTCCCGGCCATAAATTCGAACGCAGATCTATTCTCATGTGACACATGACCATTCCCGTGTCCCCAAGACCGCTTCCAATACCATCTAAAAGCCGGGTATTTCCATTCGCCGTTCGTGCATACTCTGCCTGGCCATTTCCTATCCCAAGATCCTAACGGTATTGTAACATCTCTATACCAGCAGCTCCAGCAACACCCAATGTAGTCATCACCTCCCCAACTTCGTAGGCGCCCAATCCGCCAGCCAGCCGCGTGCCTTGGCAAGGTTGCCCCCCTCAGCCTCAAGCGCAGCGATGCACCACTCCTGCTCCCAAACACCCTCAGCTGCCAGCATCTCCGACGTCTTCTTCCGGCGCTGCGACGCCTCGTCGACGCAAAAGTGCACGGGCTTCCCGCGGTCCGCAACGTCGCCCAAGAGCGGCTTGACCAGCGGCAACGCCGCCGCGGCGCTCGACCCCAGGGGTTCCAGCCCGCGGTTCGCCCGGCCCGTCTTGCACCACTCGTTGACGCACCACTTCTTTCCGCACCCCGTCATGAGCTGCGTCAGGTACCGCCGCTCGATGCGGCGGCGCAGCGCCTTGCCCTCCGGGTCGTGCATGTTGACGTAGAGGGGCGCGAAGCACAGGCTGCACAGGCCCAGGTCGTTTCCGGGCCCCTGGCCCATGGCGGTGCCGCCGTTGACCTGGCCGCACGGGCCGATGCCGTGGAGGGTGCGCCCGCAGAGCTGGTTGCGGCATACTGCGGGCTTGGACCGCGTGGCTTTGTCCAGCTCGTGGTTGGCCGCGTGCGCCGCCATGTCCCGGAGACGCACGATGGCGCCGCAGAGGTGGCAGTCTGTTGTCCGCGCGCCGTCGGCCCGCTCGTGCGCTGTCAGACCGGATAGCACCGTCTCGGCCTCGGAAGAGGGGTCAAGGGGATCGCCTTCTTGGGGGACCTCGAGGTGGCAGAACTGGCAGAGGATGAGCTTGCCGGGACAGATGGTTGTGCGGTGACGGGCTAGTTCGGGGAGGGAGGGGAATGTGAACGGCGTCGATGGGCCGCAGGAAGGGCAGGTGTGCTGCATGTGCTGGATATACTCGTGCTTCCTTTTGCTTGAAAGGTTGGAGCCGTAGGACTCAGGGTGCGTTTCGCAGTGCCAATGGTCTTCCCACTCGTCTGATCGCTTTTTGAAGACGTTCTTGCATTGTGGACAAACAGTATTGTTCCTCAGGCAAAAGTTCTCGTGGAGGATTATCGTCCGTTTCGGGATCATTTGCAAACAGTTTTTGCACTGCTCCTCATCTGCTGACTTGGGCGTTGAGTTGGCGGAGTCGCTGGCGGCTATGACAGATTCTTGGGAATCGACTGCCTTCACTCGAAGGATATAGCGTCGCGGCGTTGGGCTCGCCGCTTGCTGCTCGCCAGGTAAGGAGAAACCATGCACTGAGATCAAGAGGCTTTCTGCGCCTTCAAGCTCGACGTTTGTCGGTTGAATAACGATGCGCTTTACGCCGTCATTCGGCGTTGAGAAATCCCCAAATATGTGCTCACTGTCACGGGGCAACGCCCTTTGGCGGTTGCTCTTGGGGCTCACAAAAAGATCGATTTCTGCATCGCCGTCTATTGACAACTCAATCGCCAGGGCACGCGCCCTGTCCCAGGATGGCAATTCGTAATCGACATAATCGCCTTCCAGCACCTGGCCTTCAACATCCTTCCAAATGTCAATTGCATGTCCCACCGAGCTACCGCCAGCCGTTCCAGGTACCCGCTGGGCCTTTGCAGTTATTTGTCGTAGAGTCTCTCGTGCTTGCTCTTCATTGAGCGCCTCAATGTCAACCTCGAGATCAGTGTCAACGACGCAGATGCCATCCCCGTCGGGCTCGAACTTGTCTGCAAGGAAGCGAAACTCTTCGCCTTTGACACCTGCTATGGACAGCATCGAATTCTTCGTAAGCGTGGTAAAACTAGCGCGGAGCTGCCTCTCGAGCAGCGATTTCCAATCGTCGGGGTTGTAACCAGCCTCTAGAGGCCTCAGGCGCACGTAGGTCCCTTTGGGTAGCTGCTTCGCCTTGACGACGATCTCCACCGCGCCCTGTCCGGACCTGCCATCCACGCCATCTGGACACAGATCTTGTATATCCGATTCTTGAAGCCCTAATGCGTCAAAGAGGTAGGGGCTCAGCCATATCTCGTTCTCATCTGCGGAGAATTCTCGGATGCCCGCGAAGACAGCGTTCCCATTCTTTTGGTTGACAAGTTGGAACATAAGCGGATGCGGCAGCTGTTGGTATGTTTCGCGGTGCTGGGACCGATCCCGTCTGATATTCGTAGCCGAATAGGGATTGAAGGGATCGAAGGCGGTAAAGGTGTGTGAGGTCGAAGGACCAGTGGTCGATGCAGCAAGGAGCTGCTCAAGCGCTGACTGAGGCAGTAGGATCTTGTCACCTCGTAGATCTTTGCTTGCCACACGTGAGGGATGAGCGACGCGAAATGACGCGCGCCAGTTCAACTGTATAGGCTCCTCGGCCATCCCGACACGGCCCCGCGCCAGATACTCTAGAGATTGGGCACGCGAGGATGAGGCTGGCGATGCAACGAGATGCTCAAAACTCGAACTGGTTACGTAGGTGTTGCGCCATCAAGGGTAATGAGGACTCTGCAGATCTAGTCAAAGGTAGCCTTGCGGTGGTCGAAATTCCGAAGATATGTCGTGTTCTGAGGAATTCTAGGCTGACATAGAAACATCATCAGTCAGCGGCTTCTTGGGGTTTCCACCGTCGTCATCGGGCTGATGGTTCGGTGCCCCGCCGAGGCTGACCATAAAGTGGAGCAGTACATACCTTCCGTATGTATTGATTCAAACGATACGTGCCGTCGTTACGGTATGTATACATCATTCCGATATATGTCGTCGCAAACTAGGTGACGAGTTTCACCTTAACGGCATCCACCAACTTGTGGTACTCTATTACCTCATTCTCAGCTTGAAAATCGGATTTTGAGGTGCTGAAAAGGCTCTTTACATGTACCTTCTAAGGTAACTTTGAAAGAGTGGGGAACCCCCGCCCGCTGCCAGTGGCGGCGTGCCAAAGTCTCGCTGGGGCAAATGAAGCAAATCGGAGCTTGGCAAGATCTGCCCAAGATCAACAGAGCTTTGGTAAGCTACGATAAGATCCATACGAGAACGCCCCCCGATATCGTAATTGTCAATGCATAGCAACTTACGATGTACACGACAGCACGGTACGTTAGCACAACAGGCGGCGACCTTGACGAGCCTGGCAATTCATGAAGCTCTCCAGAGGCCAAGAAGCTAGCGTAACCCTCCGAGGCCCGGCAGGCAGCAAGACATTGTGACCCCGCGGTGCCGGTACTGTAGGTTGCAGTGAGGTTGCAGTGCAGTCGAGACTCCTGCTCTTCGAGAGCTCTTTGGCAGCTCTCCACCTCAAATCTCCAGCGCTAAGGCCGGCTAATAACAGACATATGCAAGCTGCCCGCACTTTAATCTTTCTCTTCAGCAAGACCCCTAACGACAGCTGTCCATCAGTGTAAGCTTTTCGTCGACCAGAGGAGGCAGGCAGCAATGTGCACTGTCAAGTTCCCCTCTTCCGTTGAACACAAGGGTCTGGACAAGGCAAGGGTGCCGTAGCTCAGGCAGACGCTAACGGCACTCCGGCCTCACCGGCCCACATCCCGTCCAGACTCCACTCTGGACGGTCGTCCGTGACTCTGAACCGCAGTCTCGGGGCTGGGTGTGACCACGCCATCCCATCATTCTCATCTATAATAATCAGCCCAAAGTGCCCGTGGCCGACCGTCTTTCGAGCTGCATGCACTCTTGTTCTTATCCACAGCCCTGGAGGTTGGGGGTACTGCATCCGTTCGACATCTCGCCAAAGGTGACGTGACTTTTACCGACCGCCAGCCTACAATGACCCAGGCCTGCGACACTCGCACCGGTCTGCCACCAGAGATTCAGCACAACGCTCTGCTCCAACTCCTCTCTAACTCGCTCGTGCTGTCTCACACAGCACCCTACCTTTCGTGCTGTGACGTCTTGAACCTCGCAGCCACATCGCGGGCCTTCCGTTTCCTCGTCTACCACACGCCCCAGGTTTTCCGCCGCCTAGAACTCAGCAATATCAAATCAGCCCAGTTCGATATTGACGCCATCGATCGAGGTGGAGAGATTTGGTACAACGTCCAGAATGACGAGAATTTGACCGAAGATGAGTAGGTGCTTTTGTTGGCCGACGCCGCCTCTTGCCGGACTCCGCTGACCTGACCGCCTGTGTCACCCTCAACAGCTTCTACTCGGGTCCGTTGCGTGGCGTTTTCTCCAACCTCCGACGCCTCAATATCCTGAGGGATGTGCAGGTTCTCTGCCTCGACGGGCTTTCCGTCACGGCCGAGCTAGTGCACGACATCCTGATCGACCCTGCCTTCTCCGTCCGCATCTTATCCATTCGCGATGTTAAGAACATGAATGAGGGGAAGCTCTGTGGAACCCTGAAGTATGCCTGCCGTGATTCGAGGCCCGAGGGGACCCCGCGGCTGAAGGGTCTCTATGTCTTTGGCTCCAAGGATTCTGCCCCGGGTCGGATGCCTGCGTCTGAGAGCAGAAGTCCGTCCCTAGTCAGCCCGACAGGGTTGGCCGCATCATGGAATAACCGGAGCCAGAAGGCTTTGACTGCCGCTCTTGCTGAGGAAGCGGAGGCATGGTATGCTCGCCGTGGTAGTCAGTTCGCCCCACATCGCATCAAGGCCGAATGGGCGTCCACTCTGGTTGCGTGTGCTGGGATTATCGCCTTTGACTCGGTTCTTTGCACGGGCCCGAGGCATTTCAACTCCCCGGCATGGGGATCCGTCAATATAGACGCCCTGAACGCCGCGAGCGGCTCGCCTGCTTCCGCCAGTGTGCCCCACTTCAATGTCGCGACACACAGCTTGGCCGGATGCGCCTCTTGTGGCTCGGCTCCGGAAGGGTGGACGGTTTGGGGCGAAGACGAATTCACATCTCGCCGCGGTGCCAGTGCGAGGAGGACCAGCGGCAGCAGCACTACTAATATCGGCAGGTTCCCATTGCTAGCACCCCCTCCGATGCACTCGTCGAGTCTCGAAGTCGCAATGTGCCCGACCGGCCAATCAGTGAGGACACGGGTCCCCTACGCATCGAGAGGAAAGCAACAAAAGGCACAGTTCATCCCGCGTTGCTTCGACTGCATTCGCGATCGCTACTGCGCAGGATGCCACCGCTGGTGGTGCGAGTCCTGCTACATTGGGCCCTTCGCCTCATCGCCGGGTGGTCATGCGGGGGGCCATGCGGCGGCCGCTGACCTTGTAAGCAACCCCTCTCCCGACACCAATGCGGCAAGTGTGAACGACGGCGGAGGTGCGATATACAAGGTGCGCGACGGAATGTGCGCGGATGGGAGGTGCTCCCTCCAGCAACCCTGAGCACCGTGCTTTCAAGTCAGGGAGTGCGAAGTAGACAGCTTCTGTCCAAACGACATCTGGCCTGAAGTATGGTGAACCATGTCGGGGCGAGCTGTGAAATGTGCACATGTCCCGTTCAGCGAAGTGGCTCAAAAGGTTCATGTCCCTCGGGGCTTTCCCTCTGCTGTCTACGCGATTGTCAACGGTGTTTTCAAAGGAACAGTTGACGTCCCCTGCTTGTACATAGGCTGATCTAGCTATGGTAATAGGCTCACCTATCGAAGAGTTGTTGGGAGTGCGGCATGAATGTAAGCTCCTCGCCTTAGGATGAAGGGTATTCTCAGCACCTTACTAACGAACACGCATCAGTGCAGAGAATGCATCGACGTCACCCAGCGAATGTGCCAGCGATGCGGAGGCGGCTACTGCCTGATACATAACGAGGGGTCCGACCTCATTGCGGTACGTTTTCCGAGATACGGTGGATGCCTATCTTTCTTGTGTCTAAACTGCCACTAACACGGAGCATGTGCCTTCTAGTGCGAATGTAAGACCGTTCTCCCCTAGCCATCGTGCTGATTTTCCCTCGCATGCTGTGCCACAAACCAACCCGTTGCTGACACGTTTTATCTAAGCAGGGTGCGTAGGGAGGACCCGGCTCATGCTCAGAGGAGACCTCTACTGAGCTGAGCTCCGCTGGCGGATGTTGGCCCGCTTCCGTGAAGCCGTGTCTCCCTCCCTACCTACCTATCTTATGTGTCGATCTCAGCTCATCCCCAAGATGCCCTCGCCACTCTTTGGATAGCCTCTCCACTCATCCATTCACCTTGATGCCTTTAGTCGCAAGCCCGTTGTAATTTGGTCCTACAAAGACGGATGTCTTTCTTTTGGACTTATGTCTCTCCTCTCTTGGACTTACGCCTCTCCTCTTCTCCTGTTTCGGACTTATGCCTCTCCTCTTCTTGGATTCATGCCAGTTGCCATCATGCCGTTTTGAATTCACTATCAAACCGCTCAAGCGTTTTGTTGGAAAGTGTACTTGCCAGCGAGCAACCGTTTCTGTTTCGACTCATGATTCATGATACCCTTGCGGCAGGGGGTTTTCGTTTGGTGTATTGGGTGCTTTAGGCCTGCGTGGAGTGGTTGTAATTTTGCATATAGTTAATTCGTAGTACTTCTCTGTAGCAACGAGCAATATCTATGTGTCACTAATCTTGTTTCTCTGACCAGCTCAGTGGTGAGAACAGTACAGTGGCCCATTGCACAGTTTTGTCCACGGCGTTTCACTGCTCCAGCTTTCATGAAGGAATGTGACCGATTGGAGGTCTCCTGTAAGTCGACCACTCGACAGCAACTAATCCATGATGACAGCCTTGCCTCACTTGCGGCGTTCTAGGAGAGACATGTTACAAGCGAACCAAGTTGAAAGACAAACTGATGATAGCGCACCGATGATGTAAGTAGGTAGTCACGCTAGTCCAATACCTATGTGTGTTTGGTATAGATAGGTAGACAAAATGCTAGTATGTAGGAATGAATAATGACCGATTAAAGGTCTGCAAAATCCAGTCAAGGTATTCCTTCAATATTAGCAAAAATTACACGTATGCAACAAGCCTTTACCAACATCAATGAAACACTCCTAACCCCCAAATAGAATCCGTATACATAGGGGGTATCCCAATAAACAAGCCTCTCCCCCGAAATTCCCCTAAGCAGTTATCAGGCATATCCAAACAGATACCGTGTACAGTACACACAGCCAATCCCCGTTGAAGGGACCGAAGAAACTAGCTAGCTAGTCAGTAGCTAGATACCCTGCAGTCAGCAAACGCTTTCAGTGCCATCTCATCAACCGAACACCAGCCTTATCCGCAGAGTCAAAGCTAAAGGGACCAAGAAACCAGGTGGCTGTCATCCCACTCTTCGCTGGTGCAGTAGTTTGGAATCTGGAACTGGTTGGCGCCGAGCACACCCAGGGTCGACGAGGCACCCGTGCCCGTGCGGACGGCATAGGCCTCCTGGAACCACACGTCGGTAAAGGACGCGAAACCGGCCAGGGTGCTCCCGTAGTAGGGCCGCTCGACGACCCAGTCGGCGTTGATGCGTGCCAAGACGGGCCCGTCAGTGACGCTGATTGCGTACGTGTGCCGCTGGCTGAGGTTGGTTATTGTTCTGTATTATGGCACGGGGACATTAGTGGATTGCTCGTGGGTAGCGATTGTAGTCTAAGTGAGGAGGTGTGTAGTGGGGTGGGCGCATGTGAGAGGAGGAAGGAGAAGTATGAAGGGGAAGAGATAGATTGGACTTGCATTAACGCGGCCGTTGTTGAGCTCGTGTTGATGGTCACCTCGAAAAAGTCATCTGCTGCTACTGAAGGGAATTATTAGTATGATTCTCGTGCACATAACTATAGCGGACTTGCCTGGCATGGACGCGATTGTGTAGGCGCCTTCCGGAACCCACTGCCACCATGCTTCGTTCCTGTTTAAAATTAGCAACTAATCCCATGAGATCTATGCAGAACGAAAAACCAACCTTACGACTCCAGTCGAGTTGTCAATCTGTTAAGATAATTCAAGATCACGTTAGCCTCCTTCTCCAAAATCAAACCCTTATCAGCATCCATACCTTGCAAACCGTCCCTGACTGCAGCAGGGCCGATGTCCAAGTCTCTCCGTCAATGCCCACCCACGGAGCAGCGGCCTGGGGATATGTATTGACCCCGTTGCGCTTACTGCACTGTGGGTGTTGAAAGACGCCGTGGACGCTCTTGATCTGGTTGCTCGATGGCGTATAGTTCACAGAGCCACACCAGTTGGCGCTATTGACCTTGGAGTTTGCCCTACGGACCTTCTGGTGACCACGAGGCGGCGGCGAAGGGGGCCCGCGGTTGTTACGGCTGCGGCCAAATTCAAACGGCTCAAGCTTGATCTCTGACTGAGGTATTGGGACCCCGTCGCGAGTTGCCTCTACCGTGAACGTCAGCTCGGCCAGGCCGCAGGTGGCTAAAAGGGCCGAGCCGAACACTGCCGCATGGATCCACTTCATGGTGACGACAGGGGGATCTTAAGGGTGGCTTAATATATAACAGAATATAGCTTGAGTGTCTCGATGTTTCGATATGGTATCAGAGAGCAGCAGGGGGCGGTAGCGATGTGCAGGGAACGAGTCGCTCCGAGCATTGCCCCTTGATCGGATGACGGTGTCCTTATATCTACTCCTTCGCCCGTTGAGAGTCACTGAGCTCTCCGGTGCCTCCTTCGTCATCTTCACACGAACCCAGGTAGGGTTACCCAGCACGCAAGACCTGGCAGTGCCAGGCTATTCCACTTAGAATCCGAGGCGTTCCGCTCTACGGGTGAGGACACCACCCGGTTTGCCCAAGGGCTGAGAGCTGCAGGTGACGGTTTCGATATTCCAAGCCAGCTATTCCGCATCGAGATGAGTTACCCAAGGCATCTGCCTGAGAGGTGAGAACTGTGTTGGGCTCCCCCACATGGCTGGCCGGGGATGTTCTTCTATGACTGGACCTGAAAGCCTTCGGGGGCAATGTGTGCCAGGGGCACGGGCTGATTCCCCGAGTCAGGGTGGAGAGCGCGAAGGTTGGTGGTCAGAAGAAAAGGACGGCGGAGTAGCAGGATGGTTGGACAGCAAGGGGCACTGCCATGGCTATCTGTTCGTATTTGGGCTTGGACATTGGAGCTGTGAGCGCCGATGCCGTCTCTTCCACAGCTCTGTGACGGGTGTCTCTCAGTTCCTGCATTAGGCAGCCAGCTTTTCACCTGCCCATCCCGTCATCCGGTCTTGCGACTCCCCAGACACCGAGCGGGCGGGATCCAATGCCCTTCCAAAGAAACTTGAACCTTGCTTCCATCGTTTCTGTCGTCCTTCCTTTCTCGCCTAATACCACGTGGACGGGATATTGCTGGGATGGTCCAGGGGGTGGCACTGGGGGTGTAGCATGCCAAGATGCTGGCTGTGCCACGGCCATCTCGTCAGCCGGACAGTCTGATGTGGTCATCGAAAGACGACACACGGGCAACACAGGGCGAGCGATGTGTTCAGTGCCCAGGCGGCACGTAAGCCGGGAGGGCTAACGTCGCGCCGTTTCTGCCCGCAGCAAAGCGAAAGCAATGGAAGGCGCTCGAGCAGTTGAGATCATGGACGTTCCCGAGGAAGGTCTGTGAGTGCCAACTGCCAAGCCTGTTCGGAACCTGGTGTAACTGAGACTTTGCTAAGTATATAGGAGATGTGGTACGGCGCCGGTAGTGGAAAGTGACTTGAGTGGTATGCATGCAAGTACCTTATGAAAGGAGCGTTGGAACTACAACGTTGGCGCATGCCGTGTCACGGAGAATGATGTGACAAAGCTGGATTACGTGACAATGGCCCCCGTATGGCCGCGTCACGATAAAAGCTCCAGCCCGCCCTGTAGGCAGATGGTAGACTATTGGCAACCTGCCTCGCAAAGGCCGGGTTCGGGCGTTCCATCGCTGCGCGGAGGCTGCAACGAGCGGGGCCATATTCTCGTGGAATCTCATCTGGCCGGGATCGGTTTTGACATTGTGGTTCGCGCGCAGCGGGTGATCGACCGATCGGCTTTTCCATGCCGAAAGTGACGAAAATCTTGAAGAGATTGGAGGGGTTCGGCTTGGGAGCGCGTGATGCAGGGCGCCTGCAGTCAAGCCCGTTAGTTGAGGGTCAGGGATCTCAGATGCGTTAGCTGTAGGTTTAATGACTCCCGGTTAGATGCATTGCATCGCAACTGCCTTGTGAACATCATAACGTATGTACTGCACTAGTGTAGCAGGGCAGTGACGGGAGCTTTCCCTCAACTGCAGGCGGCAACGTCTGTAATGCTACTTCCTATTTCCAAATTGTCACCTTCCGCCCCTAGCAGGACACTGCCCGGAAGAGAAGGATGCCGAACAGACCGAAGGTGACGGGGAGGGAGCACAAGACAATAGTCAGCGTTGTAGGTAGCATTCTGTTCCTTTTACTAACTAGTGCACTACTGCTACCTTGAATCGTCTTCAGCCACACTTCTAATCTCGGGATAGTTGCTTTCGAGAAAAGCTGAGGAGGGTTGCACTCAACGCCCCCTTTGAGTAACCCCGGAGAATATACTATTGACCGAACTCGCTGCCGTGCCTGATGGGTTGTGGCGCAGGAATCTACTATTTGGCAATATTTCTTCGTTTTCGCCAACCGCAGCACTACCATCGTTCCCGATTCAGTTTCAACTAGTTCTCTGGGCTGAAAGGGAGTTGAGCATACAACCGATTGAGTTGTGAAATGACTCAGAGGAGTCACGGGGATCGATTGATTGTTGATACAGACTTCGAGCCCCATCTACATCGATACGAATGTGGATGCGACTGATACCCCAAGAGTGTATAGTACCTTTAGACAACTTGCTTCGCCCACGAGCGACTCAGGCCGCTTTGAGCTTGTCCTAAGTTTGCTGATAACCTAACGTAGGTACCTCTAGTCAACTGAACACCTTGAATGCTGAAGCTGCCTTCACCATCTGCCCTCTAGTCGATTTTAGGTTTAGATAGGGTCAGCTGAGATGCACATCGAGTGCCCAACCGCCTACCACGCCACCCGCCGGTGATTCCCAGTCTATACCTTGCTAGCCTGATTGTCGTGCCGGACCGTTTCCAGCTCCAAACCCTGCGAGACCTTCTCCAGCTCTCCTTCAGCGCTCAAATCCCTCGCCTCGGCATCCCGGTTCCCATACCGGCCAATCTTGTACCAAGGCAGCTCAAACAGCCGGTCCATGCTCTCCAGGCTGCGCCCCGCTGTCTCGGGCACCGCGAACCACACCCAGAGCCCGCCCAGCATGGTCATGGCTGCAAAGAACCAGAACGTCCCGTGGGGGGAAATACCCCCATGCGAGGGAGGGAGCAGCAGGTTCGGTACGGCCCGCGCGTTGCCGTATTGGTTGACAAAGTGGAATGTCATGGCCAGCGACGTGCAAAACGCGCGGATGCGCAGCGGAAAGAGCTCGGCCGTGAGCAGGTACTGCATGCTGTTCCACCCAAGCGCCCAGCCGAATCCCGACAGGTAGATCATGGCGACGGCGCCCTTGGACGCGGCCAGCTGCGAGGGCGTGTACGTGCGTTGATTTTCGTTATGGACCTCGAGCGAGGGGACAGCCGTCAGAAAGCTGGCCACGTAGATCATCGAAACCGTCTGGAAGCTGATCCCCAGCAGGAGGGACCGCTTGCGGCCAATGACGTCTACTAGGAAAAGGGCGCAAATGATGGCTGCCACAAGCTTGAGAAGGCCAAACACGGCCGTAACCAGGAGGGACGTGTTGGTGTCGGCAATGCCGAGCAGAGCGAAGAGGTCGGGCGCGTAGAGTGTGATGGAGCCGGCACCCGACCATTGGGAGAGGATCTGCGCTCCAAGGGCGAGGCACACGCGGTAGAGGTTCCTACGGTTAGCAAAGGCTTCCCTGAGGATGCCGAGCCACCCTGCACTCTTTGTCGCTTCCCTTTCTTCAATTAGGTTCGCCGTAATTGCATTGATCTCACGGACAACGTAGTCATGGTCCGCAGGTAGCTGGCGTAGCCGGGACATGGTCTGAAGCGCCGTGACATTCCGATCTTTCATGATGAGGTACCGTGGCGATTCGTACTGCAAGAACGTGAGGAGGAAGATGATGCCTGCGAACATGAGATGTATGCTTGTTGGCACTAGCCACCGGGCTGCCGTGTCGTCGTCCATGTTGATCTCGCAGCCGTAGTTTGTGAAATATGCCAGGACGATGCCGAGGTAAACAAAGCCGGTGAAGGCACATGTGCAGAGGCCTCGAATACTTGCTGGTGCAATCTCAGCGAGGTAGACTGGGCCTACAACGGGCGTCTGTCCGACACCCAGCCCGGCGATGAATCTCCCTGCGTAGATAGCGCCTAGGTGGCCGTTGGACCCCATGAAGATGGCAATTCCGACCATCCAAAGAATACAAAGCTGCCGTGTGGCCCATATACGCCCGATCCTGTCACAAACAAGAAACGCGCTGTCCAAGAATCAGCTCGTGTTTCAACAAGACTCAAAGCGCTATGAATATAGCCAGTATGTGACGGATAGGAGTGGATGCCGGCTATCAGCGAACTCACATCAGCGCGCCTCCAACAGAGCCTATCTGTACCATGGCCGAGACATTGGCCTTGATATTGGCTTGGTCGACAGTTGAGTATGAGCTGTAGTTGATAGTCTTCTGGAAATGTTCGCTGTTGAATGCGCCGCTGATCAGGCCCTCGTCAACGCCGCGGGCGGCGCCTAGAAGGCTGAAGGAGAGGACAGCGAACCATAGTCTCCAGTTGAATACCTCGTTGGGCTCGCTCAGATTCCTGAGCCTGAAGATGTTGACGGGTTTCTTGACACCGCCAGCCATTGTTATGAGATATCCAAACCGTCTTCCCGGTCTCGTGACAGCTTGACAATGCGGCGGTCAAAGGTCCAGACTCCAGTTCCGGATGCTCTGGTTCACACTTTACAGGGGCTCCTCTGACGTCTTATCCCTCGAACTGGACGATCTGAGTCGAGCTGCATGCCCGGAGCCTGGCCGGGTCCCTGTCATGGCGGTGGGCCGATTGTTGCGCAACGATCCCCGCCCTCGTCCACCACAAGTGTAGAATGACCCGGGTGCATGCACCCCGCGTGTAACTTCCACGGCGTTATATGACAGAAGGATGAAGATCTAGAGATATTTCAGGAAGGTGTCCCCAGGCAATGAGACGCCGACTCGGCAGTTTGAGCGAATCACATTATCACACTGCGTACCTGGATAGCCCTGGTCGGAAGGAGTCGGGCTTCGCAGTTCAACGCGGGGAAAAAAGAGTTTAAACGGCGAAAAGATAGGGAAGATCCGTCGAGGAAACTGCATGGTCCCTGTCGTCCTTGCTTACACTAGTACACAAGCACATAGGCTCACATGTGAACAACCCTGTTTCACCGTCAGTTATCCCTGTTAACGGCAGTGGGGAGGAAGAAACGAGATATGGTAGCGCTGGGAAAGGTGGACGAAGGAATGTGGTCACTTGGCCCAACACGCAGATCAGCATCCACTTTCAACTGCGCTGAATTGCCGACCTACCATCCGAGAACCTGACCTGAAGCTTTGTCGCAGTGGCATCGGGAGAGACCGCACCGAGCTCTGAGCTCCGTAGCGGACACGTTTTGCATCCGAAGAAGCAAAAGACTGTAGGTGTAGTGTCAAATCTTGTGCCACCATCTTCAAGGGACAAGTTTTGCTAGATCGCCCTAGAAGCAATTGATTGTGGTCAGGAAAAGCTTTGCCAAGGGCGTGCCCAGTGATTGAGGGGCACTTGGCAAGAGGATCAAGGTAACCCTAACCCTGTTGACTGTATAACCTCACTTACGATCAACCCTCCAGTCACAACCTGGAAGATTTCCAGTGTCCATTGACATCGCTTATTACCGCCTCAAACCCAATCGTACTTCTTCTAACATCGAGGAAGGAGTGAATGAATTCTAGATGACCGAGCGCGCGCCCCCTATCCGCGTCAAACATGAGGATGCTGAGGCCTTTGTCATCGAGCTTCTTGAAGCATCCGGGCTGTCCAGAAAGAGTGCCGAGATTGTCGCCAATGGGCTGGTACAGGCAGATCTTCGAGGAGTCGAAAGCCACGGCATCAATCGTATCCCTTCCTACCTCGCGCGCATCCGCAATGGCGTTCTGAGTCCAAAAGCGGAGCCAGCCGTGAATCAGCTAACGCCCGTGGTTGCCCAAGTGAGCAGCCCTCTTCAGAACCTTACCTGAGCGTGCGGGCTGCTCACCCAGTACCATTTCTTTTAGGTTGACGGCAGCAACGGTTTTGGTTTTTGCGCGGCCCACCTCGCCATGGAAACAGCCATCTCCATGGCCCGGACGTTTGGCATCGGCATGGTGAGCGTCAAGCACAGTAACCACTTTGGCATGTCCGCTTGGATCGTCCGCCAAGCCACCGACGCCGGCATGATGAGTCTGGTTTTTACAAACTCGTCCCCGGCTTTGCCCATCTGGGGCGGCAAGTCGCAGCTGATGGGCGTCTCGCCAATCGCCTGCGGAGCCCCCGGCGGCGACAAATCGATCCCCTTCATCCTCGACATGGCACCCTCAGTTGCTGCGCGTGGAAAAATATACAAGGCGCTCCGTCGCGGCGAGAAGATCCCCAGTGATTGGGCGCTAGACGAGGACGGGAAGCCGACCGACGACCCGGAGCATGCTCTCAAGGGTGTCATGCTGCCAATGGGCGGGCCAAAGGGGTCGGCGTTGGCCATCATGATGGATGTTTTCTCCGGAGTGCTCTCCGGATCTGCCTTTGCTGGAGGTGTGACGGGGCCGTATGACATGTCCAAGCCCGGAGACGTCGGGCACTTCATCGTCGCAATCAAGCCTGATTTGTTCATGACGCTGGACGAGTTTAAGGAGCGCATGGACGTCCTCTACTGGCGGGTGGTGGAATCGGAGAAAATGGATGGAGTGGACAGGATCTACTTCCCTGGGGAGATTGAGCAGTTGACCGAGGCGGAGAGGCGAAAGGAAGGGATACCTTTCGTTCAGTCAGAGATTGACGCGCTGAATGCTGAGGCTGAGAGATTGGGGGTGACCAAAATTCAGATCATGCCTTGAGTTCAGAGGGTGTTGACTTGATTATCGACTCTTAAACATAGACTGCCGGTAGAACTTTGCCAAGTCACGTTTTTGCAACAAATACCGTACGAAACCCAGAAGCGACTCTAAGGTGTTCTTTCAGCAGATGTAGTTCACAGACACTGTCCACTCCAGCCCTCGAGATCCAGCCAACATGGTAGGGGCCACTAGAGCGGGCTATCAATCGCTGAGCGGTTGAGCCAGGCTCGGGCAGGTTTTTCCGTCGTCGCGAATAGTCATTCTCGAGGTATTTGCCGTGCTCCTAGTCTCGAAGCTGCATTCATACAGCTGCTTATAGGGCGGTACCTCAGGCTTGTGCCGGCCGCTCACGACAGTGAGGCACCAGGGGACAGATCGATGAATCGATGATAGGTGTTCTGTTGATCCAGCGTCCCGCCGTCCTTGCTGCAAATGACCTCGTCCGACCATCGGGAGTACTGGCTTATCGGTAGGTTAAGTATTTGGATTTCGAAACTGTGAAATGTCATGCTTCCTAGTTGCCTAAAGTAGCCGGCGCATTTCCAGTTTCTGAACCTCAAGACCTCAGAGTTGTTCTTATGTTGGTGGTATTGGTTGTAGAGTGGAGAGAGTCGAAACTCAAAACCCCTTGAAAACAGAAAAAGGCTGCACCACGGTGTGGCTACTGCGCTGTGGGTCCGATAGGGCGTTCGCTTACACTAGTGGCGGCTGGAATCCTGGCACTTCTTGCTAACGCCCACCCCGGCAGGATATCTCGACCTCACACTGGACAATGGTCACAAATCGAAAATTTCGGTCCGCCGGTCCCCCGCCGCCAGCGACCACCCTCGTACTCGACAATGGCGCCGACACCATCAAAGCCGGCTTCGTAGCTGGCGGAAAGGCTAGCGAACCCCGAATTATTCCCAACTGCATCGCGCGCGATCGCCACAAGAAATTGTATGTCGGCTCCGAGCTGGAAAGATGTAGAGATTTCGGCGAGATCGCATTTCGCCGGCCGGTAGAGAAGGGGTTCATCGTAAACTGGGAAGCGCAAAGGGAAATATGGGATCGCGAGTTCTTCGACGACACGGCGCCTCAGGAATGTGACCCTTCCGAGACCCGACTCATTCTCGCCGAACAACCGAACTCCCTGCCGGCCTTGCAAACGCACTGTGACCAGATGGTGTTCGAGGAGTTTGGGTTTGCCAGCTACTATCGCGGCATTGGTGTGTCGATCCCCCTTCGCCCCGTGCAGCAGGAGTTGTGCTGACCACGGGGATTTGACAGGTCCCTCGTTCAATGCATACCAAGACGTACAAGCGGTCTTCCGAACACCGAGGGAACCCGATACGCCAGTTGAGATCCCGGCCGAAGTCATTCTTCTCATTGACTCTGGGTATTCCCACACCACTGTCACGCCTATCCTCCAAGGCCGGCCGCTACACCAAGCCATCCGGAGACTGGACGTTGGCGGCAAGCTGCTGACCAATTACCTCACCCGTTTGCTCTCGATCCGCCACTTTGACATGCGCAACGAGACCTACATTGTGAACGAGATGAAAGAAGCCGTCTGCTACGTCTCGCTCGACTTCAAGGGCGATTTGGAAAAGTCGTGGAAGGGCACCCGGGGCGAGCGGCGGGAGGACTATGTGAACGGCGCCGGCGTGGCTAAGGACTACGTGCTGCCCGATTCCCACACCCGGTTCCACGGTATCGTCAGGGAGTACGAACCCGGGGCCTCGTCACGTGCCCGCAAGGGGGCTGTCGTGTCTACCGAGGACGTGCTGACGCTGCGGAACGAACGCTTCGCCGTCCCCGAACTGCTGTTCAACCCCTCGGATATCGGCATGCGGCAGCCGGGGCTGGCAGACTTGGTCATGCAGTCGCTCTCTGTGCTGCCCATCGGCCTGTGGCCGGGCCTGTTGGCCAATATTGTGGTTGTGGGCGGGAACGCCAAACTAGACAATTTCATTCAGCGGTTGCAGATGGAGTTGCTGGAGAGGGTGCCTGATGAGTGCGTTGTTCGGGTGGCTCGTCCAGCGGACCCAATAACGAGTACTTGGCAAGGGGCTGCCAACTTTGCCATGCACGAGCATGTTGAGCAGCTGGCTGTTACGAAGCGGGAGTACGAGGAGTATGGTGCTGGATGGGTCGCCAGGAAGTTTGCTGCCGGTCTTGGTGTCAGCTCCTGATGTTGAGGCTGGATTATGTGAGCCTGGCTCTTCTGATACATTCTATGGATGGCTCATAATCTAGCCACAGAAGAGGCGTGAGGTAAAGAAACAAGTTTGATCGCGGTTAGTACATGTTCTGCTCCTTTGGGATTTGTGAGGGGGGTTCTCATGTGTCCCAAGCTGATCGCTTGTTAGATCTTAATGAGCGAAGTCATACGAGCCTTCAGGCTGTGCACATTCCGGCTCGTAGCTTCTGTTGAGTATGGACAGACTAGTCGTATTATGGGCTAGCTGCTCCTACACCTTCAGCAATGGACTGCTCACTAAGTGAGCAAGACTAGCATCGCACTATTCTATAGGCGAACGATCCAAGTTCTAATACTCAACATGGCCCTGTGCTAGACGTATCTTTGGAAGATCTCTTAAAGAAGGGAATGATTCTACCTAAAGTACCTTAGCAATACAAAGGGAAATATTGGTTACAACTATCTAGCTTGATTGCCGGCTTTCTCTTTTTCTATAGCCATATCTGGTGTTCCCTTCGTTGATTCCAAATGGCTGACTGTCATCTAACTCATATACAGCAGTGCCTTTGATCTGTGTAAGCACAGGTTCTCATTCCTAATCCTCTAATTCTATGATTTCTATCCATAACTGAAATCATCAAATCCTGTGAACTGGCAGATTGAATCTATTGAAGCTAACCAAAACCATTGGAACACGCACCAAGCATGTGGGACAATGTCTCCTGCACAATCACTGTACTTGATGCCATGGGGATGTGAATTGTGTTTCACTTGGATTAACATTTTGGTGTTGATGATGTGTGGCAGAGACCGATAAGGATCCCGAGGTAGACGCTAGTACAGACATGGTATAGCGCTGTTCGTCTATCAAGCAGCGAATCTCTCCAGATTAACAAATCCCTTGTTCAAGCCCAATGCATTGCCCACAAAACTCGCAGCATAACCCGACGGCGATTTTCCTCAACTTTTAATAGTTGCATCACGGTTCAGATCTTGGAGCGTCCTGGGAGAACCAACTGACAATGTCCTACAATGCAAGGCATTCCCCGCCGAGGGGCTTTCATCCTCTCCCGCCCCGCCCCCGCGATTATCGAAATGATCGCGATCATGACCGCGACCGAGACCGCGACCGAAACCGCGACGCGAGAAATCGAAACAACGAAGCAAACTCGTATCGGCCATTTGGATATTCGGGCCCGCGCGGTGCTAATAGCTACCATCCGCCGCAGGGCGATTTCAGCTTTCGCGTTGACAAGCCAGCAGGAATCCAAGAAACCGATACCTATCGCCCCAACAATAGGAATTTCCACAGTGATCGGCGCGATCCGCCTTCGCCTCGACGAGATTCTCGCTCTACAAGGAGAAACCGGCCTTCAAAGACTGCCAATGGTGACCGGCTGCCTCGCGATGCCAGGTTCGGTGGAGGGCGCGGAGGCCGGCCATGGCGCCCCTTCGTTGCCGCTGAGCGTGAATTGCTGAAAGCCGACCATGCCACTGGTTCAGAGCTCAACTTCTTCGATACCCAGGGCGGCGTGACATACCGTCCCTTAGAAGATCTGACTGACAGCGAGGAGGCCGACATGGACATTTCTGGAGATGAGGATGAGTCCTCCGCTGAACCCTCAAGTAAGCGCGCACGGCTGTCCGTGGAACAATCCGCCTTCGGCAACAGCGCGCCAAAGTGGTCCAACCCGGACCCTTATACAGTCTTGCCGCCGGAGACAACAACACAGGGAAAGAAGAAAGATGTCGTCCAGATGATTCGCAAAGCCCGTGTACCGGTGAAGCCAGTCAAAGTTTCTCTCCCTTCTGAAGAGGCAGACTTCATCTCGCTTGACGTTGATAGTGACGTCTCCGACGACACCGGCGTCGCGGAAGTGCCGCCACCCGCAGTCCAAGCGCCTCGCGGGCCTGACAAGCCAAAACCTGCACGGGAACTTTACCCAGATCCTACACCATCGGCTCTCGGAAGCCGGAAGCGGACCCACGATGATGAAATCAAGATGCCTCATACAAAGCTCAAAAAGGCCTCCAAGGCTCCTGTTGGGGGTGATATCGTCAGCGAGTGGCGTGCGGTGCCCGGTCAGCCTTCGACTCCGTGGATGGTAGCAGACCACTCTCAGTCTGCCAACGTGGCCGTCTGGTTAGTATCTCATCCTTGTTCCGGCTTGACTGATGGCTAACACGCTCATGATCAGGTTGCACAAGGAAATCGTTGACTTTTACGAGTACATCAAGCCCCGTGATTTCGAGGAGCGTTTGCGCAACGAACTGGTCCAAGACCTGAAGAATTTCTGTCGGCAAGCGTTCAAAGACGCCGAGGTGTACCCCTTTGGCTCCTTTCCTTCTGGTCTCTACCTGCCCACTGCCGATATGGACATGGTTTTCATGTCGGACCGGTACTGGCGCGGCGGGCCCGCTAAGTATGACACCAAGTCGGCATTACATCGATTTCGAGCACAGCTGGTTAGCCATAAGCTGGCTTGGGATAACGAGATCGAGCTCATTCTCAAAGCCAAAGTGCCTCTGGTCAAGTTCATCGAGCATCGGACTGGCCTCAAAGTCGACGTCTCGTTTGAGAATAGCACGGGCTTGACTGCTATTGAGACGTTCAAGGCTTGGAAAGAGCAGTACCCTGGCATGCCGGCATTGGTGACCCTGATCAAGCACTTTCTTCTGATGCGTGGCCTCAACGAGCCCGTCAATGGCGGTATCGGAGGCTTCTCAGTCATCTGCTTGGTGGTGAGTATGTTGCAGATGATGCCCGAGGTTCAGAGCGGCAACCTGGATACCAGGCACCACCTTGGCCAGCTTCTTTTGCACTTCTTGGACCTGTACGGCAACAAGTTCAATTATCAGACCATCGCCATCAGCCTGAATCCGCCGCAATGGATTCCGAAGGTTCGTAAACAACCCTTAACCCTTGCCGTTGCCGCTACAGGGCTTCCGGACTAATTCGGCCGTGTTCGATGTTTTAGCACCAGGTTACGGCGTTTGCCTACAAGAACACCGATCGTCTTTCCATCATTGACCCGAATAACCCGGCAAATGACATTGCTGGCGGATCGAGCAATACAAGCACAGTCGTTTCTCTCTTTTCCCAGGCTCATCACGACCTGACTGAGCACATGGCGCGGCTGGCGCAAGATCCAGAACGGCGAGGTCAGAGCCTTCTAGGGGTTATCATGGGCGGAAACTACTCAAGCTTCCAGAAGCAGCGCGATTACCTCGAGCACCTATCGAAACAGGACAGGCAGCACGTGGACCAGCCTACCGTTCTTCAGAGACCACCTGACTTCAGGAATCGTTCGTCTCGAAAAAGGAGATAAAACCCGTTCCCTGCGTCGCCTCCCCGTCGCTGAACGCACCGTTCTGTTACGAAGTACCGAGCAACAACAGGAAGGACCCGGGTGGCATACTCTTCCTTTCCGCTTTTTTCTTTTTTTATCTTTGCCTGGACGGGCAACGTTGAGATACTCGACTTGCCGAGTTTCACTGTCCGACGATCATCCTCTGGGTCAGCATCGTGGAGTTGAGGAAACAGGTGCATCGCGATACCCCTTATAGATCCATGGTTGTCTTTTCTTGTTTGCCCTATCACTGTCCGGATTCCTGATCACGGCACTATTCCGCTGTTAGATTTTCCGTCCGCCGGAGCATCCTTGTCGAGTTGTGTAGTATAGGGCGATGGCGCTCAACCCGACAGCATGTTGACGTTGTCGCCATCCGCAGCCAAGGACATCCTTTGAGCGTCTACCCTGTTGGGCTCAGCTCATTCCATAGGCCGAGTTGGCTGTTCTGAATCAATCAGTCTTCCTTTACCTTCTCTTGAGTTTCGTGACCGGCAAGCCGATTTCTGGATCCGCCCGAGCCGGGCGCGACGAGCTGACTGTTTACAGACCTCAGTGGTTACGCACGCTCCTTGATCAGTGACGGCATCACACACAGGTTTGTCCAAGATCCGGAGCGTTGCTGTTGCTGCGACAATGAATGCATTCCTGCGGGTGCATCTCTCGGAGCATTGGGGTACCTACCCCTTTTCTCTTTCTATTTTCAAACTTTTCTCACTGCATGCTGCGCTTTGGGTGTGGCTGCGGGGAGGATTGAACACCCTAGGTACCTACCTAAGTGTTATGACGATGACCATGGTGAGAATCTGGACTACGAGTGCTGTTAACCGTGGCAGCGAGGGGGTTACCGGGTGGCAGCATGTGAAGACCGGCCTTTCTCGGCATAACGTCAAGCTCCGCATGTGGTGCGGGCGGCTGCTTCGGGGGTAAAATTCACTGTGCTTACGGGACGGACGGCAGGCAAGCAGGGCCCCTCGCTCGCTGTGCCCGCCCAAAGTCCTTGCTGAACTCATCAACAGAAAAAAGCCAGGAGCAGATCACAAGCCAAGAGTCCCCCTTGGCTTAAAACGGATCGTCGTCTCCACCTCCACTTCTGGGCAAGCTGGGGAGTGGGGAATGAGCTTAACAGGGCCCTGCCGCCGTCTTGGCTGCATAAAGTGCGGGGCAGTCGAGCCTTCCAACCATGGCAAGATCTCCACAGTGTCACTTGCCTTGGCGGCGCTGCTTCGGCCTCACTCTCGCATCTTTCCATGCGATTTGCTGCTCAAATGTTGCATTCTTGAGGGGCAAGGCATTCGCTACAGTACGACTCGTCCTCAGTTTCTTACAACTACGCGACCGCGTCGGGCAACAGTTGAGACAGTGAAGCTGTCATACGCCAAATGATTTGCGACGAGGAGGCGCTGCGCATGCACGCCATTATTATCTTACTTTGCATGGCCTGACTAGACATTGTCTTTGCGGCAGGTTACACCATCGCTGGACGATGTATCACTTCCTCGCCTAGACTCGGAGTCGTACAACTCGGGTCTTTTCTCCAGGTGGCTTTCTAGAATCTCGGGTGTCCGACGTTGGACAAAGCACGGGTTCGTGTCGAGGTTTGTGTTGTTCTGGCGTCATCAACCCGAGCTCCTGTGGATCTTTAACGGCGGAACTTTCTTCACCTCACGCCAGAGGCTCGGTTCTGCGGGGTATCACTCCCCGTGCCAACCAACGTTGAACGCCAAGGCTGACAGCGAGAGCAAGATGTGTAACATTTGGTCAGGCTCCTTCCGGCTTGGACTCGGCGTAAAAACGGTGTGGCATATTTAAGGTTGCTTGCCAAGAAGGAAGGTCTTGCAGGGCAGCAGCCGGCACTCGGCGAATCTCCCGGGCCGTACGAAATGCGAAAACGGTTTACAATCAGCATCGCTCGTCTCGCTGTGGTCTCTCGGCTGTGTGCAGTGTATATTCGTCCCGCGGCAAAGGAATCGACATTGACTTGGCAGCAACTCTGCCGAACTCCCGGCCTCGCTACACCACCGCGTGTACCTTAAGCAGACCCCTTAGCTAGACAACGGCATACACTGCTTGGTGAGTGTTACGTTGCTCCCGCCAATGGATATGAGGTTGTGGTTGGTCCAAACCAGTCGCTCGGAATCGCTGCTTGGCATTGTTACCAGAAGGATTCTCACAATGGCAGGCCACAAACCGAGTCCTGCTGCTTGTTGTCCATGCACCACTCTAGCATGGTAGTGTGACCGCCGGCCCATGGCCGTGCAACCCTACAATGATTAGATCAGGAAATGATGGCCATCTTTATCCCAGTTCATCAGCATCCTGCTGCTCCAGCTTTGCAGGGCGCCGTTCCAGGCTACCATCAGCTCCCAGCCGGCCGGACGGCCTATGCAGACGATATTCGGGGGTTGGAACTGTGGTTAGCATAAAGTGCTGGCAGCCCCGCTACGTCGATCGTCCCTTGCTCCTCGCACACAATGTCTTAGACCCTTTTCCTCCCCAAGCCCTGGGAAACTAAAACAACCAGCCCAGATATTGACTAGCCAGGGCGCCACTGTTGCCCGTGGCTTTCCGTCACCCTTTCACCATGTACCAAGCCAGCAATGTCTACTTCATCTGCTCGTTCGCCGCCATTGGTAAGTTCAGCCAGCCGTCTCCGCACACACTTTCTCCCGCCCGTCACCACAACGAACTGGACCTCAGGGTTACTAACATGAAAATGTCCCACACAACTAGGCGGTGGGCTCTTCGGGTTCGACATCTCGTCCATGTCCGGGGTGCTAGGCACGCAGGCGTACAAGCGTTACTTTGGCAACCCCGTGTCGTACGCGCAGGGGGGCATCACGGCGTCCATGCCGGCGGGGAGCCTGGTCGGGTCGCTGGTGTCGTCCTTCATCGCGGACCGCTACTCGCGCAAGGTGGCGATGCAGTTCTCGTGCGTCCTGTGGATCATTGGCAGCATTCTCATGACGGCCGCCCAAACCATCCCCATGCTGTGCATCGGCCGCGTCATTTGCGGCCTGTGTGTCGGCATTGCCTCGTCCGTGGTCCCCATCTACCAGAGCGAGATCGCGCCCAAGGAGATCCGTGGACGGGTGGTTAGTCTCCAGCAGTGGGCTATCACTTGGGGGATTTTGATGTATGTTTTTTCGGGTGAGATCGTTTGCTGGGGAGTGGTTATGCTGACCGGTGCTTTCACCCTCGCAGACAATACTTCATCCAGTTCGGCGCCGCTTCGGGAGTTGGGGGCGGCCCAGATGACCCGGACCAGCCGACCGCCGCGTTCCGGATTCCCTGGGGTGTGCAGATGGTTCCGGCTTTCATCCTGCTTGTCGGTCTCTTTTTCTTCCCCTACACCCCCAGATGGCTCGCCTCCAAGGACCGATGGGACGAAGCCCTCAATGTGCTTGCCAACCTCCACGGTGGTGGTGACAAGAACCACCCCAAGGTGCTCGCTCAGTACCAGGAAATCCAGGAAGCACTACAGTTTGAACGGGAGCAGGCAATCTCGTCCTTCAAAGCTCTTGTTGCGCCAAAGATGCTGAAGCGTGTGGCTCTGGGGATGAGTATTCAGATGTGAGTTTCCTTGACTAGGAGAATGGTGGGTTTGAAACGGGTTTGAGCTGATCGGCTCGTTGTCAGGTGGTCCCAGCTTTGCGGCATGAACATCATGATGTACTACATCGTCTACATAATGGAGGGTGCCCAGATCGCGTCACCGCTAGCTACAGCGTCGATCCAGTACGCCATCAACGTCGTCCTGACGCTTCCGGCCATCATCTTCCTCGACAAATGGGGCCGGCGCCCGTCTCTGATTCTCGGCTCCTTCGGCATGATGACCTGGCTGTTCATCTCCGGTATGTCTTCTCGCATCACGCTATCCCCTTGCTTAAGTTACCCCAAAGTCCTTACTGACAAATTCGCCCTCAGGCGCACTACAACAATACTACGGCCAGCCCAACACAGGCGAAACCCGCACCCCGAACAACAGCGACATCACGTGGATCGTGTACCAGAACCGGCCCGTGTCCTCGGCCATCGTGTCGTGTTCGTACCTGTTCGTGGCCACCTTTGCGACCACGTGGGGTCCCGTGTCGTGGACGTATCCGGCCGAGATCTTCCCCAGCAAGATCCGCGCCAAGGCCGTGTCGCTGTCGACGGCGGCCAACTGGTTCTGGAACATGGTGCTGGCGTTCGCCGTGCCTCCGCTGCTGTGGAACATCTCGTACAAGATGTACTATATCTTTGGCGCCTTCAACGCCGCCGCCTTTGTGCACATGGCCCTGATGGCCCCGGAGACTAAGGGCTTCACGCTTGAGGAGATGGACGACGTGTTTGACTCGGGCCGGCCGGCGTGGAAGAAGTACAAGAAGGGCAGTCGTCTGGAGGATATTGAGCGGCAGATTGCCGAGGGAAATCTCAAGGTATGCCTCGATGGGACTATCGATCTGATGGTTGCTGACTGACTGTGTGACGCATCAGGTAGAAATCCCGTTGGGACATGTGCACAAGCCCAACGCGGCAGGCGATACCGTCGTCGCCCCGACCATCGAGCAGTCCGAGCATAAGACGGACGCTGCGCCTGCTGAGAAGCCAGTTGCATCCTAATCTTCCCTGGCTGAGATGGATCATCATGGATGTCGTCACTGACGCGGAACCCAAGCTCTTAACATAGGCAATCCGTGTTCCTGGGCACCGTGTCGGGTGGTTGAGAGAATTGATTGGGTCCCTAGTAGCAATCCATTTCGGACTTCTACAACTACTATTAGTAGTAGTAAGGATACCTAGGTAGTCTTAGTGACATATCTCGAGATACCAGCTTTCCAGAATTAATCACGATAATCACTGCGTGAACTCAAACGTCCATAGACGATAGAGGTCTGATGGCAGCGTACCAGTCACATTCCTACATTCAAAACAAGGAGTTACAGGTATACAGGACACGGAAGCAGTGGCCTTACTTAGAAGGAACAGTGAGGCCATTGATATCCAAAATATGCATGTCCAAACTCAATCCTGAAGACTTAGGTACAATAATCTGCTCAAGTAGTCACGTATCTACAAGAAGAAAGGAAACGAGACCGAAGGTAACTGAAGCGATGTGTCGATAGCGACAGTGGCCTGTTTAACTTCAAATTTGCAATAGACTCAAACAAAGCCGAAGAGAGCCAACAAGTTCCGACACAACAGCAGACAAGAGCAACGATTCCGAACCATAATAGGCATCCTGGTCCTACGGAAAACATCAAGCCATGCCCGCAACAATCTTACTCTTGGCGCACACCCCTTTGGCAAGAGTCTGGATCGACCCGCTCGAGAGGAGCTCCAGCACCTGCAGATTTGCCTCAAACTCGCGCGTGATAAAGTTGCGAATCTCAATCGCCACGAGCGAGTCGAGCGGGTAATGCGACAGCGACCTCGTGACGTCCATGTCCTCGGCGTCGAGCATCAGCACCGACGCGATCTTGTCCACGAGCCCGCGGCAAACCACATCCTCGGCCTCGGCGCGCGATTTGGCCGCCTTGAGCGCAGCGTTGAACGACACGGCGGCGTTGTTGAGCGACGCATCCTTGGCCGCCGCCTCCTCAGCCGCGATGCGCATCGCCTTGAACTTGGCATCGTCGGTCCAAAACGGCCGCATGCTTGCCGTGATGCGCATGCCTGTGATGGTGTGGTTGTTGCATGTCGAGGCCATGGTGCCGTCAATGGCGGCGTTCAGCAGTGCGAGAACCTCGCTCTCGCAGATACTGTCACTTCCGAGGTTCCTTGCTACTTCGGCGGCCTTTTCGAGGTCCTCGGCTAGATAACCAGAGTCGGAGACGGCGGTTAGATCGAGGGACGAAGCGGGCAGGCCCTGGGCAAGGCGGTGTTGCACTAGTGCGTTGAGGAAGCAGTTTGCTGCACTGTAAGCGGCCTGGCCACGGTTTCCGACCGCGCCCGCAGCGGATGAGATCGCGACGAAGAAATCGAGCGGCGAGTTCGCGAGCGCATGGTGAAAGTTCCACCCGCCTTGAACTTTGCCTTCGATGACCTGGGTATAATCCTCCCACGTCATCTTCTCGAACAAGACATCCTGTGTATGTACCTGTCAGCCTTGCTGCGCGGTGTGCTTCTTACAATTGACGGAACACCTACCCTCAGCACCATGGTGCCGTGCACCACGCCCCGTATAGGAGGCAGCTCACTGAGCCCACTGATGAGTTCGTCAACTTCGGCCTTGTTCACCACATTGCACCGGCGAACCACGATGTTGGCTCCAAGTGCGCCAAGGTCGTCAACGAGTTCTTTTACCCGTCCCGTCACGGAACCGCTCCTGGAAACGAGGACAATGTTCTTGGCGCCCTTGGCCACCATCCACCGAGCCATACTGCGGCCCAGGCCTCCGGTACCGCCGACCAAGATATATGTCGCATCTGGGCGAAGCAGAGGCTTCACCTTCTTCGATCGTGCCGCCTGTTGCAATTGTATCAGCACCCTCTCTGCATGCGGATAGCACGGCCCACTCACCTTCACAATGTCAGTGGGTTTCGCGACAACCACAAGCTTGCCCAGCGTCCTGCCACTTTGCTGGGCCTTCAACGCGGACTCAACATCTGAAATCGGGAATGTCGTAACCGGCGTTACAGGCCGGATCTTTCCGTACTTCAAGAGCTGCGACACGTCTGCGAGAAGGCGCTTGATGATCTTCGGCCTTTCATCGAGAAGAGTGAACAGATCGAGTGACATGAAACTGGCGTTGTTGTCGATATTCGTAACTTCCAATCGCGTCTTCGAGCTTGCATCCCTTCTGCCAAGCTCTATGAACCGACCGAATTTGCTCAGGCATTTCCAAGACTCGCGAGCTCCGTCACCCGTCAGTGAGTTGAGGATGACATCCACCCCTCGTCCACTTGTCGCTCGGCGAATTGCATCGCCAAAGGATGTGTTTCGACTGTATAAGATGTGGTCATCGGGCAGCCCATACTCATTCGACAGCAGTTCTTTCTTCTCGGCGCTGCTGACAGTAACAAAGACCTCGGCCCCGATCATCTGCGCGACGCAGATGGCTGCTTGGCCGACGGCGCCAGCCGCTGAGTGAATCAGGACAGTCTCTTCTTCGCTCAGCCGGCCAAGCTCGGCCAAGGCGTAGTACGCCGTAGCATAAGCGAGCGGAAGAGTCGCGGCCGCCTCGAAGGTGATGCCTGCAGGCAGCTTAAAGGAAAAAGCGGCTTTTGCCCGCGCTCGGGTGGCAAGCGCGCCCTGCGTCAACCCTGCCACTCGATCGCCGATTCGGAAGCCTGAAACATTGGGTCCAACGGCCGTAACCACTCCACTTGCCTCGATTCCGAAGTTGCTGACGGGGATTTGGGCTTTGGCAGCCATGCTGTCTCTGATGTTCAGTCCGATTGCCTTGACCTCAATCTCAACCTCATCGTCCTCCAAAGGCTTCTCAACAGCTGGGTCATCAACGAAATGGATTGTTTCCAAGGCGCCTGGGGCCGAAAGCACCATCTTGAGGGCTCGATTGTCCTCCCCAAACGGGGTAGGCTCGAGTGTCGACGGATTTGTCTGTTTATGAACATATCCGTTCATTTCAGTATCATGGACAATCCGTGGTGTGAAGTATTCTCCGGCTCTCTCCATGAACTCCAGTTCACCAGTCGCAGATGATTCTGCACTGAACACGGACTTGAACACTCTCATGATAACTCTAATCGTATCCGTTTCGGGAAGCGGTGACGCTGCGTCCAGATCGAGTGTTGCAAATTTGAGGGCGGTTTCCGATCGTATGGTCCTACTCAGGCCTGTCACCATGTTGGCCTCGGGATTGGTAGACTCGCTGTAGGCCCCGCGGACAACCCATAGCACGCCCTGGACACTCGTCAAGAGCTTTTGGATACTCTCGAACTGAGCTGGTGTAAGTGTGGCGAGGAACGGCTGGTGTAGCTCATTCAGGAAGACGCAAATCTTTCCAGCAGGCTCCACCGTTTGCAAAGTGCCAACCTCCGGCAGCTTCCCCGTGGCCTGCTCAATGGCATTTGCCAAACCCATGGCCACAAGGTCCTGGAAGTCAGAGTTCTCATGAATTATAACAACATCAGTATGATCCGGGAGGTATTGTGCGTCGCCAGCGACGTCCTGGATCCGTTCCCATTCGAGCTTGTAACAGAGATCCCTTGGGGCATTGAGATCCGTCTTAGTATCACCATCCAGAATGGGAGAGATGGTGAGACCATCTATAGTAACCAGACTCTCCAGGAATTCGTCGCTGGAAACCGCTTCCATCCGCACCTTCGTCGGCTTCGGGGTGGCGAGCTCAATTTCGCCCTCGCAAACAGCACGGACCGTGCTGCCAGGCTCCTTCGAGAACTTTGTGATGTTCGGCGAGATGGAGATATGATCGACCGAGCTCGGGAGATAGACGGTCCCAATTGCCCGCCGGCCAGCGCCAACAATGGGCCAGTACATCTCGATGATGGATTCGAGGAGGGCTGGCTGTACGACCGCATCCGTCAGGTAGCCATTGGGCATCTCTTTCGCAACATCCGTCACCACAATATCCCCAACTGCATGCAAATCCGACGCGAGACAACTGGCCACTCCTTGGAAGACAGGCCCATATGACACCCCCAACTCTGTGAGAGTTTCATACATCTCGCGCGGAGTAACTGAAACTGCTACAGGTTTGCCGTCTCCGAGGAGCGCGGACTGGAGACGAGCTTTGGAGTCACCATCTCGCCTGGAGCTGTCAACCTCGTTATTATCCGCTTCCAGCACAGCAATGAGACCGACGCAGTGCTCTGTCCAGCCTTGTTCAAGCGACCACGAGCAGATCCTGAACTCGTCCCAGAGATCAGACGGAACAAGTGTACCTTCTTGATGGCGGCGAAGAGTGATGGTCATCTCCGTATCCTTGTCCGGGATGACGAGGGGCTTGATGACATTGACCTCCTTCAACTCGAACTTGCCGATCGGGATGTCCCTGGCTGCAGCCCTTTGAGCAGCCGCCTCGACCGCCATAGATACAAATCCAGACATGGGGAATATGGTCAGGGACTGGATCTTGTGGTGCTGCAGCCACGGGAGATCATCCAAGCGGACAATATTGCGCCAAATGGGCTCCAGGTCGCTCGAGTAGTTGGCCAGCGTTCCTAGTATGTCGCTTCTCGTTCCCTGGGCATGCTTGTGCATATTCGTGAAACGAGATTCCTGCCAGTATTTGGATGAATAGTTCCAGGGGTATCGCGGCAGATCAGTAAGCAAGACCGGGGGTTTGGTCGGTTTGGGGAAGTTGATGGCGCCAAAATCGAGGTTCGCACCTCTGGTGAACAGACTCGCCGCGAGTTCCATGGCTGTCTCCACTGCATCTCGTTTCCGAATGAGAGCGGAAGCATAAGGTATCTTTGGAGCACTGCCGCCGACCTCTTTCAGGACCTGCTTGATAGGGCCCTGAAGTCCCGAGTGCGGTCCTAGCTCCACCAACATATTGACACCGTGCTTGTGTTCTCCTGTCGGTTCGAGCATGCTCTGCAGTGCCTCTGAGAAGCGCACTGGACAAGTCAAGTTGTCTACCCAATAGCCGGGTTGCAACTCTGTGCCGTCGACGAGACGCCCATACAGGGATGAATGGAATCTGATGTCCGTAGGAACAGGCGGCGGTAGCTCGGCAATGGCAGCGCGATACTCTTTAGCAACCAAGTTCATGTGATGGGAATGGTATGCGACGTCGACAACGAGACGCCTATTGAAGAGTTGTTTCTCTTCGCAGATCTTTTCGAGTTCGGCGATGGCAGGCTCGTCTCCGGAGATTGTCAGGCTCGACGGACTGTTGTAGCACGCAATGCGGGCTTCTCTCTCCTGGAGGCCTTCCAGAAGAGGCAAGAATTCCTCTTTACTTCCACCAACGGCCATCATGCGACCCCGCAATTCGGGGTGCTCCCGCTTGAGAATGGGGATGAGCCTCCCACGGTGATATGCGATAGCCATGGCCGAGTCGAAGTCAATGATTTCCGCGGCGTAGGCGGCGGCAATCTCTCCGCTTGAATGGCCGGCAACAGCTGTTGGACGAACACCCCATGATCGCAGCAAGTCTATGAGCGCCAGCTGGACTGCAGTGCATGATGGCTGGCTGATATGTGCCTCGCTGATCTTGCTTGTTTTCGCGTCCCTGCTAAGTTCCTCTATAGTACATGTTAGCAATGCCCTGGCAATCTATGGAGCGCTGATCGCGGATGAAGTCTTACCAATGAGCGACCACTCGGCTCCGTTCTGGATCAAGCACTGATCGGCCCGCTCGATACTCCTGGTGAAGGTCGGATATTGCTCGAAGAGTTCACGTCCCATGGCAAACCATTGCGCGCCTTGTCCAGTGAGAATAAACCCGACCCGAAGAGGCTCCGTCTCTTTGCCAGGAGTGAACTTTTCACCATTGATGGCCTCGATGAGCTCAAAGGAGTTGAGAGCGGGAATGGCAACTCTCCATTGCAGAAGGGAACGGCGCTGGCCCAAGGTGTATGCAAGGTTTGCCGTAAGGTCCTTCTGAAAAATCTCTGGGCGTTGCTCAAGGTAGATGACTATGTTCTTCATCGCTTGAGAGAGCGCCGCCTTGTCGTTGGCTGATATGACGTAGAGCTTCCGCCCCTGCCCTGCACTTTCCGGAGTGTCATCGCCGGGAGTAAGGGGTGCCTTCTGCCCGCGATGTGGCGCAGCCTCCAAGACCACATGCCCATTCGTACCTCCGAAACCAAAGTTGTTGACACTGATATACTTCTTCCCTCTAGGCCACGGTCGTTGGGCGACGGGGACCTTGAGGTTCCACTCCTTCCAGGGAATCTTTGGATTCGGCCGCTTGAAGTCATAGTTTGGAAGGATAAAACCCCGCTCGAGCATAAGCGCGGCCTTTATTATGCCAGCGATGCCTTCCCAGTGTCAGCAGTTCACGTTGCCCACGATGTTGCACTACGGAGGTGTAACATACCTGATGCCCCTTCGAGGTGACCAATATTAGATTTGACAGAACCTATCCACAAGGGGTCTCGTAACGTCCTGTTTTGCCCTAGCACGTTGTGCAGAGCGGTAGCCTCGATGGGATCACCAACTCGTGTACCAGTTCCATGGGCCTCCACAAAACCGCAGTCATTGGGATCGAGCCCAGCATTCCTGTAGACTTGCCTCATGAGGTCCTCTGACCGTGGAGCTGGTTAGCTGAAGCTTAATCATTTCCAAGTGGGACCACTAACCTTGTGCCGCTCCATTTGGCATAGTGATTCCGGGCGTCTTGCCATCTTGATTGAGCCCGGTTCCTACGATAACAGCGCGGACGGGGTCGTTGTCCCTGATTGCTTGGTCAAGGGGCTTCAGCACGATCATGCCGCAACCTTCACCGCGGCCAAAGCCAGTTCCTCTGTCGTCGAATGCAAAAGAACGACCGGAGTCCGAAAGCAGTCTAAATTCCTCCGTTAGAGCTCTGTTCTGATTTGGGACTCTAGAGGAAACGAGAAAAGCCTACGTACCTGCAAGTAGAAAAAGAAATCCAAAACTCTGGCAGCATGTTGAGGTGGCAGCCGCCAACCAGGGCACAGCTGGTCTCACCGGCTCTTAGACTTTGACAAGCTAGGTGCACCGCAACCATGCTAGATGAGCATGCCGTGTCTGACGTAAAGCTTGGACCCCTCAAGTCAAAGAAATGAGATATGCGGTTAGACTGCATCGCGTATGCACAGCCTGTGAAAAAGAGTCAGTGTGCTGTTTTGGGTAGTCCTGGGGTGTGGTGTATATTGCTCACCGGTTGCCTGGTGCATGGGTATCGTGTCTGAGTCTCTAAACAGGTGCGATTCGTACTCGGGAAATGATCCACCGATGAAGACACCAACATCCTTTCCAACAATAGTGTGCTTCGGTATTCCGGCGCTCTCGAGGGCTTCAAAGGTGCATTCAAGAAGAAGGCGTTGCTGGGGGTCCATGGAGATGGCCTCTTTCTCCGTGAGCCCAAAGAACGGGGCGTCAAAGGCGGCAAGATCGACGTTGAGGAAGTTACCGCCGATGGGGTTCAAGGCACCTCCCTTGCCGGGGTTGGGATGGTAAAACCGAGCGTTGTCAAATCTCTCTTTAGGGATCTCAGTCCATCCTGAGCGGGCTCTGGCAAGTAGTTCCCAGAACTCGGCAGGCGTGGAGACATTTCCGGGCATGCGGCAAGCCATGCCAACAATGGCGATGGGCATGGGCTTGTGAGAACTCGGCGTTGAGGTGCCGTTGGCATAGCCGTTGGTGCCATTGGTGAAGCCATTGGTAGTCCCGTTTGAGTAGCCGTTGCTATGTCCGTTGGGATGCCCATTCGTCTGCTGAGCGCCGTTTGTGACGTGGAAGTAGCCGTTCAGGCTCTCGCCAGAGGCGCTGGCGGTGGAGCTATTCGGCGTGACGGCAATCGGGGCCATGGCAGACCTGGGCTCCCGTCTCGCAGCAATGCTGCAGACAGTGACGTGCTTGGGTGCTTGGCGGCTATATGTAACAGGAAGTCTGCCCAGACATGGAAGACTAACGACTTGCTCTGTGGCCGGGCCAGAGTGCTTGGAGAGTTTGGCTTCGGTTCTCGGCTTATATGTCGGGGGAGATGAGATTATCCCAGGACCGGGCTGGGTGGCCAGATGTCCAGAGGCTTCCTTGGTCGATTCGCCTCTCGGTTCGATCAAACTATAGTCTATCGGCCAGTTGCGGCAAGCAGACCAGAAGCTCCCGCCATACCGGTCTGATAGTGGCCGGGGCACCGGCGACGGAACCCACAGTCATGGTTACTAAATTAGGATAGCAAGGTCGATCCGGCAGCAATGTCAATATGAGCAGCAATATCGGCCGAGTGCAGACGAGACGGTCGGTTGGCATTCCCGGCTTGTGCCTGTGCAAGGATTAAGGTCTCGAACTTTGCCAGATCAACCCTCCCGGGCACGTTCCCCATTCGGAGGTATGGAAGCCAGGAAGTCAGGCGTACACATATCGAGCTCAGGTAACACGGTCGTCTATCATGCACGTTGCGGGGGCTTTCAAGATGTTCCCAGGCCGTGCCATGGTTACTTCAATGAGCTCGGAGCTTTCCGAGAGCTCATCAGCAGAAAGTTTCCGGGCCATGAGGGTTGAATGAGGGCGGAGATGCCGTGGTCAGCAGCCGACAGCCGCAGATCCATTGTGAGTGTTGAATCTGTGGGGGCGTTTTGCTCCAGCAGGTAAGCTGTCGTCCTCTGAGCTTGGCCCCCTAAATGATCTTGGACGTGATTTGAGGCGGACGCGACGTGCGGCGGCTAATGTCATGGAAAGTGTTTCGTTCTGAGTGAAGATATGAAGTGGTGCGAGGCAGGAGGCAAGAGCCAACGGGGGAAGTGGTTGGACCAGGGTAGCAGTGGATGGAGATTGCCGTCGAGGGAAGTAGCGCCTCGTGAGTACCGAAAAGGGGAAAGCCCCTTATCGATATGCGGTAAAACGCTAGGGGGTTACGTTACGTTGCACCTGCCCTGCAAGAGTGGGTTAACAGGGCTGTTATCGGTACTTGACTCGGAATGCTGCCGAGCATCAGCCATTTTCACGTTAAGTTGTGGAGTAGAACTCGATACCTCCCGTCTTCACGGACTGTGGGGAAGATGGGGGAACGGTATGTACACTAAGCAATGCTAAGCATGCATGAGACGGCAAAAATGGACCTCAATCTATTGAGGATATCCAACGTGCACTCTGCATTATCAATCTCAAGTAGCCTAATTCTCATGACTGCCGTGCTCGCGAATCAGGGGAAGCGAAAGCTACCGCCCCTCAAATCAAGCTTTCTCTCCAAACAGCCTCATGCACAAGGGAGCTCACTGCAGCATTATGTTACGGTAGCTACCTAGGTAAGCACCTTATAGTACCTCCAGTATTGCGAATAGTGTATGGTAAGGTAGGTAGTGTTGGTATGGTAGCAAAGTTGCCTTGCCTATGTTTCCTTGTCTTGGTTGGACTTTTGAAGGGTTTGACAGAGCCTTATGCACAATCGGTCTGACTTCAAGCAGCAAGAACGTACTACCTTACTAACTTTGACTTGCAGGCTGTCAACTTCTGCTTCTGCTGCCAGGAAACGCAGGATATCTACAATTCTACATGGGACCCGGTAACTACAAGTACCTATGGAACTGGCTAAGAGTGCAGGACCGACCCAGCAGGGGTCGCGCAAGTTGACCAGCACCTAACACATATCACATGGGGTGTTGATCCATCATCTATCTCTGACGGAAAACCCCAGCAAAGAGGCGGTATTTCCTCTTCGAGCTCGGCTTCAAATTCGCCATTTGATTAGAATACTACTGCCATACTGGACGGAGCCTCATCCGAGATCGCCCCCTTGAAATGGACGGCGGAGTAGCGCCTGCCTTTTTTCTACTTCGTTTTTACCTCTTTTTATTTTCTTCTCTATTTCTTTGTGAAGCTGTAGGTCTCTAAGTATCTAGCATCCCGTCCAAGCAACCCACATCGGAACCCTCCCACGTCCCGAACCGGGTTGACCAAGTTGGGACGACAGCGGCATCTAGCCGTTTTTAGTCTCATTTGCCTAGGTACTAGTACTTAGCCAAGCTTCCGAATCCCCTTCCCTTCTTCCATGGCATTTGTCACCTTTTCCCGGCTACAAGGAACCGTGAGCTTACGTGTCCGGCGAGTTACATGGACTACTGCTAGTAGCACATCCAACTGACCGGTCGATTCGCGGTATATTGCCTCAACTGCCGAGTTCGCCTACCGAATGGTCATTGGTGACTGGTTGACTTGGGATGCTTTGTGTAATTCAAGCCGTACGACACGTCGTTGATTTTGCATAGAGGCGGTTCACTCCAACACGCTATCTCACACTGAGAACGCCGGCACACGTTATCCATCATCAGCTCTTGACGTCTTGGCAAGATGAGATTCCTCTGCCTGCCTGGTGCCTATGGCAGTTCCGATGTGAGTATCTGAGCGCCGTCGGCGCTGACTATTGAGCATCATAGGAGCTAACCCATGCGAAAGAAATTCCAGGTGCAGTTGGGTACGGCCGCTGTACGCATGTGCTCTTTACTCCTTAGCAGCTAACATGAAAAAGCACCCATCGTCAAGGAGCTGACTGAAGACGCCACCGCCACCTTCCACTTCATCCACGGTCCTTGCAAGGCGATTCCTCCAGACGGGTTTGAAGAGTACTTTGGGAAGCCGCCCTATTATCGCTTCATCGAGCCGGACGAGGATGTGGAGAAGACAGAGCGGGACGACGTGCTGGCGCGGATTCGAGACTTTCCCGACTGCGAGACGCCCGAGGACACGATGCGCGAGCTGATGCGAGAAGGGATTGCGCCGTCGCACCGCAGCACGGCCAACGCGCTCAAGTACCTGACCAAGATCATGCAGGAACGGGGCCCGTTTGAGGGCATCATTGGCTACTCGGAGGGCGCAACGGTGGCTGCCACGCTCCTCCTTCATGAACAGCGCCGGTTCAAGAAGAAGGGCATTAAGCCCATGTTCAAGTACGCCATCTTTTTCGCTGGCTGGCCGCCGGTAGACCCGGACACGTACGCCATGGTCCTGAGTGATGAGTCGGATACCATGATTGAGATTCCCACGTGCCACATTAGTAAGGATATTGTTCATCGTTTCGAGACACGATTGCTAATCAAATTGCAGTTGGCTCACTGGACCCGTACGTTCATGGTTCGCTGGCGCTCTACAACATTTGCGACCCCGACACGGCCTACCTCTTTGACCATGCCAAGGGCCATACGCTGCCACGGGACAAGGACACAGTGAAGGAGCTCGGAGATGTGGTCCGGGAAGCTATCAAGACGTACGATATACGCCCATAAGCGCATATTGGCATTGCGATTCATCGTCTGTGCAAATGTATATACCGTAGATCCAGCTACAATGGACTTTGCTTTGTTGGTCTTGTACCTGAGTTTTTTCTTGAAACGACATCGTCTTGTGTTTACCCTGGTACAGTACGTTCAATTTGATGTCACAATGGCTAGGTACAAACGCATGCCCTACATGCACTACTACATGTGGAAAACGCAATCTGCGATTCGGATTCAAAGCCTCCTCACAAGTTGTATCATGATAGGTAGCTTGCGTAACGTGCTTTGGGTACCGATCCGAGAGAAGCTATTCAGGGGTAAGGGGTAAGGTACAACGCAGGCCCCAGCTTCCTGGATCCTGGTCAGGACATGACGACGCTCACCTTCGGTCCAGCTAATTGCCACTATTTTTATCATTGTCCAAGTCCCGGTCGCGAGCTCTGGACGAGCGGGAAAACACTTTGGAAGTGCAGCATATCGGCGACGGATTCCAGGATACTGGCGAAAGACAAGACCTTATCCATACCTGTGGCGTGACACACAGATAGGAGACCCCCACGAGATAGGCAGCCGAGCCGCTGGTGTTGTTGCTTGAAGTCGAGCCGCTCGGATAAGGTTCAATGTTGTCGGCTGTGGAAGCGGCGATATGGAAGAGAGGTACAGGTTGAAAATGAGAAAGCGGGAGGGGAGGTTTGCACTGTAGGAGCAGGAGATGGCCAAGCCAGACTCACTGCTACTGAGAGTACCGAAGGTATGAAACTGCCACGATGTCCGGGATTTGCCGTTGCAGACGAATTCGTTTACATGCTAGGTATCCTTCCAACGTCCAAGATGATACTGGGTCTTGGCTGGCCTAGCGACTAGTATCAATGAATCTGGTGCAATGTAGATGTAGTATTGTATCGCCGACCTGCAGTACCGTGTAGTACGTACCGAGGTTACATAAGTCACAGTTTGCGGTTAAATCAGAAGCCAATCCCACGAGGGAGTTGCATATCGGATGGTTCAATGTACACTTCTGCATACCCATCGTCGGTAGATTACCCGAAGAGCAGGGTGCCGACATGAACCTCGAGGCTAAGAACGGGGCTCGGGAGTTAAGACAAGGGGGCAGGGGACGGAGGCGGAAACATTGCGTAGCATGTGCCTCTTTATCATCCAGTCAGGTGAAATACCCAGAGCAACATATCGGTTCTGCATTCAGCCTAGGATTGACATTAAACTTCTTTGATCCGTCAGGCAGCTCTGGCACATGCTATCGGCAGGAGAAATGCAGGGCATATTCACCCACTGGCAGATATCTGCCCACTGGTACATGTAGCTTCGCGGCGATGGCTTCAGCGCAATCAGAGAGCGGCACAAGAACACTTTGCGTTCATGATAGGTACTTCTAAGGTAGGTACACATGTACCTATTTGCTCTCATGATGCTTGTGTGATATCTAGCATATATGCAGTGGCCCCCTACGACCTACGAACTACTGGTATGTATGTACAGAATACCTACTCCTTCCCGTCTATATCTTCCGATATCAGGTGTTTCTATTGGCCATATGTTGTGCCTTGCATTAAAATCCGACACCCAATGAGTGAGGTGACCAGACTTACACGCCACTGGCAGTGACCAAATACAATGTATGTACAAGAGAGATCGACCAGCTACGGTTCCCGTTAACGGCTCGGATGTGGTTCCGTAAATACCAGGCCACCGTGACCGCGGGTGAAGCAGATCGCCTAAACACAAAGAAAAAGGGAGTAAGGAGCCTCGCTTGGAAGTTGGGAAACTGCATTATCACAATTCAAGAACCCCCCTTTTTTCCTTTTCATGCCAGAAGTGGCCGCATTTCGAGGGAGCGTCGTCATGCTTATATCACAGAACGATAGATAAAGACGCTCCGGGCAAACCGATCCATATTTTTTGCTTCAGGGGTAAATTGCCCGCATATTGCCCGCATATTAGGTCTCGTTCTGGATGAGCACCCCGGGCGGGGGAAAGAATGTTTCGCAGAACAAGCAACTTAAGCATCGGTGCCTTGCCTACCTTGGGTAGTAGGTGGCCTTTCGGCCCTGAGACTCGGAACTGCCATCGCATCATCTTAGTGCTCTAAGCTGCAGACATCTGGCAACTGCACTGAAGGTGGCTCACATACTCGGGCGGAGGTTCTGGACCATTGGCTGTGCCTGTAGTATCAGGTGCATCACTGGTCCACCTGCTAGATACCTACCCATCTCCTGCTGGATCTAGACAGCAAGACGTGCCTAGGCCGCTTCAGCGCTTGCCCAGTCCAGCAAAGCTGCCAGTGCTATGAGTACCCAAGGCTCTTAAGCATACTATGCCTGAACGGTGGCAGCCGCGTAGCAAGAGAACGTACAGGTACCGGAACCTCAAGGCAGGCTTCCACCGCTCGTCCCCTATCCACCGCCGGGCTCCCGGACATCGAAGTGCTGGGGCTAGCCGTACCATCGCCGGCATACCCACCTGCCATGGCTAGTACTCACCCAGCAGCAAGGGAGTTGGGGAAGGGGCACTCAACCATCACCTCTGCACCAGCACTCACTGCCAATGCTCCGTCAGATGAGCAGGCAAATGTGAAGATGGTAGATGAGACTCATGGTGGTCCAAATCAGGGACCTGTTCCAGTCAACAACGCTCCTGTGACCCAGTCAAGCCCGTCACCCCCTAAACAGGAGAAGAAGAACCCATTGCTGCTGAAGCCCGAGTACAAGACAGCAATCCGGGATTTCATAGTGAGTCTCATCCCAGTACAATACGTGATGATGCCGTTCACGTCGTACTGAACATTGAACGCAGCGTATCTTTAGCTTCTCGACATGGCTGGACAGACTTGTCCTCCTCGCAGCCGTCATCACCTCGCTAGGGGCAGGAGTCACGATGCCCATCATGAACATTGTGTTTGGTGAGCATATCTGCGGTCTGCGTGCCTGCTCTGAACACTAACCGATTCGTACCATAGGCCGGATGGTGGGCTCGTTCACTGGATATTTCAGCCCGCAGCCCTTCACGACGTATGAAATGTTTGAAGAAGCCATCAGGACTTGCGCGTAAGCTGTTCAACTCACAACCACATAATGTCAGCTTAGAACTAAAGTACAACCAGCTTATATCTCGTTGGCTTGTTCTTCATCAGACTTGCCCTCGACTACGTCGCTTATGTGAGTATCCGTCTCGGCTCACCTCAAGACCAACCCTCCCCCTGAGTCTTCATGTCTACGACGAGTCTCAACTGCTAACCCAGAACTCACCTGCAAGATGGGCTTCCGCATGAGCAGCATGCGCATCTCAGCCGCAATCCGACTGGAATACATAAAAGCCCTCTTCGCGCAGCCCATTTCAACCCTCGACATTCTCCCCCCAGGCCAAACAGCCGCCATCATCACCGTGACAGCCAGCACTCTCCAAATAGGCATCTCCGAAAAGCTCTCGGCGTTTCTCCAGTCCACCTCTACTGTACTCTCTGCTTTTGTCATTGCGCTCTGCTACAGCTGGCACCTGACGCTTGTCACCAGCAGCGGACTGCTGCTGATTATCATTGTGTATGCTGTGACGACCCCGTTCCTGGTGAAGCGCTTGAACGAGGTGCAGTATGCAGATATCCAGGCGTCAACTACGGCAAACGAAATCTTTGGGTCGGTGAGGATGGTGGCCGCGTGTGGTGCTGAGAGGAAGATGGCACGGCGGTATGCCCGATGGGTGGATGAGTCCCGCCGCAGAGGGTTGAGGATGGCCAAGTGGATTGCGCTGCAGCAGGCTCCTGGTAGGTTTCATAATGGCTATTACTTTGCAGCGGCGCTGTTAGTATCTAGATACTGACATAGCTGTTCACGTGCAGTTCAGTTTGCGGTTTACGGGTAAGCCGCTTCATGGATACAACCCCTGACCCCTGAAAATGTAAACAAAATGCGCTGGGCTGACGAATTCTACTAATAAACCAGCACCTTCGCCCTCGCCTTCTGGTACTCCCTGCGGATGCACATGGGACTACAACTCAACAGCGCCGAGACGCTGATCGTGTAAGTGCCCCTGCCCCGGTCCAACTCGCAAGCCTCCATCTCACCCCGTAGTATTTACCACTACTAACGTACTTTACCTGTTCCATTATGTGCCCACAAGCGTCCTCATGTCAGTCATGTTAATGACGACCTCGATCGGGGGCATCACCGCCCCTTTGTCAGCGGCAGCGCGCGCAGCCAGCGCCGCCACGGTGTTTTACACCATCATTGACGCCCCGAGGCCGGCCAAGACCGGACTGCTCACAGAACCCGAGGTGTCTGCCGCTGAGGACATTGTCCTCGAGCACGTCAACTTTGCATACCCGGCCAGACCCGACCTCAAGATCCTTGACGACCTGTGCCTCCGGCTGCCTGCGGGAAAGGTCACGGCCATTGTCGGCCCGTCGGGTTCCGGGAAGAGCACTATTGTGGGACTGCTGGAGAGGTGGTATGAGATTGAGGCTTATGAGAGTGGGGATATCGTAGGCATCCCCTTTTATTATGTCCACCAATCTTCCAGTCAGCCATGCATTTGTATGGGTATCAGGCCTAATGCGATTTTCCCTTGTAGAGCCTGTTCTGGCGCAACGGCTCCATCACCGTCGGCGGGCGACCCCTGAGGGAGATTGACCTGAAGTGGTGGCGACGACAGATCGGCCTCGTCCAGCAGGAGCCGGCGCTCTTCAACAACACCATCTATGCCAACGTCGAGTTTGGCCTTGTCGGCACCGAGTGGGAGCATGCTGATGCTGAGGTCAAGGAGGACCTTGTCAAGCAGGCTTGCGTCGAGGCCTTTGCTGATGAGTTCATCAGCCGTCTGCCAGAGGTTTGTGTCTATTCTAGATGCTTGATAATATATACTAATAGGTCTGCAGGGTTACATGACCGTAGTCGGAGACGCGGGCATCAAGCTCAGCGGCGGGCAGCGCCAGCGGCTGGCCATTGCACGGAGCATCGTCAAGCGGCCCAAGATCCTGATACTGGACGAGGCAACGAGCAGCATTGATGTCCGTGGTGAGCAGATCGTCCAGGCAGCACTTGAAAAGGTCTCCAAGAACAGAACCACGCTGGTGATTGCGCACCGCTTAGCCACCGTCAAGAAGGCAGACAACATCGTTGTCCTCCGCAAAGGCAAGGTCATTCAACAGGGCACCCATGACAGCCTGATGCAGCAGGAAGGAGGGCCGTACTGGACGCTTGCCACGGCTCAGCAGCTTCATGTTGTGTCGTCCGAGGAGGAGGATGATGGTGAGTTGAAGTTGAAGCTAAAGGCTGTTGAAGGGGAGATCACCGAGAAGAAAAGTACCACGACTATTGGTACATGTACGGACAGCACGCTGGTGGAGACGACAACAACACCCTCTGCTGCCTCCGAGGGTGGTTCGGCAAAAGAGCCAAAGACCAGGGGATTCTGGAAGAGTTTTGGCTTGCTGCTCCGAGAACAAAGGCACCAGAAAGGGTGGTATGCGGTGCTGCTGCTGAGTGCGTTGGGCGGCGGAGGTAGGCCTATTCGCTTCTTTGTTTACTTACCCCTGATTGTTGTCATGGAGCGAAACTGACTGGACACCCTCGCGCATAGCCAGCCAGCCCATCCAGGCGTATCTATTTGCTACCGAAATTACGCTCTTCCAGTTCTGGGGCGACTTCCTTCCGGCTCTGGCAAACTTTTGGAGTCTGATGTTCGTCATGCTTGCCATCTTCGTCGCGATAAGCTACTTCGCGCTGGGGTGGTCTTCATCAAGCCTTGCCTTTGTAAGTGTCTACTAGCGTTCCTCACCAAGTTATACTGATTCCTGCAGCACATCACCCACTACTACCGCGGCGAGTACTTCCACAATATCCTGTCCAAATCCGTAGCCTTCTTTGACGCCGACAACCACTCCGTCGGGGCGCTGACGGCGCAGCTGGCCACGGATCCGAGCCAGCTGCAGGAGTTGCTGGGCACCAACATGGCCTTTGTCGTCATCTCGGTGCTCAACATTGTTGGGTGCGTGGTGCTGGCCTTTTACTTTGGCTGGAAGCTCACCATTGTGACGCTGTGCTCGTCCATGCCCCTGATCATCGCGGCCGCGTTTTTCCGGATCCGGTACGAAACACAGTTTGAGAAGATGAACAACCAGGTCTTTGCCGAGAGCGCAAAGTTTGCCACAGAGGCCATCGGTGCCTTCAGGACAGTGTCTGCCCTGACGCTTGAAGACGCCATCACCAAGCGCTATGAGACGCTCTTGCAGGAGCATATCAGGATGGCGTTTGTAAAGTCCAGCTGGACAACTTTAATTTTTGCCATGGCCGATAGTGTAGCCCTGCTGTGCACGGCGTTTGTGCTGTGGTGAGTTGCAGCTGTGATCATATCTCGAAGACAAGGAAGGGACTAACCCTCGTGCGAACAGGTACGGCGGAACGCTCATGCTTAATCTGGAGTACACGTCGTTCCAGTACATGGTTGTCTACATTGCCGTTTTGCAGGTTGGTCATCCTTGATCTGTCACGGCGTCGAGTTTCCTACAGGGAGTGGTAGTGCTTACATGCGGTCAGGGGGGCCTTGGAGCCGGCCGATGGCTGAGCTATGCACCAAGTAGGACTTCATAACTCCTAACTCCATTGCCTTGCGAAGAGAACTGACGGGTGCATAGACATTGCCCAAGCATCGGTTGCCGCAAGCCGGATCATTGACATGAGAGGCAAGGATCAAGTAGACGGGAAGCTAATCTCCTTAGACACGGGCAACATCGGGGATGACGATATGGGAGTCAAGATCGAGTTTCAAGATGTCTGGTTTAGATACCCGACACGGGATGTGCCCATACTGAACGGGCTGAGTTTGACGGTAAGGAAATCAACAACCTTGTTCTTGATGTAGTGGCTGACGTGTGCTCGCCAGATCAACAAGGGGCAGTTTGCGGCGATTGTAGGCCCATCAGGTAAGCACCCTGCCGAGTCACTACTACTAGTAATGAAGGATGCAACTAACATGGCACCAGGGTCCGGGAAAACGACTGTTATCTCCTTGCTCGAGAGGTCCGTCGGTAACACCGACACCCCTGATCTGTTAGCACTCCCGTCAACAACTACTAACACACCAACATAACAACAGATTCTACACCGCCAACGCAGGCCACATCCTCTACAACGGCCTGGACGTGTCCAATCTCAGCATCGACCACTACCGTCGCGAAATCTCGCTCGTCTCGCAAGAGGCCAGCCTCTTCGACGGAACCCTGCGCGAGAACATCCTGCTCGGCGTCGACGAGCCCACCACCACCACAGAGGCACAACTGCACCAGGCATGCCGCGATGCCGAGATCCACGATTTCATCGCCTCCCTGCCTGAAGGGTACGACACACAAATCGGCAGCCGGGGCGTGACCCTGTCGGGGGGACAGAAACAGCGGCTTGCCATCGCCCGCGCCCTGATCCGCAACCCGCGCCTGCTGCTCTTGGACGAGGCCACGTCTAACCTGGACGCCGAGACGGAACGGGCTGTGCAGGCTGTGTTTGAGAAGAATAGGAGGAATAGGACTATGGTGGTTGTGGCGCACAGGCTGGCTACGGTGCAGAATGCTGATGTGATCTTTGTGTTGGCTGATGGGAGGGTGGTGGAAAAGGGGCGTCATGCGGAGCTTTTGGGGAAAAAGGGGGTGTACTACCAGATGGTAAGTCATTCTTATCTCCCTTGAAGGACTCAAGTTGAACGCCTTGCTGACGGCTTGCAGTGCCAGTCACAAGCCCTGGATAGGTAGTAGTGTTTGGAAAGTAGTAGTAGTCCTCCTACTACTAGTAATTAACGTCCGGGCGAGTAAATCCACCCCTCACCCCTGAGATCCACTTTGATGTGGACAAGATGTTGGTGATTGTCAAGCCCGATCATGCTTGTGCACAGCGTTGCTCCACTTCGGGTTGATCGGTTCACCACCCGCTGCGGAAGCGCGGGAGCATGTCTGTTAGGTCGTTCCATCTTCTTCCGTCGTAGTACTGCAGATGCCATGACTCTTACGCTGTCGGCCCGTCCGAAGTGGTAGAACGTACTAACATTAACGCCGCCTTTATCCCCGGTGCGGGGTAGCTCGGTAGCTCCGGGTTGTTAGTAGAACACTGGTGTGAATGGTGCCGTCTAAGATGGGTGATGCCCGAGGATAAATTCTCGCCATGACCTGTTCACCGAAGGTCCCTGCGTAACTTCCACTGGTGAATCTAAACTCCAGTAGTAGGGCCAGCTAGTACCGGTAAAAGAAACCGCCGACTTGACCACAGCTGAGTACCGACTTGAAGCACCCCTGAAACCATGGCTCACCTCAAGGATCCCAAGCTGCTCGACATCCCCTACCAGGGGCTCAAGGAATCCCTCGAAAACTCAAAGTGCGAGTACCGCCGGCTCGGCAACAGCGGGCTGCGCATCTCGGTGCCCATATTCGGGTGCATGAGCTTTGGCGACCCGCGGACGCTGAACTGGGCCATCGGCGAGGACGAGGCGCTCCCCTTGCTCAAGGCGGCCTACGACCGGGGCCTCAACACATGGGACACGGCCAACATGTACTCAAACGGCGCCTCTGAGATTATCGTCGGCAAGGCGCTCAAAAAGTACAACATCCCCCGGGAAAAGGTCATCATCATGACCAAGTGTTACTTCGCCGTGGGCGAGCAGCCCGAGCTGCGCGCCTTCTTCGTGCCGCAACAGGTGGCCGGGTCCAAGGACTACGTCAACCGGCACGGCTTGTCGCGGGCCGCCATCTTCAACCAGGTCGAAGCCTCCCTGCAGCGGTTAGGCACCGACTACATCGACCTCCTGCAGATCCACCGGTTCGACTACGACACGCCCATCGAGGAGACAATGAAGGCGCTGCATGACCTGGTGCAGATGGGCAAAGTTCGCTACATCGGCGCCAGCAGCATGTGGGCGACGCAGTTTGCACGCATGCAGTTTTGCGCCGAGCGCAACGGCTGGACCAAGTTTGTCAGCATGCAGAACCAGTACAACCTGCTGTACCGCGAGGAGGAGCGCGAGATGAATCGCTTCTGCAACGACACGGGCGTCGGCTTGATCCCCTGGGCGCCTCTCTGCCGGGGGCATCTCGCTCGCCGGCCCGAGGCCTTCGGCTCAACGGAGCGCAGCAAGGTCGAGAAGGAGACCTCCCCCGGCACCCACGGCACCGTCGAGCCCGACTTGACTATTATCAAGCGGGTTATGGAGGTTGCCGACAAGCGCGGGTGGCCGGTAAGTGGATTTCGAGTGTCAAATCCCTTTTGACAAGCATGGCTGACGGAGGAACAGATGTCTCATGTTGCGTTGGCATGGATCAACAAGCGCGTGTCGAGTCCCATCATTGGCTTCAGCAGCGTGAAACGGATGGAAGAGGCCATTGAAGCCGGCGGTAAGGTCCTGACGGAGGAGGAGGAGAAGTACCTCGAGGAGCTGTATGAGCCAAAGAGGATCAGCGGTCATGTATAAGGTAGCTTGCAGAAGCACGTGAATGTAGTAGATAGGCCCTGGAATTAGAGCACTACTTCAAGCTGTGCTCTCCCGTCCCTGGTGCCCCACAAAGGTCCACGGCAGTTCACCAGCATCCTGGCCCTCGATCTGCACCATCGTCGGCTCGTCCCCCGGGATCAAGTCGAACCCATTGTCACTGAGACTGACGCCCTGCCTCTCGGAGAAAGCGAACCCCTTTACCGGCCTCCGGGCCGAAACCTCCAACTGCCCCTGAGTGACGTATCTCACACTGACCCCCCTGTCGGCAAAGTTGAGGTACTTGATCGGATCCGGCCAGGAAGTATCGCTGCTCACGCGCACGCCGTCCACCCACAGCGTAGCCTGGATGACAAAGTGCTCGGGCTTCTCGTCCTCTTGCCACCGGAACTTGAACCCCTGCAACACCTCGGTACAGCCGTTAGGCTGCATCTCAACCTCCTTCTCAATCTTATATCTCACATCCTGCCCCCTGGCAATTGACACAAACCTCACCCTCACAGTCCCCTTCACAGTCTCCGACCGCGCACTGCTGATAACCCAAACATCAAACTCCACCTCGTTCAGCGGCCGCCTTGGATCGACATGCGCCGTGTCCCTGCGCCAGAGCTTCCCATCAGCCGGCCGAGTCGTGCAGTCCCAGAACTTTCTCTTCACCCCGACCGCTAGCGGCGTCATAACCCGCCGAATAGCATACCACGCGGGTTTCTTGACCAGGTAGTAGTCCACGACCGACCAGCTGGCCGACGCAGGCCAGCAATCGTTCAGCTGCCAGACCAGCACCCCGCCACACCTCCTTACCATCCCTTCCCCTTCCTTAGTAGTAGTAGTAGTAGTAGTAGTAGTAGTAGTAGTAGTAGTAGTAGTAGTCACCCACTGCCTCCGCCAAGCCCTGTACCCTTCAGCAAGGGCATCGGCCTGGAGGATCTGCGTGAGATGAACAAACCCATCCAGCTTTCCGGCCTGGTCAAGCCGGAAGTTCTCAGCCAGATAACCCCACACCCTGCGGGTCCCTCCCAACGCCTTGCAATGGAAATCCAGCGTTGCGCTGCCGGGGTACCGCTCTGCAGGGTCCGTCACGAAACGCGACACAGAGTTGACATGTGGGTAGGCGGGCATGCCAAACTCGCTCACGAACCGCCCGCCCATGTCCGCATCCGCAAGACGCTGGTATGGTTTTGCCGCGCCGTTCCAAACCTCCCACTGGTGCACATCCCCCACGGTCGGGTCGGTTTTGAGCGTCGTGCTGGTCCCATTGCCAAAGGGGCTGCCCGCGTGGTAGGCGGTGTTTGTACTAGTGCTGGTGGACTGGAGGATGTCAGGGAGGAGGTGCTCGTAGAGGTACCGTGCCGGGAAGTTCGTTTTGAGCCATGAGTCCGGGTCCTTGTTACCCTCGTAGTCATACTCGAGTCCGTATCGCTCGGTCAGCTGGTAGTCCTCGTTATTCCCGCACCAAAGAACAATGCACGGGTGGCGGCGCAGTCGGAAGACTTGCTGACGGGCCTCGAGCGCGACGATGGCTTGGAAAGCCGGGTCCTTAGCCGGGTAGGACGCGCAGGCAAACATAAAGTCCTGCCACACCATGATCCCCAGCCTGTCGCACGCCGAGTAAAACTCCGCGCTGGGCTCGTACACGCCCCCGCCCCATACCCGCACCATGTTCATGTTCCCCTCGGCGAGCAGTGAGAGCAGTGTCTGGTACCGGTCCGCGGGAATGGATGGCACGAAGCTGTCGGCAGGCACCCAGCACGCGCCCGCAGCGAAGATGGGCAGGTCGTTGATGCGGAAGTAGAATGATTGCCCGAAGGCGTCGGGCTCCTGTATCAGCTCCGCTTTGCGGAACCCGAGCGTCTGCTCCTCCTCGGCGAGCACGGTGGTCCCGCTGGCGGAGAGAATCCGTACGCGGAGGGTGTAGAGATTCTGAGGACCGTAGCCGCGCGGCCACCAGAGGTGCACCCGGTCTTCGAGCGTGAAAGCGGACGAGGTATAGTTCCACGATAAAGTGCCGTCTTTACTCAAATTGTCGTTACTTTCCCGCAGGGTGAGCACCTGGTCCCCCTCAAACCACAGCCCAGCCTCGACGATATACGAGGTCGGACCAACAATGTCGGCGCCGACGGTGGCCTTCAACAGCTGCAGAGGAACACCCTCGTCGCTCTCGCGGAGTTGGTAGTCCACCCGGAGATTGTCAATCCTGCAGACGTACGTCTCCAGCCGCACCGGCTTCCATGGTCCGCACGTCAGCAAGATCGGGCCCCAGTCCCAGCCCCAGTGGTACTGGGCTTTCCGAACGGGCCCCCTGCTGACCTCGGTCTGATGGACGATGAAATCGTGTTCCGGATGCGCTCGAACAAGCTCCAGACCGCGGCGGCGAGCGGGTTCAAAGACAATTTCCAGTGTGTTTTCCGTGTTGCCGTTGTTATTATTGAGGATGGCCAGCACAATGTCCCGCACGGCGACACGGTATTCAACAAACATGTTGTCTGACTGTAGTATGGTGGTTCCGTTGAGAATCACCATCGCAAACGTATCGAGCCCCTCAAACACCAGGTCGACTTCGGCTCCCGGTGCCCGGCTCGCTTCAGGGGTTGAGAAGGTGGTCCGGTAATGCCATGTTTCCTCGGCCACCCACGCAACTTCCAGCTCGTTCAGGTCCAGAAAAGGGTTTGGGATCCGCCCGTGGTGTACAAGCTCCGTGTGCACGTTGCTGGGAACCTGCAGAACAGGCAGCCACTTCTCGTCTTTCGCGCCCTTAAATTCCCACCCGGAGGTGAGCATCTGAGTCGTGTGTGGCATCATTCTTGCTCACCCTGACGGCCGAATATGATGATGCTTTTGGGGGTCTCTGACTCGAAGCCGACCGATTCTCCAAATCCTCTCTGAGACTCCACGTTGACCAACCCCTATGCGGTGTAACGTCATTCCCTAATCAGCTAGTTAGTACTCGGCAAACCTCACCCTGAGATCAGGGACGAGTGGTGGGAGCGCCCCCGGTTTCAAGCTGGATATTATTACTCTATCAATCTGGATCGAGTCTCTAGTGTCTCTCAGCCCCTAAGCCGAACCGCTGCGCAATAAAAAAACTGTTTGAACGTTCGCTATCCAAGACACACCCAAAGTAAACCCCCGACATGCGGCAACCAGTGCTGCTAACCCCTTCAGCCCCAATAGAGCATGGTATAATATCCTCGTATTCCCATCGTGGCGGTCATGGCCAGTTGTGAGTCGCTGTTAAGTGGTTCTTAACCGAATTGATCACGAACTCCCCTCCCCCAGGAGCCGGGCAATAAGAACGTAGACAAAAATTATAGCCCCAGCCAGCACCAGCTTATTGCGGAATATCCACCCCTGCCCGGCATCTCGTTGCTGGATCACGGCATCCACCACGGCATGGGCCTGGTGCCCGCTCCCACCCGCGGCAATTCCCAGCTGTGGGCCACACGACGGACCACCCGGCTCGACGATCCTGTTCCCCGTAGCCGTGTCAATCTTGTTTTCGCGCATCCACTTCCAGTTTTCGGCGTCGACCTCGGGCCATTCGGATCTGAACTTGGCCCCGCCGTCGCCGGCCTTGATGTTGCCTTTCCCCGCACCGTTTTCCGCCTTGAGGTGCGACCCGCCGCCCGTCGAGTTCCACCACCGAGAGCGGGCCGCGTGGTACTTGCGCTCCGCCTCGCTCGCCGACACGGAGCCCGTCGTCATCTCCTCCGACGTCATGAACGAGAGCAGACCGATCAGGATGGTCGACACCTCCCAAGCCGGGTTGAACGAACGTGGGTGGAAGTCCGAAATAGACAGGCATAGCCGGCTCGACGGCTGGAATCGCCCCGAGGGGGTGTGCATCCGGATCGCGGGCGGGGCGAAGGGGTAGTTGGGCGGGAACATGAGCGTGCCCCAGTACTGCCCGCCGTGGTAAGGTGTGTTTTCGGGGCCGGTAATAATGTAGTGCCATCTTCAAATTGCGGTGTTAGTAAGGTATGGTGTTAAGCATAGGAATCGACCATGTCATACTCCAATATGTTTGACTCGGACGGGTGTGCTGTAATGTAAGGAGGTGGGTTCTCCGAAATGCTCTTGTACTCGCGCGTCAACTACAATGGGAAACAAAAGGTTAGCCCGTACTACTCCCGTGTCCGATTGTATAGAGGCCTTTGTTGGACACGTACGCGCTTCTGCGCGGCACGACTGGCCATCGCTGGCGGTTAGCCGACTCGGAGAGGACGGTGGCCGTCGGACAAACGAGGGTGCGGGCGACGGCAGGAACGGCAGGAACGGCAGCGAATGTTCGATGCAAAAAGAAAAACACACAAATGAACGAAGATAGAGAGTGTCCGGAACCGGATGTCGATGACAATCGTGTTGCAGTCGATGCGACTCGGGGCGTTGTGTTATCCGGGAGAAAGGGGTGATATATGCCAAGTAATGGGTGACGACGGCCAGTTGGTTTTATTGCCAGAGCAGAAGGAGGGTGTTGAACTGCTCGTTGGTTAACTGCGGTCTGCTGATGGCCAGTTGATCAATGCGGCAGGTGGGGACGTGACTAACAAGCACAGCTTGAAATCCCTAAATCAACAAGATAATGTCTTCAAACAATTAGAGTTTAAGTACTCTGTACTTCGTAGAGTCCCTAACATCGAGTCCCTAAGAATGGCGATGCTTAACGACTTACAGAGTGTCCGTACACCACGTTCACTCATCAACATAACACTCAAAATGGCTGCAATCAGATACCAAAGTGGGAATGCTCTAGGTACTGTATATTCTCGACAGAATGGGACACCACTGTATTTTAGTTGCTTCCTTAGGCGACTAACCATCCATCAATTCTTGCCCAAATCCTATCCCAGTTCAAGCTTACACAGTACTGTTGCAGGGCGCAGGCAGACTGAGAGTCTTGCGTGCCATTCTCCCTGTCCCGGTCTTCCTTCTTTGGAACTGTTGGCGAAGTAAGCAACTAAATCATAATGGTGTCCCATTCTCTCGAGAGTTACAGTAACCATTCAACTGCCATCCACATATGTAGTCATCCCACCATCCAGTTCCTAGCAATTTTGAAGATCCGGGGGATTGACTCCACCCATTTGTTGATGTCTTCCTCCTGAATTACACGGGTTTGCGGTGCCGAATAAATATGCTTCTCTCAAAGATGCCATCAATGTGTGTAACGCGGCGGCTATGTGCCGTAGTCTTGACGGCTGCAGGTGTCGTCGTGGCCGACGCTGCAACACCGCATCCAGACCGTCCCGGGAGCAGCTCCGAGTGCATTAGTGCCAGCAGGTTCCTGACTGTGGCAACATCTAACGGACCGGTGACTGGCCATGTCGCCCTCAATACCTCGTGCGTCGTTGAATATCTCGGCATCCCGTATGCGAAACCGCCGGTCGGCGAGTTGCGCTTTGCTGCACCGCAGCCCATTGACCGCAATCAACCATATGTCGCAGCCAACTTTGGCTACGACTGCCCGTTGACCCCTTCCAAGCCGGTCGACTACCCAGGCTTCACTGCCCAGGCGCAACGCATCATCAACTACTTTGCCTCGGCCGCCGGCACGCCGCAGGACGAGGATTGCTTGACGCTCAACATCTGGTCCAAGGCGACGGCCCGGGGCGCTGCTAGGAAGAAACCTGTGCTTGTCTTTTTCTATGGCGGGCGTATGTCCCCCTCCTTCAATGACTACCCGGCTTCTCTTATGTGCACCTAACCGCGCAAGTGAATGCTCACTTCACCTACCTGTATCCCAGGCTTCACCATCGGCAACACCAACAGCCCCATGTACAATGGCAGGCACTTAGCCGATGGCCAGGACATGGTCGTGGTGACCTTGAACTACCGCATGAACATCTTCGGCTTCCCCGGGGGGGCGGGCGAGACGCAGAATCTCGGCCTCCGCGACCAGCGCGAGGCGGTCGAGTGGGTGCGCACGAACATCGCCCAGTTCGGCGGTGACACCAGTCGCATCGCTCTCGCCGGCCAGTCCTCGGGCGGCGTGGCCATCGACTACTGGGCGTACGCCTACAGGGACGACCCCATCGCCTCGGGTCTGATCCTGACCTCGGGCAACGCCTTCAGCTTCCCGCTCAACGCGCCCGGCGTGACCGATAGGAACTGGAACACGGTCGTCTCGGCTCTGGGATGCAACAACAACAACAACAACACGACAACCAGCGACCGCGCAGCAGCAGCGGCCGTCATGTCGTGCATGCGCGCGCAACCGTGGGCCGCCATCAAAGCGGCCGCGGCAGCCATCCGGCCTTCGGCCAGCACGTCAGTGCTCCGTTCGGTTCCGGCTTTCTACCCGCAGGTAGACAACGAGCTCGTATTCCCAGACTACATGGAGCGCACCGCGGCGGGGCTCTTCGCGCGCATGCCCATCCTCGGCGGCAACACGCACAACGAGGCCGGGTACTACCGCATTCCCGCGTACGGCAACGGCGGCGTCGTGCCCACGGATGCGCAGGTCGACGCCTTCCACCTCGAGTCGTTCACGTGCCCATCGGCGTACCAGGCGGCGGGCCGTAAGGTGCACGGCGTCCCTGCGTGGGTGTACCGGTACCTAGGGGATTGGGACAACACGCGGCTGTATCCGACGTCGGGCGCGTACCACGGAGTGGACCTGCACATGGTGTTTGGCGGGTCCGAGGAGGTGAGCGGGCTGCCGGCGACGGCAGAGCAGCGTGAGATGACCAAGGTGATGCAGCGGGCATGGTACGCGTTTGCGGACGACCCGTGGGATGGATTGGAGAAGGGCTTGGGCTGGCCGAGGTGGGAGCCGGGGAAGCCGACCTTGATCGAGCTGGGCAAGGATAACAAGGCCAAAGTCAACTCTGTTAAGCCGGCCGTTTATGACGGCTTGTGTAGCAACGTGACCATGGGCGCGTCAGGCCTGTTCACGGCGACGGGGTGAGAATGCAGACTCGAAATTCGCTGGAGTCGACGGTCACAAGATTTGATTTCTTATTTCCACATCCCATACACGAGAATGGTGCCATGAGGAGGTAAGAATGACTAGAAGTCTAGTGGAAGAGCGTGGGCATTGTGTTCTGAACCTTCGAGGGGTGAGGGGGGGGTTATACTGGCTCGATGCAGTAAAGCCGGGCTGGATTTGCCTCCATTTGTGGGCATTCAGGTGAGAGACAGCAAGAGCAAGGGAGAAGAAGCGTACCGATCGGCGTAGAGTGAGATCTGACCTGCGACCAACGCCTGGTTCTCGAAGAACAGAACTGACCCGGCGGCGCCCTTGAACATGACCATCCCTGCATATAGTCTGTCAGTAGGCAGCAGTCTGGCAGCATTCCGGAGTGAAGTGAAGCTTGCGAGTGGAAAGTTTGGGCCTGTGTCAGTCGGTGTAGTGAGCTTGAAAAAAGTCTGTCGAATAGTCAATCAGGCGTAAAACTTTAGACCTTGGCTTCCAGCCGGCAGCACCTGGCAGTTCTGAGTGGCACCCGATCAATTTCCAGAAAGATGCACGATTGCAACTTGCAAGTCTGTGCCTGAACCCGTCACGAGACGAACTGCGTTGCGACACCGGTCGACGGCCAAAGGGACACAACAATGGCTGCCTCCTCGGGGCCAGGTGGCAACAATGTAAGTGAACCTTACAACATCACGGAATTGAGGTGATCGAGCTGCCTAGCAATGGCATGTTGCAAATGGCGGTTTCAAGCTCCAAAGCTCCAAAGCTCCAGCTTCAACCTCAAGCAGCACCTCGAGGTTCTGGCTAACTGCCTCAACAGGCCACCGACGGGTCCAACCCTGTATCCGGCCAAAGTGCGACACCACAAGCTCCTCAAAGCTCACCCCACCTGGTAAACACCGGCCAATGTTCCTCAGTCCGCAAGCGCCACTGCTAATACGGCCCGTGTGTTCACAGCTCGACGAGCACCTACTCACGCCTGCTTCCATCAGCTCACTAGAGGTCCATGGAGCGACCAACACCCGGAGGAGTCTGCTCGACCATGTTTTCAAGCCTCTTATGGAGGACAGCGCCATTCCGGGAACTACTTTGGGCCAGGTCCTTGAACGCCTGGGGGCAGCCACCAGGAAGCTGTCTCGTTTCGGTGCGCCTCTATTCTATCCCTACCAATACCACAACTTTTGAGCAGGCATTGTTAACCCAGCTGCCGGCGGTGTTTAATAAAGACATATTCAAGGAGGAAGGGTTCAACCTGTTCCTATCCGAAGCACAACACCCCTCGCCCACAACCGCACCACCGACAGACCGAACCGACCTGGACATCTCGATCCGCGTAAAGGAAAAATCACGCCTGGTGTTCAGCGCGGGCACCGACTTTGGCAACGCCGAGGGGTCGGCGTACACCAACGCTGTCGCGCGCAACATATTCGGTGGCGCCGAGACGCTCACCGTCAACGCCAGCACGGGGACGCGCACGCGGTCCGCCTACAATGCCGTCTTCTCGACGCCCTTAAACGGCAACCCGGACCTGCGCCTCTCGGTCGAGGCCCTGCGCTCGGCCACACAGAAGCCCTGGGCGTCCCACGAGGAGCGCCTGACGGGCGCCAACCTGCGCCTGGCCTGGCTCACCCAATCCACGGGTGACAGAGAGGACAGCCACGCGCTGGCCTTCTCCACCGTTTGGCGCCAGCTGACCTCCCTTGCCGCAACCGCATCCCCCACCGTCCGCGCCGACGCCGGCGACTCCCTGAAGTCCTCCATCACGCACACTTTCACGCGCGACCGCCGCGACAACCCTTTACTCCCGCAGCGCGGCTACCTCCTGCGGAGCATCACCGAGCTGGCCGGGTGGGGCCCTTTGCAAGGCGACGTGTGCTTCGCCAAGACAGAGCTCGAGGCCTCGGGGGCGCTGCCCGTGCCCATCGCAAACAACCAAAACTCGGGGGTATCCCTCGGCGCGGGCCTGCGCGTGGGCGTGCTGTACCCCTTGCCTACTGGATATTCGCTTACCGGAAAGGCCATGCCGAGCCGGATCAACGACCGGTTTCAGCTCGGCGGACCGACCGACGTGCGCGGGTTCAAGATTGGCGGGCTGGGCCCGCACGACGGGGCCGACGCTGTGGGCGGGGACGTTTTCGCCGCGGGCGGGGTCAGCATGCTTGTGCCGCTGCCGCGCACGGCTGGTGCAGACTCGCCGCTGCGCCTGCAGCTGTTTGCCAATGCCGGGCGGTTGGTGGCTGTGACGCCTCCAAGGAGGAGGGGGACAAGCAAGGTTGAGGGGAGCGGGGATGGGGAGACTACGATGGCCATGGACTCCAGGACGGTGTTCAACGGCGTCAAGTCGGCCGTTGGGGAGCTTGTGAATGGCCTCCCCAGCATGGCGGCCGGCGTAGGGCTGGTCTATGCACACCCCGTCGCGAGGTTTGAGCTGAATTTTAGCCTGCCGCTCGCGCTGAGAAAGGGGGAGGAGGGGCGCAAGGGGTTGCAGGTGGGTGTGGGCATTAACTTTTTGTAATGGGAGTCGACAAATACAGGGTTTGTGCGATCTGGTTTTGTCGACTAGATCGTGCTGTGTAATAAAAATGTAGACATTATCTGGCTGGATCGGAGCAAAAATAGCAGCGGTGCTGTGTCTTGATTTCTGTTTTATTTCTATTTCTTCGTCGATATTCCATCTCTCCCTGTCGATCGACATCAAAGTCTGTCACACCCCCTTCCGAATCTAGCTACTCGAACAGGTAAACCACACGTCACGCCGCATCCATCCCAAGAGCCGTAAGCAAGAAAAGGGAGAAATACAAGAAATAATGAGGGGGGTACCCAAAACCTGCTGTGTATAAGAAGAAAAATGACTAAAAATATAAAAAGTCTAGTATGGTAGAGTGACAAGTCTAATGCTTTCCAACCAAATAGCTAGGATCCGGCGTCGCCATGCCATGACAGCCGATGGATCTATGCAATTAAAAGAAACAAAGTGAAACGAAATGACAGATCTAGTCTAGTCCTGCTTCTTCTTCTTCCCAAGCTTATTCTTGGGCACTCTTACAAGCCAGTAGACAAACAGAGCGGCGGCCACGTTAAAGGCAATGTACACAAACATGAGCCTGCAAAACTTGTCAGTAATTGCTCGAAACAATTTGAAGAGAGGAGCGACAACGTACCCAAAATTGCGCCACCTGTCGTCATAGCTGGACTTCACCGAGGCAAGGAACGTGTTTGTATCGCGGATAGTGCAGAAGGCGCATTCGTCCGTGGCCGTAGGATCCAGGAGATAGCCGCCGGCGCCAGGAAGGCCAAGGCTGGGGATACCGTTGATGTAACTGGCCATGTACTCCTCGCAGGTGGTCCCGTTAAGCGGGCGGAACTTCATGTACTCGTTGGCGGCGCAGACGACGTTGGTGTTGGCAACGGCCGTCGACAGCATGGCGCTAACCAGATAGGTAAAAGGGCTGACACGGTACATGAAGATCCAGAAGCGGGGCATGGTGTCCGGGTTGGCCAGGACGCCGCAGAAGATGAGGCAGAGCATGAAGAGCAGGTTGGCAAAGTTGGCGCCCGCCTCGGCCGTCTCGAAGCCGGCAATCATAAAGTCTGTGAAGGTCGACGTGAAGAGCAGGAAGGACACGAGCAGCAGGAACATGAGCCCGCCCCGCTCGGCGGTTTGTCCGGCGGCGGCGGCGTTGGCGTTCAACCCGACGGGATAGTACCAGCAGAAGAACATCAGTGCCGCCATCAGAGTGTTCCACGGCAGCTCGACGATGATTTGCGACAGCATAAACACCTTCCAGCTGTAGACCTTGGACGGCCGCTCACGGACCTCGTACAGCGAGCGCTGGATGACAAAGTGCGGCATTGTCTGCTGCACGAGCTGGCCGAAGATGGTGAGAATGTTGAAAATGGCGAACATTTGGTTCTGAAGACCCTGGATCGAGTTGGGAGCCTTGTAAAAGACGAAACCAATGTAAAGGGCAACCAGGATACACAAGGCCGCTTTGGAGTAGATGTAGGACGGCGTGCGCCAGTACTGCTGGAAGACTCGGTGCGTGACGGACTGGAGCTGCTGCCAGAAAGGTGCGGCGAACTCCCGATAGCTTCCCGGATCGTCAGCAGACACGGGGTTGGTATCCTTTGCGTTGGCCTTGAGGCGCTGCAGCTCTTCCTGGACGGCCGAATACTCCGGGCTCTCCCGCCACGTCTTGTGCCAGTCAATTTCGGTCGTGCTTCCTGGAGCGGCACCGATGACCTCGAGCATCCATTCGGCAGGGTTTGCCTCGGGAGGACAGGGGAAACCACCATTGCGTTCGAAATACGACGTCATGGTCTTGGAGTTCTTTCCGATGTCGCCAAAGTAGACCGTCTTGCCGCCCTTGGCCAAGAACAAGAGCCTGTCAAAGCGTTGGAAAAGCATGGCCGAAGGTTGGTGGATGGTGCAGAGGATGGCCTGGCCGCTCTTGGTCAACTTCTCCAGGAGGTCCAGGATAGCCCACGAGGTTTGACTGTCGAGACCTGAAGTCGGCTCGTCCACAAACAAGAGGAGAGGCGGCTTGGCGGCGAGTTCGACACCGATAGTAAGGCGCTTCCGTTGCTCCACGTTGAGACCTTCACCGGGTACACCAATGATAGCATCGGCGTACTCTTCCATCTCGAGGAGCTTGATGACCTCGTCGACGTAGGCAAGCTTCTCGGCGCGAGGGACATGGGCGGGCTGGCGTAGCAGTGCGCTGAAGTTTAGGGCCTCGCGCACTGTTGTCGTCTGGAGATGGAGATCCTGCTGTTGGACGTATCCCGTCTTGCGTTGGAAGGACGCGTCCCTGGGGCAGCCGTCGACAAGCATCTCACCCGTGATGACGCCCATGGAGGTTCTGTCAGCCAAGCAATCCAAAAGGGTCGTTTTCCCGGCTCCCGAAACACCCATCAGAGCCGTCAAAGTGCCAGGCTTGACCCAGCCGTCGACGTTGTCCAAGATGCGCTTCGTCTCGCCCTTGACTTTGACTTCGTAGGAGACATTGTTCCAGTGGAACACGCTGGTCTGTTTCTGCAGAATGCCGTCGGACGAGTGGCCATCAGAAGCCTCCTTGTTGCGGGCAATCTGAACAGGGCCGGCGACAGGAACACCGCCAGACTCGGAATCGCCTTTGTGCTCCTTGAACGAGGCAGGCTTGTGCCCGCGACGGAACACGAGCACTTCGCCTTTGCTCTTCTTGGCCGCAACATTCTCGGCAGCCACCATGTAGATGATGAGGAATCCGACTCCAAATGCAATAAGGATGCCAAAGTTGCGCCACCTGTGTTCACTGTAGTAGCGGAAACCCGAGTTGATGTAGTCGTCGCCTTTTACAAAGGCCAGGCCAGGAACCGAGCCAATGGAAGAGCAGACGCGGTTGAAGGGGCCAACATTCTCGTAGCCTGGGAATTGCTGGCTCGGAACGTACTGGGTGCATTCAAAGTTGCGGTTGTGGAATTCATTGACCATGAGTGACTCGAATGCGTAGGCCAGAGGGTCAATGTAGTTCATCCAACGGCACCAGGGTAACATGTAATCGATCGGGATGACGAAGCCAGTGAAGATGACGAGACCGAGAATCAGGATAGCAGCGGGGACCATGGCCTGGGACAAAGTCCTCGACATGCTGGCGATGGACCGGAAGATCATCGACATGACTATGACGGTGGCGAAGGAGATGAGCAGGAAGAAAAAGAAGGCTCCAGGTTCCCGACGCAGGTTGGTCATGAAGTACAGCGTGATGTTGAATATGATGGCGTTCGCAATCTTGTAGGGCATGTCGCATATCATGGAGGCAACCGCTTCGGCGGACGGGTGGTAGAGGGCATAGCGATCGTGCTTTTCGACAATGGGACGTTGAGCGTAAAGGGTCAGAATCTCGAGGGCACTGGCGAATGCGTTCATCAGGCAAGCAAAGAACAAAAGAGCGCCTCGCTGGTAGAAGCTGGACGTTGTCGGCTGCAGATCATAGAAGATACTCGCGATAATCAAAGCCATAACGAAGTTACCGATAAGCGATCCCATGGTGATGCTAGGATCCCCAATCAAGCGTCTCCAGCCTCTCCAGAGGCACAGGTTGATTTGTTGCATGTACGACAGGGTGTAGGGCGACTTGAGGCGCTGACCCTTGGCCTGCTGGGCCTGCTTGGAGGCTCGGAAAGCCTCGGCATCCGGTCCGTTGATAGGGTGGCTCTGCTTGTACTCCTCGATCTCGGTTTGAAGGGCATGATACTCGGCGCTCTGCTTCCAGGCGGCGGCGAACTCGTCGGGCGTGCGAGGAGCTTTGTTCTCAAAGCCGGGGCGGACGATCCGTTCCTGAGGGCTGGTCATGGACGTGAGGAAGTCGGGCGTAGTCTGGCGTGCAGGACACTCGAAGCCCAGGTTGATGAAATACTGCTTTGCGTCCGAGGCCTTTCCAAAGAAGATTTGGCGGCCTTCGTAGAGCACGAGTGCCTTGTCGAAGAGGTCGTAGGCGCTCTGGGGGGACTGGTAGATGGAGACGCAGGCGGTGCTCCCGAAGAGCTCGGTCTGTAGCCTGAGTGTCTTGCAGAACTCGATGGCGTTGGCGCTGTCCAGGCCTCTCGTACTGTTGTCCCAGCATTGTAGGGGGGCGTTTGACAGGGCGGCCTCGGCAATCGTGACACGCTTCCTCTCGCCGCCCGACACGCCACGGATGTACTCGTTGCCGACGCGCGTGTTGATGGTGTGGCTGATGCCGAACATGGCCATGACGACGTCTCTCGCATGGTTGGCGAAGAGGGTCTTGGAGACACCGTCGGGTAACTGGCGCGGAGCTCGAGCGTGGGCGGCAAAGGTCAGGGTTTCGCCAACGGTCAGCTGCGGGAAATGCGTGTCCACTTCGGCAGTGTAGATGGCCTCGCCCCGGTGATGGGTGTGCATCTCCTTAGCGGTCATGCCTTTTGCAGAGTCAGCAATCCGGGCACCAGATCAGGGAGCAAGCGGTTGCCGTACCTTGGTAGTTGAAATAAGACTTGTCATCAATGAAAATGCCGTTGTAGTCACCGGCAATGGTCTTCAAAAAGGTGCTGCAGCCTGAGCCTGGGGGTCCCAGCACCACCAGCATCTCACCACTGCGAACGAGGCCGTCAAAGTCGCGAAGGATATCGATCCGGCGTTTTCCATGACCAGTGAGCTTGCGAACAAGGCCGACGGCCTCGAGCCACACGTTGACGACGTCCTTCTGGTAATCCGTCGGCGAACCAAAGCCGTGCACGTTGAGATTCTGGAAGGCAACGCCGCTGGTGCGCCACTTGTGGCCCTCGCCGGCTGCGAGGTTAACCACGGCCTTGGCCCAGGCGCGGGCACTGAAATTGGGGCCATTGGGGTTCAACGGCGAGTCCTTGTCCTCGGATGCGATGGCAAACGGGTTGGAGCCGGCTTCGCCGTTCGCATGTGACCTCCTGGAGTACTGCTTCGCCAGAGACTGCACAATGCTGTGCCGGCGCTCCAGTTCTATGGCATCCTCGACATTTTCCGTCTCTTCGCCCGCCGTGTCGCTGGCAACCTCGGTTGTCGAATTGTCACGGGTCCTGTTGACATTCTCGTCCACTGCCGCAGCAACCCTGATTTCTCCACCGTGTGTTGTTTGAGTCGCCGAGGGCGCGCCCGCTACCTGCGCCGTGAGATCATTGTTCCCGAAGGAACCGGTCCCGGTGACCGACATGATGGTCCGGTGGCTTGGATCACCGCCGAACGATCGTCAGCCGGGACTCGGAGGTTGCCGGCCGGAACCGCCGTCAGAAAAGCGACACACCAAGCTTGCAGGTGCAATGCAGCGTCAGTATGCACGTTGTATGCCTGGTGATTAAGACGTCTGGAACTTGTAAACCAAAGATCAGTCTGTGGAATCAAGACTGAATCATGTGCGAACAAGCCGAAGCAAGTTCCAGACACCGGACGAGGGACTAGGCAAAAAGAAACTAAATCTAGCCAAGATGACACTGCCTTGTGAGGCATCACGCATTTTAAAGGACAGCACATGGGCATCGCGTCACGGTGGCTATCGGGGTGTTCGCAGGCTCCGAGTGTGGAGCCCATCCCGTTTTCGGGAACCGAACCGTCCAGACGATGGGGAAGCGCGATGAAAAAGTCCCCGAGGGAAGGGCTACGGCTACTGCGGCGCAAGCTAGCACCACTCGGTGGTAGGTAAGGTTACTGTAGCTTTCGCTCACACGTCTGTGAACCGATAAGTGCCGCGATGGACTGTTAACACCTCGGTACATTACACTAGAGATTCAGGACGAACGCCTACATCCATGATATATACATCGTTAAAATTCTTCGTGCAAAGCTGTCTCTGACGCTAATAGCATGCGAATACGCTCGGTTTCGGAAACAATGAGATAGGGCTATGTGTACTCCGTACAGTAGTGTACATCATATCCTTGATACCCCCTTATGGTTAGGGGGTTGCTGCCGTTTGCAACAGAAGTGCCTCCTTCCCTTTTTTGTGTTACCTCGTCAGGCTGAGTGTGGGTCGGACGGAGACATCATCGATTTCCTGCGTTCGGCAAAGGCTTGGCAGCAATTGTTTCGGCTGCAAGATTGGCCCGGGGACCCGTGGGAAGGGAAAGGGTGGTTTTGTCGCGCTCGCTTGATGTCTCCTCATTAGGGGCTGATGAAGAGAAAAAAAAAAAAAAAGAGTTTCTTAACATGGCTTGGGCACGTCAATCATTGTGTCATCCTGTCGCATCCAGATGCATCACCATGAATCACTCCAACGTTGTCTCATCTCATCGATCGCTCTATACTTGAATCGGATCAGTTTCTTCGAAGCCACCGTTTTCTATCTTGTGTTGTATGTATGGAAGTTTCCTCCCCATTTCCATACCCTTCCGTTCATTCTCCCCCACGTTCTGGACCCCAAGTGCAAAGTCCCGCCCGTACACAGTAAGCAAAATTTTCGGCATTAGCACCCTTGGCACTTTCTCCTTAGCCAATGATTTCCACAGAACTTGTGAGACGAAAACGCCGAATCCATGGCTAGCCGAACGCGGGTACGGACGCCATCTGAAAGCGAGCCCGATCTGAAAGCCACACGCAACCGAACCGGCGTTTGCTGAACCGGGGTCCCGGACTTACTGATCACAGAGTGGGGTCAACCCTTTCGGGCTTTCCAACGTTCCCGGCGCCCCGTAGCAGTCCGACCAGCTATATCAACAGGAAACCCGCTCGAAGTCTTGCAGAACGTCTCTTTCTGACGAGCTTCTCTGTGAATAACCTATGTATTCTTGTCTCTGCACGGTTCATTCACGAGGAGATATGTTGGATCCCAACCAAGGGGTACTCCGTACTGTTATTCGGATAAAGTCTCCACAACCGAATTTGCAGTCCTGACCCCTGAGTAACGTCCACGGTGCGATACCTAGATGGGGACTGGGGAAGTTGGGTATCTGCTTCGGCCCTTGTGACTTGGAGATCTGAGTAAACATAACCCGGCAGTGTCTTCTCTCAACTCCACGACGGTTTATTGTTTATGTGACACAACTGAAGTTACATGACTACCTGAGGTTGTGTCGCTCGTACATGTGATAGCAGGCTCATCCAGTCAGCTTTATGTACCGAAGTGTTCGGTCAATGCGCAAGGGATAATTCGCCGTGACACAGCAGGAGGACTCTGCATTGCTGATCTCACTGGGACAGCTCAGATCCTCGCACTCGGATTGTACTAGAATCCGCTCATGTCAGCCTCACGCCTCATGGCTACTTGGCAAGATTGTGTGCTGAGGTGAGGGACGTGTGCGGTCCCCTGGAGTATCAGTGTATCACTCCGAGGTCACTGCGACTTGAACCTTTGGGTAATCTGCATCAACTACACTTATGCAAATTCTCACATAAACACAATCGAGAAAGATATAGGCTATCTCATGATGCCAAATCCACCCAACCTGCCCGGAGTCAGCCGAGTCCATCCTGTCGCACGAACTGGGACAATTCGACTGACCAATGTGCAAGATGTATACCTGAGTGATTCGGTGCTACGTGTTTTGACTTCGGTGTTTATGTATCAGGGGTTGAAATATGGCCTGCTGATTCCCGAATATGCTCATCAAAGGCCCGGGGATAAGGTAAGTACCTTAGGTAAGTTCCATGCGCATTCATCAGCCGGCAAAGGTAAATTACTACCTAGATTCGAATCTCTCCTACCTGTAGGTATAATGAGACTGCCTAAATCAGGTACTTTACACTATATGTAGCATGAGTACAACTGCACCTCTCTGGCCGAAACCCGTCTCCAACGCGCTGCTATTCACAATTAGACACGCGATCCATATGAGAGTTGTGTTTTGGCTATTACCCGTGTACTGCTCCATTTGCCAATATGGAGTTAGTCCCTCGGCAATGTTGCAATTGTTTCTTTGCCTCAGAGAACTTGAAGTTTGCTATAGGTACTACAAGGTCTGTATCAGCACTCGAAGGCCACCCCAGAGCCCAGGCTTGGGTCTTGAAACTGAATCTGGTCCAGCTTGGACACTATTACCACGGTCTTTTTCAGAGGTTTCCGTTTTGGATCCGTATTCGTATGGTTCATCCAACCAGGCTTACTGAGTTGAGTGTTACTCTTTGGCAAGTCCTCTACTAGTCCTCTCTGCGATTACGGCCAACTGGGTGTGACGTAGCAAAAGATTCTTGAATGCTGGTTTCTTAGGTACTTCAACTTCTCAGGGACAGCATCCACCATTTACTCGGGTACAAACAGAGCGCAATGGCAAGCACGGCAAAGAAAGAACTGGAGTGGTTGATTCGATGTAGTCTCACAAACTTGAATACTAGGTACCTGATATGGAAGGTACTAGGTAGGTAAGGTAGGTAGGTAGGTACCTTAGTCTTCACTGTAAAGGCATGGCTCAATCCAATTTAACCTCGACAGAGTCATCTTTTCATAAGCTACATGTAATGGAGTGCTAAATGGACTGTCACAGTCGGAGTTCAAGACAGTATCAACGGTACGTCAAATTCTGTTTGCTCTATGTTGCACTGGAAGAAGTGAAAGTTCAGGTTCCAGACCTGTAAACTGTTACCAGATACCTCCATTCTGCTGGGTTGCGACTTAACCAACCTGCTGTCGACTGCAGACTGTGAATGCCTTCATGAACGAGCCATATGCTGCTCAAACCGCTGTCTGCAGAGTAAATGTAAATGCTCTTATATGCCAGCCTCCCATATAACTCGCGACTCGCGACCCTTGGGATGTTGAACTACAGTCTATAATGCATGGCTAGACGAATACCCCTGAGTGCTGTGATATACCCCAAGTAAAGCTCCAATGAAATGAGTAAGAAAATTTCCAGGAGAATAAACCAGCATAAAGCTCAGCCCGGGAGGTATCGAAAGTTCAATCCGCCTGACAGATGGACAATAGATGTTGAATCTAGACCAGACAGTGGTTCGAACTCCCGACCTCCCGGGCCTACGAAACCGTGCAGAACGATTTCATAGTTAGGTGGTTGAGTGGCACGCCTCATTCCGCTCGACCACGTCGGCCACGTGGTGAGTCTAACTTGGAATTTACCGCGTTGGAACTGGATTATATACCCCGTGGCGCGTCGACATTGAATGAAAAGACCTTAGCCGCTCTCCTTCCCGCTCCTATACACTCTCTTGGCTAGGGAGGTAAGGAGACGGTCCCTAGCTATCTATGAACTACATTACCTAGGTACTTTACTACGGATAGGGCCCTGTTGAATTATAAACCTACAAGACTGGTAATGATATGGAGGGCATGAAGATGTCTATACCCGTCAAGGCCGATTAAGCCTGCGGGTTCTTCCTTGTGGCAGTGTGGGAACAGATGCGGTGGAGTTCTATAGGTAGTTAACTTGAAGATTACTAGTTAATGACAATACAAATGGAGAGGTGACGGCTGAGGTATCAGTGGAGATGCCACTGTGAAATCAAGCAGCAGACCATCCGGAACTCAGGGTTGAGCCTTGTGTTGACCATGATTGATGTTGTCTTCTGACCTTAGTCGTTACCGTGACAGTCCCTACATGTAAACAGTTGATACTTGACCTGGCAGTATCGTCCGTGGTTTGCGCTGAACATAAGCGTGACTCACGAAGTCGCAAACTTCTCGCATCGCTAAGTCCAGTGTCTACATGTAAGTGGGAATCAGCCTGATTCCCACTGCTTGTTGTTAGGCAACTGCCTAGGTACTGGAGGTAGGCTCCAGTCAGGGACGACAACACCCCTCTCCATATTTTATCAGCCTTCCATCGTCATCACCATGAATAACACTGCTACTATGTGAGTACCGGGGCCGAACTAAGCTGAGGGAAGTACCTAATGTAGGTACTACTAGTAGTACCTTATGTTCCCTTCTCAGTGAGTTCCTCACCACACTCGGCGTAAGGAAAGGTTGAGTCAGATTACTGTCGGAATGAAGACCGTGGTGCAAACCGAATCAACCAGTCTAGCCACTACCATAGCGCTCCGCCCTACTCGTAGAACATGATCTCCGGGATCAGTTTCCAGGACAGGGATTATCTCCGTTACAAAATCCTCATATGATGGATTTGAGACAAGAATCGCTTAGATTGAAGTTATTCCTTAACCTCTAGGACTATCTATATTTGAAGCCATTCCTAGAGAATAGGAATGCTTGTAACTGAAGTTATTCCCTAATCTAGGGGACTGACTTCAATTGAAGTGGTTTCTTGAGGATAGGAATGGCTTGAACCTAAACTGATTTCTTGAACCTAAAATGTTCTAAGATGGTCCCCTTGTGAGAAAATGATCCTGGAGTCCATTTTGGGGCCGAAGAGCCATTTTCGAGCCTAGACCTAGGTGGGTAGGCTATCAAAAAGAGAACTACCTACCTAAGCATCGAGTACAATAAGGTATCCAACCTCCAAGTACTACTTGGAAATTGGTACAATACCTCCTCACCTTGCAAAGAATATTGCAAAGGTCTTGGATCGAACAGAAGACTTCACGAATTTGTCACTTGACAATTGACCACTTGGCCATTCGCTTGATCAATCTTAATTGAAGAAGATGCTCTATCCTCCAGGTTATCAAGCGCAGGTTGGTAGTCAGGGTAGGTACAGTCCTCATTGAGAACAGGAGGCCAGGATCCACTCTTTAGTCAAAGAAGATCCAAACAGTCAAGATGGTCTAGACAGTCGAAAATGCATTCCACATGCAACATAATACAAGACCTTCCTAGTAGTAAGCAATGCCCTTATAGAGAAAGGAATCCCTATATCAAAGGCATCCCCTTGGCTTAGGAAGAGTTCAATTACAAGGTGATACCGAGGATCCTTTTGGCTCTGAGGGATGATCCTGTACGTGGAAGGCCCACTTCTAGGTCAAGTAAGTCCCCAAGATCATTTTAGCTGGGTACGGGGGGGCGGCATGGTAGGTATTAAATATCAATCCAGTCGGCAGACCGCACCCATTCCTGGTTCGGCGACATCGTGATAATTGATGGCCATGGATCTACCTCAATGATGCATTAAGGTCTGTGAAACGTCCCTCTGGTATTCCCTTGAATGATTCTTTTGATTCGCTTTTCTGTCGCCGATGTGGACATTTCATCCCGTTGTGTTGATATTCATCAGATTCTTGGACGCCGGTCAAAACTTCAAACGCTCCTTCTTCGACGATGAAGATCGGAACGGATATGTAGGTAGTTGAGTCAATCAAAATCTTTCTATCGGGGCCGGCACTGCGAAGCCCCGCAGCGTTACTAATCCTAAACTGGAAATTAACGGGTACTTCCTCCTGTCCAGCCAGCGAGCCATGGCCCATAGCATCAGCGCTCTGTGACTTTGGAGAAGATCGAGATCCTTGGCATCCATCCGTCCTTCCCACAGTCTCACCGTTCAAACCTACAGTACAATCATACGACTGCCATTCTTTGTGCAGCGCAGCCGCTTGCTTTTTGACTGCCGCATCTGGCTTCGGGAACAAGGATAATAGCCCAAGCCCAGCCGAGCCTCGAGCGCAGCAAATCCTTTTTTTGCTTCCGGCACTGCAACAGCACTTTTCCGAGGTTTGCTGCTGCGTGGCACGCACCACCATGTGTCAGCGCATTGCCCAACCCCACTAACGTTACCCTCAACCTGCTGCCAACCTCCGCAAGATCCGGCCGCAAGCAACGAGCAATCAGGACCCACGACCCCATGGCCAGTGCTACGCCATCGACGGCATTGATAACCATCAGAACGCTCGATACGCTCGTTTTGGATTTCGCTCGATGGTATAATACATAGCAACTAGACAGACCAATGATAACTGCGAGCATCCCCCCTATCGACGACGATCTCCGGCGGTCGAGCTGCCTTTATTCCGTCGCCTGTCCAAGCTCTGTGCTGGTCTGGGCTCAATACCGCCGATCCTGCCCGGTTTGACTACGTCACCAACCTCCTCTTCATCGGGCGCAACGACCGCCATTCTCCTGCCGTGCATCCCAAACTCGAAAGTAGTTCCCCCCCGCCGATAACACGCTGCTCGCGGCTTCCAGCTCCCGTCGCGAATGACGTGGTGTAGGGTGGGGCCATCGCAGTCATGGGAAGTGCAAGCACCAAAGAGTCGCGCAGTGGTGATGCTGGCCATCGCGGCCATCACTCCGGCATCAGCCCGGGCCTTGAGCCTGGCGCCGGCCCCTCCACGCGATCCGACCGAACATCAAGCCGGGGGAACCGTGTGAGTCGGGCAGATCTAGGAGGCATTCTGGGACTGGGGCCTACCAGAGGCTCAAGCTCGCAATTGGAGCCACCGTACGAGCGCCGCGAAACCAAGCAGGAGAGGGAGGCGCGAAGACTGGAGAAGGAGCGGATTGCTAGAATCGCCGAGCGAGAGCGGAGCATGAAGGAAGAGCACGTAGACGGAGGCTTCCTGGTCACCATGGGAGTATACACCGGCCCGGAAGACTTTAACAAGCAAATCGTGCGCCAACTTCAAGTACGTTCATTTCATGCCTGAGCGGAGTCGAGCAGGTGCTGACTGTTTTTTGTTCAGATAGAGCGAAAGCTCGCACCCTTCTGGCGAGGTCTTAATGACTTCAGCGATGAATGGACGGAGCCGCAGATTATTGCTGCGGCCCGGGGGCTGCCCATCCCTGCTGCCGACCAGACTCCTCCAGACGAGCTTATCCCCCGGCCGCTTTCGCCGAGCTCTCAAGGGGAATCGACCCCAAACTTGGAGTATCTAACAGTGCCGATTCTCAATCGCTCCCAGTCAACGGCTTCTGATCATGCTGCGTCAACACCGGCCTCAGCTCTCCCGTCACCTCTTCAAAATCAACAATCGCGATCGAGTTCGCCCTTCAAGCCACGCGGGAAGGCTCTCGCATCCGTCTTTAGTGGAAGCCCCCGGAATGGATCCACAGCCGAGTTCGTGCCGACCGAGATCAAATTACCGCATGATCCCTTTGTCAATGGACAGCCCATTGAAGTCTTTTTGTACAAGAATGCCATCGATTGCCCCATCTGTTTCCTGTCTTACCCGCCATACCTGAACCACACGAGGTGTTGCGACCAGCCGATCTGCAGCGAGTGCTTTGTGCAAATCAAGCGGCCGGATCCGCATTTTCCGGAAGGACACAACGAAAATGACCCTAACCGCAACCCGGAAGAGTCGGCAGGTTTGTTGGTGTCAGAGCCCGCATGCTGCCCTTACTGCACTCAACCCGACTTCGGTGTCACGTACGAGCCGCCGCCATTTCGTCGCGGCTTAGCGTACTCCATTTCCCCGGCCGCGCTAGGAACCATGAGCACTGCCATGTCTTCAAGCAGCTCGATCAACTCGGCGTCGTTATCACCGGCGGTTGGCTCACCGGGATCCGGCCGCCGACGGAATGAGTCTCTGTCAGCTGGCAGCCCCAACGTCATCCTGACGGACCGGATCCGTCCCGAGTGGGCAGCGAAACTGCAGGCAGCACGTGCGCATCTGGCAAGGCGGGCCGCAGCCGCTACAGCATTGCATACCGCCGCGTTTCTCATGGGGAATGCTGAGAATCGGGCATTCCGTAGCCGATTTGGGCGTCGAAACACGGGCGGATCAGGCTCTGCTGGCGCTTCCCCTGGCGGCGGAAATGGGGATAACGGAGATAGTGGGTCTGGGACGCCCTTGCAGGGTGGCCTTGACCCCAGAGGCAGTTCAGGGCGCGGTGGCGGCGAGGGCCGGCGTGGCGGCCTCGAGGAACTTGAAGACATGATGTTCATGGAGGCGATACGCCTGTCCCTTGCCGCCGAGGAAGAGCGCAAGCGAAAGGCGGAGAAAGAGGCGAAGAAAGAGGCAAAGAGACGGGGAAAGGAAGAGAAAAAAGCGGCAAAGGCTGCCGCGAAGCGAGCTGGGCCTTATGAGGGTGCCGGCAGCCATAGCGGCCATAGCTCGGCAAGCGCAAGTAGTCTGAGTTTGTCAGGTCTAGGATTCGGAAGAAGGCGAGGCAATAGTGCTGCCAGCAATCTCCGAATCGAGGCCACCAGTGCCGCTGCACTGGCCGCGGGCGGTTCCTCGAATTTGGAACCGAGTTCCAGAGACAAAGGGAAAGGCGTAGATCGCCCTGTATCCCTATCCGCAGAGAGTTCCCAGGCCAGCACCGCCGAGCCAGCCAGTCCGGGCAGCCGGGCTACTCATTCAAGTCCGCGACAGATCCCGTCCCCGCATCTCCCGGCCGGTCCCTCTCATTTGCGACAGATGAGCAGCGCGTCGTCAGTCTCATCATCGGTCCTAGACAGCCACCAAGGCAGCTTTACGGCGCCTTCTTACCTGCAGGACCCTCGCGGTAGTGGGCTTAGCCTGGGGAGCCGGTCGGGCCCCAGCGAGGACGGCGGCGATCAGGATCCAGATCGGGACCCGAGCGCCAGCACCGAACCCATGTTCAACTTCAGGAGTCTTGCCGAAGTGGTCGGTGTTAGTCTGGAAGGTGAAAACGCTGGGAGGCGGCTCAGCGCGATCGAAGCTGAGAGGAAGGGCAAAGAAGCGGAGGGCTCCCAATCTCACCAAGGCCCCAGCCGTGGTGACAGCTCCGTTGCCCCTGAGTCACCCCTAGAAGTGTCCACGAGCCAGGCAAGTATGGAGCCGGAACACACTAAAGAAGATCTGTCCTCGCAGGCTGAGCGGGACATGGCATCTACGAATCCGAACGCATTGTCGCCGCCAACAGTCACAGTCACCCCAGAAACACCCAAGGCAGGGGACACGGAAGAATTGAAGCAGCTTGGCTACGCTTCAGCCGTTGAGCATGCGGATCAAGCGGTGCAGTAGTCCGACGACATTTCTGAGGGGATGCTTGGATAACAAGTATCAGCATATATGAGAGAGCTCGAAGATGATGCTGAAAAGACGTCGCAACGAACGTCGTTGCTAGATGGGCAAGCATTCTAAAGGGGTTTCTCACGGTGCGCCAGGTCAAAGAATGACTGAGGAGGAGCATGGAAGTGGCAGAATTGCGGGCCTTGCTTGTTGCAAGTTGTGGCTGATGTGTCGTGCTTTCCCTTGTCCTACAACCCCCTCCCTTTCCTTCTGACATCTCATCTATCTCTTTCCCCCTTTTTGCTCTATCCCTACACTGTCCTTTTAACGTGGTTGCGGTTCCTATGGGAAGACTGGTTGGGCCTATGTTAAAGAATGGCAAGTTGAGGTACGGATGGACGGCACAGGTGGCGGGATGGAGTCTGGAGAACCTGGCGCCTGAGGTCGTGTTTAGCTGCATTTTGAGAAATCGAACACCAAGCATTGCTTTCCTGGTTACTGTATGATCAAGACACAGTGCACACCCCTTCTATTTGCGTCCATTGAATTGTCCTGGCTATCCTTCTAGTAAAGAAACCAAGTCTATGTGCTCCCGCTTGGACAACCTCACAGTCGCTAGCTTGGTCCTGCCCCCGTATGCGCAGCTTGACGACTCCGCTTCACCTCCTCATATTCGGCGATAATGCCATCATCTGGCACAACCCCGCGCTCGGCTTCAGGCCTGGTATTCACGTAGCCCTTCTTGGGACTGTCCCAAGCATGGTCTAGCCATGAACCCAACGCCGGCCAGAGCTGCTCGCGAACCAACCGCATCACCTTTTCCTGACGTGCCCGCGCTTCTTTCTCATCGCCCGTGTCCTTTACCAACCCTATAGCGGACAGCGCCCCGCGCCACTCGGCGACCGTCTCTTCCAGCTCGGCGATGGACGACACGCCGCAAACGCTCACGCCAAGTTTGTTGTTGCTACGAGAGGCGTGTTCGTAGTCCACGCCAACACCCGCCACGGCCCCGATCCACGCCCACTCGCTCAGAGACCAGCGCAGCGCGACCGACTCGAGCCGCTCGCCCGCCGCCGAGGCCAGCTCGGCCAGCCTCTTGCACACCACGCGCAGCGCAGGCGGCGACGGGTGCCACTTGGCTAGCATGGCGGGCTGTTCCTGTGTTGGAGCCTCCGAGGGCTCGGAGTCGGCGGGGATCCCTCGGCTCGTGAGCAGGCCCATGCCGAGCATGCTCGCGTTGGGGACGACGGAGACGCCGGCTTCTTTCAGCCGCGCCAGGGGTGACGCTTTCTTCCCCTCCTCCCCTTCCTGCTCGTGATAATCTGGAAGAACAAGTGGCAGTCCCAACCGGCGATTCTGCAGGGTAAAATTCCCGTAGCTCATCACGGCATCAAGCGGCTCACCCGTTTCGCGCAAAACCATCTCGGCCAGCTCGCAGAGCGTGTCGACGGGGAACCCGCTGATTCCCACATAGCGAATCACCCCGTCCTCGTCGCGCAGACGGCGCAGTTCCCGGACGGCCGCGAGCACTTCTTGCGGAGAAACAAACTCGACGTCGTGCGTGTAGACCAGGTCCAGATAGGGCGTGCGCAGGCGCCGCAGGCTGCGCAGCACAGAGTACCGGATCCAGGCCGGGGAGTAGTCGAACTCGTAACTGCCGATGCGCCCGGCCTTGGTGATGATCCTGTAGCTGGAGCGGGGGTGTTTGTCTTGGTCGAGGCTGGCGAGCGCGTCGCCCACAAGCTCCTCGGAGGGCCCGTAGTACGGGCTCGTGTCGAAGGCGGTGATGCCCAGCGAGATGGCGCGCGCGACGATGTCCCGGTAGGGCATCGCCCGCGGGTCGGGCACGTACTGCGTGTTGAAGGTCGCCGTGCCGAGGATTAGCGGGGGCAGGATTGTGTGGAGAGGTGGCCGTGCGGCCGGAGGGGAGGTTGAGGCTGCCATGGCGACGGTCACGGTGTTTGTTGGGTTATGGTGTTTCTGCTGCTTTTGGCTGTTGTGATGGTTGGTATGGAAGGGGGAGATAGATATCCTAGATAGCCGCGGCCTGTCATCCACCGACTTGCACGTCATGCTACCGGTAACGTCAGTAGTTAGTGTACCCCTCCACCAAGAATTGGGAGGGGCTTCTTTGGAGGTCGCAAGCGAGGGGAAGTGGGGTCGACTACATCCTCTGGCAACAGAGCTAAGGGAAGACTATTGGATATTGGCATTGATGATCGATCTAAGAATATGTATTCTGCTGTCTATCTATATTCAATGTCAGACAGCCAACCTCCCTCGAAAGAGATACATTACCGTATGTACGGGGCGAATGAGATGATGTCTATTCTTGTGAGTTGAGATGACCCAAATCTGGGCTGAGGCGTTGTCGAAGCAGCGGGGCAATCCGCTGTAGCTAAGGTTACTGTACGGAGTAGCCCTGCCCCACACTTTCCTCCATGCCACCTAGCGCCACAATGTGGGGAACCCGGCAGGTGGCTCTCAAGGCGCTCGATGGCGGACGCCTTTTGCGCCTTCCACTTGCCAGAACCCAATGTGTGCCTGGTCCGACCCCAACGTCAACGGTCAGTGAATAAATCTCAAGCAAGAACAGTAGAGTGGCGGCCACCATTCCCCAACTTACAGACAACATGCAATACGATGAAAAGCGAATATATGAGATTGACGGCACATCGGGTTACCAGCTCGCCGGCCCCAACCCGTGAACCCGATATCCTGGGAGGCATGGCTGCCAAGAGCCGACTTCCACAATTACACATCGGCGCGCCTCGATGACGAGAAAGGCTCGCATTCTTAACACTTCCTACACGTACTCGCATTGACCTGGGTTTTCTATTGGATCATCGGGCTCTATATTTCTCGGGCCTCCTTCTTCCATAGTCTTCTCAACCGAGTAGCCAAGTTTTGGTCGGGTTGTTGATGACATGTTGGCTCGCAGCCAGCATCACTCAAGCGCGTGGTTGTGCTGTATAATCCGTCGTGGGCTTACCCTTGCATTGATACCAAAGTTGAACCCCCTGAGTCCTCCATCATATATCGGAGGACTTCTCGTTGTGGCTGGTTTAGGCTAAAGGGAGTATTATCAGCCTCTTTTACAGCCTTGTTTCTGACTCTATCATCCCTCCCCAGGACCCTCCCTGCGCTTTCGTTCCGGTCCGTTTAATATCGTGGAGCACCCCGCATCAAGGACATTGATTTCATTTATTCCCATGACATCTGCTTTACCCTTCCAATCACGAACTTTCGATCATTGCCCGCCACAAGCAGCAACGATTTTCTTTCCGGGTCCTTCCATGCTCCTCCACCTTCCTGTCTCGACCTCTTGGGTCCTCCTGTGGTTATTAGAGTTCCATTCAACGACAAAAGCAGCGATCCAGAGTCAGCCTCCGAACGTCGACATCGGACCAACCAGAGCCAAGCGAAAGCCGATGACCATGCTCTGAATGTTTCAGGAATGGAATGGTGTCGACGGTGAACCGGATTGTGACGTCTAATTTCGTGGTGGGCCTGGCCCGAAGGACGACGGCCTCTTCAGTCAGCTTTTCTACCCCTTTCCTCGGCTTGGTTCTGCCGCCGATGTTCCGGGATGTAGTCTACGGCCGGCTTGGTTCGTCGCCTCCCATATTGCCCACGTTGTCTCCCGTACCTACGGAAGTAACGTCTCGGCATGCCAGGGGGTTCGAGGGACCGGTTGGTCGGCCTCCGCATAGGACATGTGTTAAGTGTCATATATAAGTAGAAAACTCTGGAAACCGCAGTCAGTGTCTGGTGCTCGGCTACTGCTCATTGCCGTTGCTCTCATTCCAATTCTACTGCCGGCTCCCAGCCAAGATGCGGTTCCTCGAGAGCGTCACACGCGTAGCAGGCTTCCTGGGCCTCGGTGAGTGCTTCTGATATAGAATTGCTTCCAAATGGCAGAGATTGACGGGTTGGCGTTTCCTTTTCGCAGCGAGAAGGCAATTCGAGCCCGACTCATCCGTGTACGAGGACTCAGAGACGGGTCTTACATTTGCTTCATACACGAGTGAACGTGGCATCACGTTCCGCGTCGCCATACCCGACCCCGTCCCGGACAACAAGATCTTCGACACTGTCCTCCAAATCGTAGCGCCCAACGATGTGGGCTGGACCGGCTGGGCCTGGGGAGGGCACATGACGTACAACCCTCTTGCGGTTGTCTGGCTCAACGGGACCGACGATGTCGTCCTGACGTCCCGGATCGCTTAGTTTGTCTCCCCCTGTGTTTCCCATCCGTCTAGACAGATACTAACGGTACCCACCTCACAGCGGCTACTTCAGCCCCCCGTCTTACCCGGACGCAACCTACACGATCCTGAAAACGGGAACGCACGTCAACGCGACGCACTTCCAGATCACGGCCAAGTGCACGGGTTGCTCGAGGTGGGGTGACGAGGATATCGGCTTTACCGAGCTCGATCCCGCGTACCAGAGCACCATGGCGTTTGCCTACTCCAACACTCCGCCCGACACGCCGGCCGATGAAGAGTCGAATTTCGGCATTCATGACAGCCTGGGCCACCCCATATACGACCTGGCCACAGGCAAGAATGCCGACTTTGACGCCAAGGTGGCTAAGCTTGTATAAGGTAGCTTGATGGAGCACCGAAGATGGACTTGGAGCGGGGATCTTGATTGTTTACTAGTGCTGTAGCATAGCTCAGAGATAGGGACTAGTTAGACGGTGGACTCATCCTTTAATGCGATTACATTAGGAGTGTAATCTCCTGGGCCATCTTTTTGACACTCTGTCTGGTCAAACCAGCAATAGGCTTGGTGTTTACTTACTGCTAGTAGTACTTACAGTACCTACTTAGATGATGAAAAATCCGCAAAAGTGCAATCTCGATTGTTTGGTGTATATGCTGCATGTATAACTGCCGGAGCCGGGGTACATCATTAGATATAAGCCGGCTGAACAGGACATGTACATAGTATCAAGTAACAGCATGGGCCTAGATGACACAACTCCCAATATATCCGTCACGTGGTGAACATGTCCAAAAGCTTGACTCTGTCCAGTGTGTTCAGTCCAGTTCCCGTATAGTAGCGTACTTCGTTGACAAGGGATCAATTCTCAGTTAGAGGCTGTTACATGTACTGTACATACCATCACCCACGTTAACCCCGTGTAAGATGTTTGCTTTACTCGGACTTTCCATATTCCTTCACGCCACCGCCGCGGTCGACGCAGCTGGCTTGACGGTCGATCTCGGCTACGGCATATACACGGGTGTGTTCAACAGCTCCTCGGGGCTCAACGTCTGGAAAGGCATCCGATATGCGGCACCGCCCGTGGGGCCACTCCGATGGCAGGCGCCTCGGCCTCCGCCCGGTGCCAACCGCACTGCCATCCTGGCCAATACCTTTGGACCAGCTTGTCCCCAGGCACTCTCCGCCAAACCTGGAGCTAGTGCAATCTTCATTCCCGGGAACGAGGACTGTCTGTTTCTCAACGTCTATGCCCCGGCATCATCGGGCAATGCTTCGGAACCCGGGTTTCCTGTTCTTGTCGCCATACACGGCGGCGGGTACGGCCTTGGCGATGCATCGCAGGACATGGCTGGCTTTATCAACACCAATAACAATTCATTGGTTGCTGTTACAATACAGTACAGGGTATGTGATCTCGCTTGGGGCGTATAAGTCATGGTGGATGCTGATATGCTTCTAATCATCATATTAATACCTACCTCTATTAAAGCTAGGGGCGTTTGGCTTCCTGTCCTCTCCGGAAGTCAAGGCCAGGGGTGTGCTCAACGCCGGTCTCCTAGACCAGAAACTCGCACTGGAGTGGGTGCAGGAACACATCTCCAAGTTCGGAGGCGATCCGGACCGAGTGACGGTATGGGGCGTGTCTGCAGGTGCCGGCTCCATCTTGTTGCATGCTACAGCACAAGACGCCTCACTGGGCACCAGTCTTTTCAGGAATGTCAGTCTAGCTCTCCAGATCCCTAATGAAGGAGGTGATGGTTGTTCTGACCGTTGTTTGTGTAGCTGATCGCAGCATCCCCCTGGATACCGACTCAGCCATATTACGACGACCCAATCCCTACTCGGCATTACCGTGACTTTGCCTCACTGTCAGGGTGCACGTCGCAGCAAAACACGTTTGACTGTCTGGTGTCTCGGGATACACTGACGCTACAGTATGCCGCCCATTTGGTCTCGACAAACCCCCCGACTCCTCATGGCAACTGGTACGTAAAGACGCATTTATAAGGCGCTTGCCAGTTGGCCCTGGAAACTTGAATCGTTGACCGAGGGTGCAGGGCGTTTATTCCAGTCACTGATGGGTTCTACATCACGGGGCCGCCCAGTATACAGCTCGCTAAGAAGCGAGTCAACGGACAGCGGTTGCTAGTCGGGGCAAGTCAAGTCTCCTGACCATCCTCATGGACCACCTCACACCGAAAAATGTCAGGGGGGCGTACTGACAAGTGACAGAATAACGCAAACGAAGGTTCCCTTATACCACCATCCACTATCAAAACACAGAATGACCTGACCGCCTGGCTCAAGGAGAACTTCCCCAGCTTGTCACAGGCAAACATCAGCAGCATCCTGACCGCCTACCCAAGCGATGCCGGCCCAGTCGATCCCAGCGCTGCAAGGTTTGAGACAGATGGCTACGGTCCCGCAACAGCACTCAACGTCAGCCAGGTGGCTACCGGGCAACAACAACGAGGCTATGTAAGCTGATGGCATGGCTCGAGCAAGTTTGTTTACCTGGCTACTAGTGCGCCCTGACCATGTCTTGCTACGTAGAACATCTACGCCGAAGCATCCGTGATATGTCCAAGCTATTGGTTCGCCAGCGCTTTCTCCGCCTCGGGCAAAGCCGCCTACCACTACCAGTATTCCGTCCCGTTCGCCGTGCACGGCTCAGACGTTGCAGCTTACTTCGGGCCCTCAACTGAGAATCAGGGGCCAGATCTTGTCACTGCTTTTCGAAGTCTGTCTATGACCTACTAGTACTTGGTAGCTTGCAGCTTGTTAAAGCGACCCAAAACACTAACAGGTTATCCATGACAACACAGGGATCTATGGCAATTTCATTACAAAAGACGACCCCTCAATATCAAGTTTCGACGCGAACAGCTGGTCGTCTCCTAGTCGAGACTTACCAAACTCGGCTAGCAGTTGGTATGTACTTCCTACGTATCTTAGTTGAATCCTCCCTTCAATCACTTGGACCTGTTCCAAGACAGCTAACTTTTCAACTACATGTACTTGGCCAGGCCTCAATGGACAGATTCCACCCCTTACCTCCTGAACCTCAACCAGAGCGGCGGCACTCGGTACACCACCTTGTCAGCCGTCGGCGTTGAGGTGACCCAGTTCCGCAACCCCGGGCTGCGCAACAACATCACCCTGGCGGATGCGTATCAATGGGAAGGCGGCCGGGGGCGTCGCTGCGATTTGTGGAAGCAGCTTAGTCCATATGTTCCGCAGTGAGAATTCTTCTTCATAGGTGGGTATAGTACTACTAGTATCTTACCTACCTAGGTAGGATTAAATGAGGAATGTATCTGTTGTTTTCTTCGGGATTACATTCATTCTGCCCACTGCAGGTCCGCTCGAGTCCTCGCAGGCTCCCTACGGGCATGCAAACATACAGAGCCATACAATATCTAGATTCTTCAAAATGAAAGCAAACTTGAAGGCTAGCTGATGTTCGCTATAGACTGTCTCTAACGTGGGCTTGCAGCATGTGTTTGCACGGCAAGCTCGAACCCCGATCCAAGGGCGCTGCTAGGGATGGGTCACTTGGAGGTTGCTGGAAGCTGCAGAGTACAACAGAAGCCTAGCAGTTCTGTTAAGAGGGGTAGTAGAGAGGATGATTTTTGCATACAAAATATCGGGCTGCACTAACAGACATCTTCCCTTCCAAAGTACCCTGACTGACAATTGAAGTTAGTACCACGTACTGAGTTGGTAGACTTGGGAATAAAACTAGGACCTACCACCAGCAACTGGATTTATACCACCTGGAGGCTGCATACTATACCTACTAGTACAAGCAAGGTAAGACTGCGAGGAAGACTTGGCCGCTCCCAACTGCCGGTTCCTTCTTCCGTGATAGGATCTAGGCGCAACGGCACCCGGGGTCCCGGCGGCTGAAGACTGAAGGCTCGCCATCACTGGTCGTTATCAGTGATAATATAGACCCTAACGATATTGGATTGACCAAAATAAGATTTCCATATGGTAACATTCGGAACCTAACCTTAAACAGATTGCTTGCGCGGACCCTGAGGCTTTGTGGACTCGAGGATCACCGCAAGACTCCCGGGTTATCATCAGTCTGCTCTACTACCCGACGTGGTGGATATTCGAACCATCATGATGACCCTCTTTGCTAACAACACAGACTGGCTCTTGAATACTAGTACTTGATGATATGGTATCACTTACACGCCACCAGAACCAGTCCTAGCTGTTCCACTGCAGTCTGCCATGGCCCGATTCATATCACACCTCCCTTCCCTCCTGACAGTTCTTTCCTTCATCTTACCATTTTGCCGACCCGTGGCTGCCAAACGTCAACTTAGAGCATGCAAAGCAGTCCCCGGGAGCGAGGGGTGGCCGCCCTTAGAGGAATGGGCGTCGCTCAACCGGTCCGTCGACGGACGCCTGCTTCAACCGATTCCGCCGGGGGCGGCCTGCCACGAGGCGCAAGCCGCACACTACAATGCCGCCGCATGCGGCGAGGTGCAAGCCGCGTGGTTCACCGAGCCGCTGCACTCTAACGACCCGGTCTCGTCCATGTGGAACAACTGGAACAATGACACATGCCTGCCCGACCCGGCGCTCCCCTGCAGCGCGGCCGGATACCCCGTGTACGTGGTCAACGCTTCGACTGCGCAGCATGTCAAGGCTGGGATTGATTTTGGTCAGTTTCCCAGGACCCAAAGAACATGTCCTTCAATAGCACTCTTGAGTCCTGACTTGTTCTGTTGTGTACAGCAAGGATGCACAATATCCGCTTGATTGTCAAGAACAGCGGGCATGACTACCTCGGCCGCTCGAGCGCGCCCGGCTCGTTGTCCATATGGGTCCATCATATGAAAGAAATCCGAGTGCACGAGGAGTCGTCCTTCCGGCCGACGGGGTGCAATGTCAGCATCCCGCTCGAGGGAGGACGCGCCGTAACGGCGGGCGCAGGGACGCAGATGCTTGAGGCGTACCGAGCCACGGCGCTTCACAACCTGACCGTAGTTGGGGGGAACGGCAGGACGGTCGCGCTGGGCGGATTCATTACCGGTGGCGGGCACAGCATCCTGGCGCCGCACTACGGCATGGCAGCAGACCAGGTCCTTGAGATGGAGTTGGTGACGCCGACGGGGGAGATCGTGACCTCGAACGAATGCCAACACGCGGACTTGTTCTGGGCCATGAGGGGGGTAAGTAAGAGTTCGCACCTGTACATCTTTCATCCTGTCGGCATGGTAGCTCACTTATCAAATTCTTCGCGCTCACCTTCTGGCCACACAGGGAGGCGGATCGACCTTTGGCGTCCTGACCTCCATCACGCTTAAAGCCATCCCCAGCCCCGAGGTGATGAGCCTCGCCTTCCAACTCTCCACGCCCGCATCAAACCCGCACGCTCTCGACGCAATCACCTACTTCGTGAGCAAGCTTCCAGACCTGGGCGATGCCGACGTGTCCGGGTACCCCATCATCTTCCGGTCCGCCGCCGCCGCCACCAGTACTGTATCCCTGAGCGGGATAATTGGCAAGGTAATCATGCTGCACACGCGGGACCCTCGCAGAATTCTGGTCCAGCTCGAGCCCGTAGTTGCGCACATCAACGCCACCTGGTCAGAAGGCGGGCTTGGCTGGACATGGTTGGCAGACACAACCTACTTCCCATCCTTTGGCGCGTGGTACGAGCAGAATTACGACCCCTCGCCCGTCGGGTATGGCAGCGTCATGGGCTCGCGGCTGCTCGACAGGGGCGCGCTGGCGGCGAACCTGACGGCCACCAAAGCCGCGCTGGACAGGTTCTCCTCCGCTGGCGATGGCAGAATGGCGCCGGGGCTGGTTACGGCGTATATCGTCTCGGGAAAAGCCGTGTGGGAGGCGAAGCCTAGAGGCGGGAGCACGGCGGTGAATCCCGCCTGGAGGAGGACCCATGTTCATGCGAGTAAGTCCGTTCGCTTTGGAAGGAACCTGATGGCAACAGCCTGCGCGGCGAATGGAAGTGATGTTTAGCTTGACTTCCAAGCCCTGAAGGAGGGTGATCAATATTCATCGGCTGACGTTCTTCTCCTGAAAACAACAGCTGCTAGCTTCAGCTTCGCCCCCTTGAATGCTACCGCCAGGGCGATGGCCATCTCCCAGGCAAATGCCGCCGCGGCAGCACTGCGGGAAGTGAGTCAGGACATGGGAGCGTATGTGAATGAGGTACGTTTCGGTTTATAATTAGGTGATGAAAGAGTCCGGCGTCTTGCTTTCGTAGGTAATTAGGTATCGTCCAAGCCACTAACTGCCTCATCCCTCGACATCAACTCACAGGCCAGCCGCTACGAACCAGACTGGCAGCAGGTATTTTGGGGGCAGAACTATCAGCGGTTACTGCAGATCAAGCGTGCCGTGGATCCGGACGATGTGTTTTGGTGCCAGCCCTGTGTTGGGAATGAGCGGTGGGAGGAAGTCGAGGGGATGCTGTGCCGTGTTTGATTCGAGATCCTTGTTTGCTGCAGCTTGAGTGTCAGACTTGGGCAGGATAGCACCCTTTTTGAGCGCTGACAATCCAGATGAAGGCGAAGATGAAGGCCTCTTGGCGTGGCATTTGATCACGTAACGGATGGTCTAAGGCTTCTGGGAGTGCTTCTCCCTCGGGTTTCCCGTTGTATCGAGCTGTCAACATGCCAATATCGTATGTCGGACAGTTTTCTCAGTTCTAAGTCATTGAGCGTGAGAGAAAAGAGAGATGTTCAATTATATCTGGGGAAGGAAGCCAACTCGGCAAGGTAGGATCGCAGGAATCTGCAGGAGCGGGAGAGAACCTGGAATAAATGCGGGGGAGCTGCCGCCATCCGAGTTCGGCACCAAGGTCTATTCCTACACGACAGTGGCAGGTAGGTGCAGTCGTGGGGGTGCACCTGCCAGCTAAACACCTTTCGAGGACTGCACTTCCTGACCGTATCTTGCTCTTCGATGTTGCCGTTGCTCATGAGAAGCATGCCGACTGATGACTGCCAGTGACGACCCGGTGGCATAATGGCAAGAGCGGCCCTCTCAACCGCTGCTCGTTGCGTGCATTACTTCTGTCTCCTCCTCGCCTTGGGCTCGTTTGTCTGGCGGTAAGAGCTTGCATTCTCAATCATTCCCCTATGAAACAAACTCCTTTGTACCCATATCATTCCAAACTCCAAGTCGGACATCCGCAACACACTAGATACAACGTCGGCGTGCTCGCATCCGTCCTCGTGCACCCGGGCTTCCAGGAGACACTCCAGCAGCCCGATGCCTCTCGCAGCGGGCTCATCACGGCCATCTACTATCTCGGCACATGGCTGAGCTACATCTTCTTCGCCCATCCCGCTGCCGACAGACTCGGCCGCCGCTATGCCGCCTTCTCAGGCATGTCCGTGACCTGCGTCGACCAAGCTCTCCAGGCCGGCGCCGTTGGGCGGCATGCCCTGGCAATGGTTGTCGCGGGCCGCATCGTTGCCGGCAAGGGCACAGCCATCATCTCCACCAGTGTTCCCCTTTACTAGAGGTTAGCAAATTCTGGCGGTGAAAGTGGTCCTGATTGCTAAAAGCAAACCGCGCAGTGAAATTGCTCCGCCGAAACAGCGTGGTCGATATGTGGTCATGAACCATGTGGGATTCGTTGCCGGTCTTGCCTCTGGTTTCTGGTGAGCTGTACTCCGCGTTCCCTATACCTCTCTCGTCCTTACCAATCCATACCTTACCACTTCAACCACGCTTACCTACCTAATCATCGCCCCAACTCAGCTAGCTCTTACCGTTGTATTCGCCCTCGAAGACAACGAATTCGACCTATTTTCAGGTTATGAGCCCGGATTCCGCAGTACTACAGTACTTCCAACCAATGTGGTCAAATTCTATCGCTCTACGCCCGGGCTTATAACCTGAGAATAGGTCGAATTCGTTGTCTTCGAGGGCGAATACAACAGTGAAGGAAGAGAAATCTTAAGTTATAGTGCAAATACTACACCCCTATATATAGGCCTTTCATCTTATAGAAGGCTTAAAGTGATAATATCAAAGGAAGTTGCAGCGTTGTAATAGTTGTACAACTATTGCGTAGAGATTGTATAGCTATTGTATAGATAGTGCACAACCGTTGCATAGATATTGCATAGGTACAATATACTCTCTCCCTGCCCAGTATTCAGCTAGGAAACCCTCAACATGTTAACATAATGTGTAGGGCGGGATATGCCATGACGTTCTGGGACGATGAGCGGGGAACATCCAGCGGTTGACGTGTGTGTCCCTGGCCATCTCTTTCGTTCCGGCCCTCTTGTTCCTCGTTGGGCTTCCGTTTATGCACGAGTCGTAAGTAGTCTGCGTCTTACCATGTATTAAACCACCGCCAGATTGACCCTCCACATCAGTCCGCGTTGGCTCGTCGAACACGGCAGGACCGACGAGGCCCTTGACACGCTGCAGTTCTACCGCGAAGGCTACTACACCCCTGGCGAGGTCGAGACGGAGCTGACCGAGATTGAGCGCGCCGTCGCCGCCTTCCGGATCTCGGGCCTCACATGGGTATCACTCTTCACCGACAGCAGCCTGTTCGCCCGCATGTGGCGCGCCGCTCTGCTGCAGTTTATGGCACAAATGTGCGCGGCCACGGCGGGCCAACACCACTATCCACAGCACATTTTTTTAGTAGGAATTATTTGTTCAATCAGATGTCTATCAGTACCTCTTACCATCCTACGCCGCCGTGCAACCATCATGATGAGTTGAGAAACCTTACTCAAATCTCCGTCCTTCCGCTACATACACTCCACAAAGCAAACACCCCACCCCGCCCCTCGCCAGGCCCTGTCAACTGATCCTGTCCCTGTCATCATTTACCCAAAATGCGGCGTGTTTACCGCCATGACAAAGAGCAGACCTGCAATCAGCCCGGCGGCCGGCAGCGTCAGGACCCAGCCCAAGAAGATCCAGGCCAGCTGCCTCCAGTTGACGGCGGAAAAGTCATAGTTCATCATCGCGACGCCGAGCACCGCGCCGCACAGACACTGCGTCGTGCTAACGGGAATTCCCAGGACGCTGGCGAGCAGCACCGTAATGGCGGCGCCCAGCTCCATGGCATACCCGCGCGTGGGACTAAGCTGCGTGATCTTGTTGCCGAGCGAGCGGATGATGTGGAAGCCAATGAACCAGAACCCGGCGCCGAGCAGGAGGCCGGCGACGATGAGAATCCACACGGGCGTGTCGACGTCCTCGGACACGACGCCGGTCTGCCACGTGCCGTAGGCCGCTACCCAGGGTCCCACGGCGTTGGCCACGTCGTTGGAGCCGTGGGCGATAGACATCATCATGGCGCTGGCAACCTGGGCGTATGTCCACAGATGCTCGACACGGTTGTCATAGCGCCTGGCCGCGGCGTGGACTGCCGCCAGGGCGGCAGAGTTGTGCGAGACGCAGTCCCGGGTCACGCCTTGCAGCAGCCCGAACTTGATATACCCCCATAGACGCCTGGGGTGGTAAATCGGAAGGTGGGCCACGGGAGCAAGGAAGCGCTCCTCGGGCTCGGTGGCACGGCGCAACCGCTTGATGACGACCCCGTCCGCCTCCTCGACATAAATCTCTCCCTCTTCCAATGCTCGGGGGAGGTTTCCTCTTGTCCCTGGCTCCACGCCTGTCGTTGGTTGCCGTGTCTGCGGCTGGAGGACGGGCGTGTCGGCGATTCCGTCTCGTACCGTCTGGCCTTGTGCAGGCTGGTCTTTCTCCTTGGTGATGCTTTCCGTGCTTGAATCCTCATGTGAGCCGCTGTAATAGTCGATAACGACTGCATTGTCCTTGCCCGGGAAATACAGCGGCGGGTTCTCTCTCCAGAGCAGGGGACCCAGAGGAATATGCCAGGCTCTGACGCGGGTGTCCTTCCTCACGAGGCGGCGGTGGAAGTAGGGCAAAAAGAAGGCGTACCCGACGAGCAATACGCCCCCAAAGGTGCCGAGGATGATGCCGACAATGGTGCCCGACGCAAGGTGTTCAAAATCGCTGCTTGGCAGTTCGATGGTGATGAAGAGTGCCAAAACGGCGCCGGTAAAAGCAAGATACCAAGGGATTAGCCTCATTGCCCATTTGAACGAGTCTTTGCGCTCCAAGACAGAATACTTGAGCGTGCCGAAGAGGATGGCGGCAAAACCGGCAGCGATGGCGGGAGCAATCCCCCAAGAGGCGGCGATCTGCGAGACACTGCCGTCTTTCCAGCCCCAGCTCACGGTTGCCTGAGAGGCGATTCCAACACCAACGATGGCGCCCACGATGGTCTGGGTAGTCGAGACGGGGAATCCGAGAGTGGTGGCCATGATCAGCCATACTGCGCTTCCGAACTCGGCGCAGGCCATGGCGAGTACGAGCACGGCCGGAGTGTCAGAGAACCGGCTTATGTCGATCACGTCGTTCTTGATGGTTCCTGTGACACGACTTCCCAGAGCCACGGCTCCGACGAACTCGGTTATTGCGGCGAGGATTCCGACTTGAGGCATCGTCAGGGTACGGGCTGCCACGGACGTGGCATATGAGTTTGCCACATCATTGCCGCCATTTCCAAACGAGCTCGTGCAAAAGGCGATGGTGATGAGGGCAATGATCCAGTCGTATCGTTCCAGGACAGCCATCCTGGAAGGCAGTGAGCATAAGGTAAATATGTGGGCAGGATTCTGTTTTATTTGGGTTTCCCAAGGTATTCTCGGAAGGTAATGGCCTGGATGAAGGTTAAGTTTACTTTGTTAGTCTTGGTTGACCGTGGTTCACTGAGCCTAAGCCGTGGACAGGTCACGGTGTTTAGACTGCCACAATAATACTATACCGTCTCTCGAGCTGTGCAACCCAGCACGGACAGAGTGTGTCGGCACCTTATATGCTGGCCGCAAGTCATCGTCGTGGCCATCCTAGACACGTTGGCTGCGTGTCCTCCATCACTCTCATCAGGAAATGTTGAAACTCGAGCGGCCCTTCTGCGCTGTGATGATCTGTGCCCTTCGCTGTCGGCAAGGCCATCATCTCAGCATGAGGGCTCCCGTTCCTTGTACCTCCCCACAATGACGATGCCGAGAAGTCCAAGGTGTGAACGACCAGGGTGTCGCACCCTCCCGATCAGCGGGCTCTAAAAGCATATATCGAGTGAGAGTCCGCGTTTGAAGCACGTTTCTGAACTCCGGGTTGTGGTGCGATACAAGTCCCAATCCATCAGCGGCATAGTGATCTCACGACACGTTTGCCCGTCGACCAAGTGTTGCAGTGGAAGCGGTACTTTCAGGCTTCCAGCTCAGGCCTGCCCTCACTGCCCTGGACGGCACCCATCCATCCTGTAAAAAGCAGCACAGTTCAGCGCCAAAGCGCGCAAAACGATCACCCGGGATCCTGAGACTGCAACATAATCTCTGCCTAGTTGTTTCGGCCCCAGGACACCCTTCAACATTCGGCAGACAGGCCGAGGTGGATGGACGTTGCTTGCTCGTTGGTGGTTGGCTCTTCCGCATCCAAGCAACGCTTGACGTCATTTGAAGGTATTTGACGGTTTTCCTCGAGAGACCTTCGCTAATAATGAACGTTAAGGTGGTACGCTACCTTATCTGGGTGGTGAGGTGGGGCTACAGCAGTCGTTCATTTTGGGTAAGGTACCTAGCCAACTAACACCCCTGCCAAATTTCGGATGCAAGCATACGGTTTCTTTTCCATGGCTGTCAACCTGGCCTGCGTGCCTATCATCTACCTACTCTATCCCGAGACCAAAGGGCGGCCTCTTGAGGACATGGACGCGTTGTTTCGAAATACAAGCCCTAGCAGCTCGACCGAGAATCTTCTTGAGTATCCGGCAGGACGCGAATACCCTGAAAGATGAAGTCGAGCACGGCTGAGATCTACCAGGAGCAATTTGATCTTAATGCCAATGGTTCAGAATAGCAAAGCTCGTTGGACATATAACCAGATGTAGTACCTGGTATTGATCATATATTCAACAAAAGACTGCATCGATCCTTGCTGCAAGGAGAGCAGCAGTCTAGGTATCGAAAGCAACATGGTATGCAATGACCGTCCAGAGCAGCCAAGCATGCAAGAACATTAAAAGTTTTAGTTCAATTTTATTTACATCGAATTGCCCCTGATATTGTTGATTTCCCACCTTCCGTGCTAACCCTCCTTGGCTTGCTTCATTGCCAGTGGGACTGATCAAACCGTGTAGAGTTCTACAGCATCGAAGATCTTAAAGTCGGTTAGCTCAACCTGGACACATCCTAATTTCGTCCGCAAGGGCCAAACTTACAAAGTTGGGACTCAAGAAAGTATCACCACTGCTGCCAGAGAGAGAGCTGATAGTGATGGTATTGCTGCCCGCAACGAGGGTGCCGGCGGGGATGCTGACGGTGTAAATCTCGCCGTAGCCACGATAGGCGCCACGGGTAACCCCGCGGCTATCAATCTTTGTGGGCGCCGCCGGCGCGGGCCCCGTCCAGCTGTTGACCTTGACCTGCGGGCGGCTGCCGGCAAAGCTCAGCGTTGTGGCGATGCGCAGCGTGGCCGTGCCAGAGGGGGCGCTGGCCAAGCTGAACTTGATGGTGACCGGGTTGTTAACGGCCTGGAACACGGCCATGGGGAAGTCGGACAGCGCCGAGCTGCCCACTGTGTACGTCAGGGGGCCCCAGGACGCCATGCGCTTGTCGGACGGGTGCATGCGGAGGAACTTGTCGGCGTTGCGGAACCCCGTCGGCTGGCCGTCGTAGTCGCCGATCTGGAACAGCGTCTTGCGCGTCGTGTTGAAGGTGCCCGCGATGTTTTTGGTTGCTGTCTGCCCAGCCGTGACGGTCACGGAGCTGGTGGCGATCTTGAACTCGGTCTGGTACAGCACCATGGTGTAGGTGCCGGGCTTCATCAGGGGCGAGGTGAAGGCGCCGTTAGACGACGTCTTGGCCCAGTACTGCGCGGCGCTGTTGTACCAGTGGACTACGCCCTGCATGCCGCTCTGCACGCCTGTCGCCGTGCCCTTGACCGTGCCGCGGCCAGAGGCGGGGACGTAGCCAGTGATTCCGAGCTCGCCGAACCAGGACACGTCGACGTCCTTCACGCTGGGGATTCCGGAGCGCGAGAATTGCATCAGGTACGGGCCGTGCAAGCCCATGCGGAACGCTTCGGTCTGCACGTGGCCGCTGTTCATGTAGTTGTAGAGGTTGGTGGAGGCGCCGGCGTTGTTGGAATCAATGTCGCGGAAGAAGGGACCGCCAGAGGAAGACTCCTGCTGCGGCGTCATGATGCAGACGTGAATCAGGTCGCTGCCGCCGTAAACACAGTGGGAATCCTCGTCGATGAAGCGAGTAGACGAGTAGAACTTGGACCGCGTCTCTCCGTCGACAACGAAGACGTCAGAACCTTCAACGGTGGAAGTGGAGCCAGTTGTGGTCGAAACGCGGCCGTAAGGGTACTCCTCCGGCAGCTTGTCCGGAAGCAGACGGGCGATGAAGCGCAGCTCGCCTATCGACGGCTCGGCGGTGATGTAGGTCGCCATGTAGATGATGCTTTCGCCTTCGCGGACAACCATGTAGTGTGTCAAGGTCGACGTTACGCATGTGACCTTGATATACTTGGATGTCCCGCTGATCTGGCTGATGGAAACGGTCGCTGAGCCGAGACCCGAGCTGATGTGACTGCCGGTGCTGCCATACTGAAGCTCCGTTCCCCGGTACTTGATGGAGTTGATGTCGCAGCTGGACTTGCTCACAGAGAAGATGAGCGGGTTCGCGGAGCCGGCGTCAATGATGTAGTTGTTCCCTGAGGTCGTGTAACCGAAGGCAGCGAAGACACCCGGTGCGAAGAAAGAAGCAGAGAGAGCGAGCAACCGGACAACAGCTTTGATCTCCATGGTGACCACTTACACCAAGCTCAGCGCCTGGGAGTTCCGTGAACCTGGAAAATTCAACGAAGTGTGATCGCCGGAATAGTTGCGCTTTTCATACTTGGAATTCTTGTCCAAGAAGCCGGTATTTACCTACATAAGGTCGCATAGTGATGGCGTACCCGAGGCTTCAAGCTGTCCTCCTGAGATTTCGTTTCCCTAAACGAGGCGGCGGAGGCCGACCCCGTTCGGTCATGAACATGATCCTTGATTGGCGGAACGCCCTGAACGCCGTGCTCCGTTGAAGGATGGAATCCACGGTGTCGGGGGCCGCTAGGCCACAGTGAGTGAGGCAGACGGTTAAGGTAGCATCCGGCAGACAGAATCTACCCACCAGGATGTTTAGTGCGTTTTGGATACTGCCAAGACGGCGGAAGACTGCCGCAGGGCATTGCCTCCGATGCCCACCACCACCACGTGGGCATCCTTGGTCAGTGATGAATACATACCTGGTGGATATCGAGGGAAGCACGCCTCTCCTTTATGATCACCGATATCGTCCAGGGATACAGCCCGCCCTGTTGTTGCTACTCCCAGTAGCAGTTGGGCCGATGCAGTTCTGGGCTCGGCTCCCTGGGGCACTGGGCAGTACGGATACGGTGACTAGATATAACGCTCTGAAAACAAAATCTCAATGGCTCCCATAAACCTTGGGTAGGATTGATGGACAAAAGATTCAGCGCTTGGCCGCGTCATCCCGAATACCAGGGTGACAGCAACCATAGGGCCCTGCATTGACTTGCAGAAGAGAGCGGAAATAAAATTTCAGGGGGAGGAGCGGCCCGCACAGCCTGGAGCTCGTCTAGAAGACCGATATGAGCCCCACGGTTGGCCAATGTACATGGTACACTACACTATACCACATGCCACACTGATGATGAGCTCGCGCTTCGGTCTGTCCAAGCTTGCAGGAGAATGTGACTGGATGGAGTCCGCTCCCGCTAAAAGACCGCTGATTCGGGCAAATGACTTCCTCGGAGCCTGGCAAGTGCTTCAGAGTCCTAGGATCGGGGCCGTGACGGGAGGATCTGGTATTTGTGGCATTCCAGACCCAGAGGGGGCTAACTCCAAGGATTGCTGCCGGAAACTGGTCCCGTTGGTCTTCCCATATCACCCAGCTTGCTTGCAAACCCAGTCGTGACACCATGATACCCGTAGAATCCCGCGCATCCCCGGCGCCGTGTGGAATTGTGGAAAGCAGTAATCGTGATACCGTTCTACCGAACGCCCATCCTCAGACAATTCCACCTAATCCCTTCGCCGCAGCTCACGGCGATGGTCTCGCCGAAACGGTCGACCAAAGAGCTAAAGTCGTTGCCATATCACCCATCATCCGTCCCCGTAAACATCGTAATTTTTTATCTGAGACGGCGGGCCTCGCGCTCGGATTCGAGAAGAACAAGAATATCATCCTCGCGGACTGGCAACCGATTAGTGCTGATCAATCCAGCCAGGGCCGTGGAATTTTAGCATACCGGGTCCCTTGACGTTCCGGATGATGGAGCGGGTCGTGTCGTCCATGAACTCGACACGCACCTGGGTGACACCACCACGAGAACCTGGGTTGAAGGAAAATCAGCCATTTCCGCCTGCGAAAATTCGAGTCTAAACAACCGGGCCAGCGCCTACCGGTTCTGCCCAGGACTCGGGTGACCTTGACGAGCTTGACGGGAGCCTTCGAGGAATCCATTTTTGCGACTGACGGACTTGGTATCGGGAAGGAGAATCGGTCGCCGGATCGTGATGCAGAGGGCTTGCGGAGCTGCGAAATTTCACCCAGATTCAATTGTGCGGAGCCAAAATTGCTGGTTGAAGGAAATTTCTATTTCCGGTCCGGGCATGTGCCCCGCCATTTTTAAGTGTGAATTGTGGAGCAACACTAAGACCTTAATGTGGGTCCATCCGCCATAACGTCAACGTCCATTCATCCTCACGCGCAGTTGACCTTTTACATGAAAGGAACGTAGGAATCTGGCATATGGCGCCTATCCTGCCGGTAGCCAGACCTGCCGTACTGTACAGTGCAGTGAGGCACTTTATGTGCAGATTGTAAAGTCTCGGTGAGTTTGTGGGCTCTACTCTACTGGAAGATGGCAGGACCTCATCACATTGCTCCAACCCGGAAAGCATCGATAATAAGCCGATGATACCGGTACTCCATACTACGCTAAAGCACCCAAACTTGATCGTCATCATCTTCAGTTTGTGTCAGATTCTAGATTGTACCATTACTAACATATCATAAGACCACGGCCCATGGAAACAAAAAGCCAAGAACTTGCGGTCGCTACCATCAGGAAGACCCGGTAATGCGGGCAGAGCTGCTGCGCCAGACTAACAATCCACGTCGGCCAGGATTACCACTTACTACTACCTAATTAGAAGTAGATGGGACAAACTCGATGGAGCTTCTCACCAGAATCAAAGATCTTGGGCGCAGGCGCACCGCCGCAACGCAGCAGTGCGACCGCAAAGTCTTCGCTCATTACATGGTAAGAGTTCAGCTGTGAGAGTATGCCGAGCCGCAAGTACAATCTGCTTGCCTTGCACCGCTAACTCCAGCCCTGTTGCTCAGATTGGCCTCACATGCGATCAAACGGCCGCGCAGTGGGCTCATGATATCAAAGCCGCCATGGAGGCAGGAATCGACGGCTTCGCGTTAAACATCGGGCCATACGATCATTGGACAGATTTGCAGCTGAATCTGGCTTACGAGGCAGCTGAGAAGTCAAGCGGCTTTACTGTGTTTATATCGTTTGAGTACGTACAATTCATATGCCACCACTCGTCATCTCGTGTTAGCAACAGGAAGCCCAAAATGATAGCTGATCTCCGTGGTTCAGCATGGCTTGCGGGAGTTGGTCCGTTTCTCAGGTGGTTGACTTGATCAACCGGCACAAGACAGCTAGAGCCCAGACGGTGGTCGACGGGAAACCGCTTGTTTCGACCTTCGAAGGCCCGGACTGGGCAGACAACTGGTCACAGGTGCGCATCCAAACAGGCGACATCTCTCTTGTTCCGGACTGGTCCAGCCTTGGACCGCATGGAGTTGGCAAGCGTCTCCATTTGATTGATGGCGCTTGTAAGTTCTCTGTTCGGACATGGCGCCCACTGAAGCCCACTGACAAGGACGGACAAAGTCTCTTGGGACGCTTGGCCCAAGGCGGGCCAAAGCAAGATGACTTCAACCGAAGATCTCCTCTACAAGGAGAACCTTCGGGGTAAGAAGTACATGATGGGGGTCGGCCCATGGTTTTACACAAGCAAGTCAAACCCAGTACCGTTCCTTCGCCCAACCCTTCCTAACGAACAGGAGACCTGGCCCAATGGAACAAGAACTGGCACTGCCCCAGCGAGTCTCTGTGGTACGACAGATGGAAGCAGGTCATGGAAATCATGCCGGACTTTGTGCAAATCATTACATGTAAGTCTAGGTATCTTGGCTGGTGTCGCCGCTCCTCTCTGAACTGCAAGTCTGATTACGCCACCTATGCAGGGAATGACTTTGGAGAGTCAAGCTATATCTGCGACATTGCACGGGAGCAGATAGTCGAAGGAGCAGAGCCATACGTTTTGGGCCAGTCCCATGCGGCCTTTCGATCCGTTTTGCCTTTCTTGATCTCTGCATACAAGGCTGGATCTACCAAGGTCACATTGGTTCAGAAAGATATTGCCATTGCTTGGTATCGTACCGCTCCTGTTCGGTGCATACAGGACAATGGTGAGCGCTAGACAGGTCCACTCCCAGATTCTCAAACGCTAAGCCTCTGAATTTCTTAGGTACGGTTTGGGGCCAGGGCGGTTCTATTTTGGCAGCATGTGGTGCCAGAGACGTCGTTTCCGTCATGGCGGTCACCAAAGGCGCCGCTTCCATCACGGTTGCAATCGGGAAGTCCTACAAAGTCGTGTTTGAGACGCAAGAGCAGGACCCCATCTCGTATTTCGAGGTCCCCTTCGGCAGTCATACAACAGGTGCTGTGGTGATTTCAATGAACGGGAAATCAACAGTAGGGCCAGAAATAACAGACGGTGCTGGTGACTGCAATGTGAGTAGTGACTGGCCGTTTAGTTGCAAGACGAAGCATGTCGGAGCTGACTGACGTCGTTCCAGGCTTCTCTCAATGCTGTCGCCATTCAAGTTTGAGCATACGAAGTCATGGACTTGAGACCATTTGTAGTAGGGATTGAGCGAATGAGAAGGAAGCGGGAATAGTAAACTGAAAAACAAAGTCAGGAAGTCCTCGTATGGAATACCGGTAGCCGTCAATCTGTTGAAGGCAGGTACGAAGTACAAGTACACAATACATGTACCGAAATGTCTTGGCGCAGGTCCTGAGTCCTCGTTGCTTTTTGTGGACCCGAACACATGCTTGCAGGGGTCGGTCAATCTCGGGGCGCAAATGTTTCTTGGCGGCTCATGGTCAACGACGTCACAGCTTTTGCAGTGCTCCCGTCCCGAGGTGTGCTGACATCCCAGAAACCCACTAAACCAACATTGGACCATACTGCCTGCTGCGCACCCCTCCCCGAGTCCCTCTCAACCGCGCTTGGCTTCAGGGACAATGAAAAGGAGAATGCCTTGGACAGCCAAATCAGCACAATTATCCTGAATTCCCTTGCCCAGGAGCCGCGACGACATGAGCCTGGCTCTGGCCTTCTGCCGCCTCTCCTCCCGCGTAGAAGCGTCGTTCTGCTCTCGTCTGCCTCGTCACGTCTGGACGAGTTCCCTTCCACCGTCCCGGCTCAGTATCCGCACCTTTACGCACCGGCCGAGACCATCCCCCCGCTCGCAGTCATGGCGCACACACCGCGCGAAACCCACCCATTGGATGAAGGCTGGCGGCGGTGCCCTGGTTGCCTCTGCCTTCATTGGCCTGTCGGAGGAAGAGAATGCTGATTCTAAAGAGACGGGCGAGAAACGGATGCTCAGGGTCTCGCGGGAGGAGATTCGAAAGACGGCGGGAGAGAATGACGGGACTTTGGGTTATGTTGGACGCCGGATCATTCTGTTCCTTGATCTCTACATCTGGGAGCCCATTTGCACCGGTCTACGATTCGTGCAGCTTGTCGCAATATTTGTGCCCGTCATTCTGACGGTTCCCGCTATCTGGCTTGGCCCCCGCCAGCCCGATCGAGACAATGAGCGGACCGGGACCTTGTGGTGGTACGGCTTTCTGGTGCAAGCCATGGAGTGGGCAGGCCCGGCCTTCATCAAGGTAACGCGGTGTTGGTTGGCTACTGTAGGGATGTTGTGAGACTGACTGACACCGAGTTGATAGCTTGGCCAATGGGCCGCCTCGAGATCCGACATCTTCCCCGTCGAGCTCTGTGATATCATGTCGAAGCTTCACGCCCACGCCCCGGCTCACTCCATGCACGCCACGAAACGGATAGTTCAGGAGGCTTTTGGAGGCCGCGATTTTGACGACATCTTTGAGGAGTTTGATGAGAAGCCGCTCGGTGTCGGGGCCATCGCTCAGGTCTACAGGGCGAAACTTAAACCTGACCTCGCCGGTCATGGCGACATTGATATTTCCGAAGTTCCACAGAATCTCCGGCACAGCGTCCGTAAGAACGTTGAAACGGTTTTGAAGAGCACTCCAAAGCGCTTCCCGTCGTCATACGTTGCTGTCAAGGTTCAGCATCCGCGCGTCGAACGTATAGTGCGGCGTGACCTTCGCATCATGTATTTCTTCGCCTCTGTTCTCAATATGATACCCACGATGGAATGGCTGTCACTTCCTGACGAAGTGGAGCAATTTGGTGAGATGATGAAGCTGCAGCTCGATCTTCGCATTGAAGCGGCCAATCTCTCCAAATTCCGCAAGAACTTCAAGGACAGAACCACCGCCTGGTTTCCCTATCCATATACTGAATTCACGACACGGAAGGTGCTCGTTGAGGAGTTCGCCCATGGCATCCCTCTGGCTGACTTTATGGCAAACGGAGGTGGGGTGTTCCAGCACGACATCGCGTCCGAGGGTCTCGACGCCTTTCTTCGCATGCTCCTTATTGACAACTTTGTCCACGCCGATCTGCACCCGGGCAATATCATGGTGCGCTTCTACGAGGCCGACCGGCCTCACCTAAGCCTGCGTCATACGAACCCCAAAGACTCCGGCTCCCAGCGCCCAGCAGACGTAACCGAGAAGGTACTTTCACGCCTGCGTCCGTACCGCCACAACAAGGAGCTCTGGGAGGCCGAACTGGCCAAGATTGACGCGGAAGGCTTCCGGCCGCAGCTCGTCTTCATCGACACGGGCCTCGTGACCGAGCTCAACGGCACCAACAGGCGCAACTTTCTCGACCTCTTTCGCGCCGTCGCCGAGTTTGACGGCTACAAGGCCGGCCATCTGATGTGCGAGCGCTGCCGTTCGCCCGACGCCGTGCTGGACCAGGAGGTGTTTGCCCTGAAGATGCAGCACCTGGTCCTGAACGTCAAGAGCCGCACGCTGGCGCTGGGCAACGTCAAGATTGGCGACATCCTGCACCAGGTCCTGGGCATGGTGAGGCAGCATCATGTCCGGCTAGAGGGCGACTTTGTCAACGTTGTTATCAGCATTCTGCTGCTTGAAGGTATTGGGCGGAGCATGGATCCTGATCTTGATCTGCTTAGCAGTTCACTTCCGATTCTGAGGCAGCTTGGCGCACAGAGCGGGAAGGACATGGTCATGGAGGGCGACTTTTCCATGTTGATGGTTTGGGTGGGCCTGGAAACCAGGAGGTTCATGCAGGCCAGTGTCGAAGATGTAAGTTTTCCTTTGGTTGTGTTCCCATCCTCGCGTGCTGTGGAATGCTAATGGTTTTCCCTCTTGTAAAACAGGTTGAACGGTGCGTCAAGTACGATCTCCTGTCGCCTAACGTTTAGGTTTGGGTACAACAAGCGGGCTATTGTTGGGTTTGAAGTGAATCGGTGGCAGCGATTAGAAGGGTATGTTTATGTTGAATGGCCATGCAGCATAGAGCAAGTCGGGATGTATAGACTTAAAATCATAGAGGGTGAATCTCCTCTCAGTGATATGTCTGGCCTAGCTGTTCCACATGCCGTATTGCATTGTATGTGATCGGCCAGAAATCTCTAGATTTGTAAGTATATATACCCAACAAAATTGGTTATCACCCCTACGAAGTACATATCATACTACTCTCTCCCGACGTAAATTTTACATCCAGGTTGTCGGGGATTAATTCATGGGAATTCGCATCTAAATAAGAGAAATTTAGGTGCCTCTGATCTCAGGTCTCCGCATTGCAACCCCCCACTGCTCTAATGTTGAGCCTTAGGGTCTGTTCTACGTTCACCTCAACACTTCACCCCAACATTCGCAGGGAACGCGCTACAGAGTTCCGATGCTCACAATCAACAAGCGCCAACTACTACAGGGTCTCCAGTCATAATGAAATGACGGCAGCCACCAAGTTTGTCTTTGCGCCGACCACTACCCTTCGCGCACATTCGTGGCATATTCGTGCTCACGTCGGGTTAATACTCTCCCGTGCGCGGATTGCCTCCCTTCTCCAGCCTCTGATGCGGAAGAGGACCACAACCCGTCTCATCCATAATGCCACAAACCATGATGAAAACACCCTCTATATCCTCGGTGTGGGAAATCTAGGGAAGTACGTCGCCTACGCATTGGCGAAGCATGTCCCCGACCAGCCCGTCACGCTGCTCTTTCACCGCGAGGGTTTGTTGCATGAATGGGACGCAGCCGGTCGGACAATTGAATGTATCGAGGACGGGGAATCCAGCAGAGAGGGCAGTTTCGCTGTTGAAGTGCTTAGCTCTTCAGACATCGCGGAGAAAGATAATGAGAGTCAGGTTTGCTCAGGGCCACCGATCAAGCACTTGATCGTGGCCACTAAGACGTACAATACCACGGCTGCCCTTCGCCGGGTCAGGAGCCGTTTGAGCCGCGAATCCAATATCCTGTTCCTCCAGAACGGAATGGGTGCGTTCATGCTCAATTTCCGCTCTGACTCGAGCTTGGGAATTAACGTCCATGTGGACAGGAGCAACTGACGAAGTCTCCGCGGCCCTCTTCCCCGACCCGCATTCTAGGCCAAGCTACTATGCGGGAATCTGCTATGCGGGCATCTACAGCAAACCACCGTTTGGTTTCGTCCACGCCGGTCGGGGAGCCCTGACTCTCGGTCAAGTGGATTCCCTCGAAGACGCGGTCTCAGCAAGGAGGACTGCCCGTGACAATATCCTGCTTCACTCTCTCTCTGCCGCCGGGCCGACCCTCGGCACCGAGCTTGTCACTCCTATGCAGCTCCGTGTAGCCCAGCTCTACAAACTTGCCGTCAACTCAACCATCAACCCTTTCAGCGTAGTCTTCAACTGCAAAAACGGCCGTGTTGTTGAATCCGAAACACAAAGGGAGGCCCTCAACCAGCTGCTTCTCCATGAAACCGGTCCCATACTCCGCGCCCTGCTTCCCGATGGGGTACCAACACACTTGCGGGACATGTTTCAACACGACAAGCTTGTCGAGCTTGTGTTCCAGGTGGCCAAGGACACAGCAAACAACTTCAGCTCCATGTTACAGGACGTGCGGGCCGGGAGGCAAACAGAGGTAGACTACATAAATGGATATCTTGTGCGGAAGGCTGAGGATCACGGCATCGAAACACCGCGGAATGCAGGATTGGCGGAGTTTGTCAAACGAGCAAGCCGGAAGAAGGGTTTGTACAACCCGGATCCCTTTGGCTTTCCAGATGGAGAGCTAAACCCTGCGTGCGCGCAGCTCAGGCGGTTCTGGTCTCTCCGGCAGGCAACCGGATCCGGGAAGTCATCAGACGAGACGGGAAACAAACCTGATAGACAGGCTGGGCAGGAGGGTGTGGTTGAGACTCATGATCCAGACCGTACGCGGCAATGACGAGACTCTGCTGGTCCTACGGTCTGGATTATGAGCTGCTGACAAGGTTAGGGACGCCCACAACGGGAGCAGGAGCACCCGTCCCAGGAGCACCCGTCGCAGGGTACCTTGCTGCTGACGCTCCGGGACTAGGTGCGGTCGGCGCGTAAGACATCGGAGGCGGGGCGTTGGACGCAACCGCTGCTCCCCACGCAGGTGGACGAGGACTCGGAGGAGCAGCCGAAGGAGTACTCATGGAAACCAAGGTACTACTGGCTTTGCGCAGTAAAAACCCTTGTCTCCAGCGATGCCGCGGATATAGCCACCCAAGTATCGCAACTAAAACAGTTGGTATCCCTATACCCAGCCCGACGCCAATGGCGATCTGGTCTGAGCGGCTCAGCGTTGCCGAAGATGATGACCCCGGAATCTCGGAAGATTGAACGTCCGAGCCATCGGAGGACTGCGAGGCCTCGTTTCCCGTAGAATCGGAGCCGCCTGTGGAGCTGGCTCTGCCCGTGCCTGCAGCCCCAAGCGACGTAGAAGCGCCGGATTGAGAAGGGTTCCCCGTAGAGACGGAGCCGCTTGTGGGGTCCGTTTTGGCCGTGGCTGAAGCCCCAGGAGATGTGGATGAAGAGATTTCAGAAGGGGCACCAAGGAAAGAGGTCGTTGTTCGTGTTTCACCAACGGACCACGTAGGTAGAGTGAGGTTGACTGCAACATAGCACCCGCAACCATGTCGTCAGCGAGGGAATGAAAGTCTTCCCGGCGTCACGGTGTTGGGTAGTAGTATTACATACCTTCGGCCCCAGCCGTCAAAGTTCGGTAGTAGCGATCCCTAGTGCCCAACCCTGGGACCGGCTGGTTCCCGCAACCAATCCATACATAGCGGGTTCCATACTGAGTGGTGGACGCCTCTGCAACCTGTAGGTCCTCGTGCACTAAGCGAGTTTCGCAGGTGGTTCCTGGCACTGCAAACGCTGCGCTGTAGCAAATCCCTTGTCAGAATATACCCAGCGACTCAAATGTCACGGAGCGAAGAAGGCAAAACTATACCAGTCTGATTTTGTAGTCTTGTCTGTAGCCGGGGATGTGAGTATCGAGTTGATCAGATACGATGCGCTACAGCCTATCCCGGCGTAACAGCTTTTTCCCGGTGGGCAGCAATCGATGACGGTGTTGATTGTCGTGACAGTGTCACCCTGGGTATAGCAGAACTCTGCCGAGACTGTTGAGAGGTAGGTTCAGCGTCAAGTGACGGCACCTCAATTGAGAAGGTACCTTACTCACAGCTTCCGTCAGCCATCAGCTTGTAGCCAATAAAGTCTGCTCGGTCGACAGGCCCGATGAAACTCGAATCCACCCTCCTAGCGACTTCAACATACGGAAACAGGGTTGTTTGGGGCCTGGGCGGCTCCGTCACCAGCATCGCCTCGCTCCAGGCTGCGATGGAGTGCGCGGTTGCAACATGAAATGAGAGCAGCGACAGGAGCCGCTGGGCTACTGAACCGCAACCCATCCTCCTTGCCGCCTCCTCGTAAAATGAGGTAACAAGTCACGCCGATCTTGGTTTTCCTCCAAGGTTTCTGATTGTATGAGGCTGCATGTCAGTTCAAAAACGCGACTGAACCTGCAATTCCTTGCGAAATTTGATGACCCGTGTTGGGTTTCCCTGCAGTTATATCGTCGCGGCATGTTGGCATGTTAGCAACGGCCTGCGGCTGTTTAGTAGGGTAGTGCCCAGACTTCGGCTTGTAACAGTATATAGCATCGTGCCCGTCCGCCTACCTATTCGGGCGGTAAGGTAGTAGACCACCAGGCAGCATTGGTACTCATTTCACTGGCCCAGCCTACCCACCAAGCCTTGTATCCCTTTTCTTTCCAGCAACACATGATATCGCCCTTTTCTTGTTGACAACCATCATGACAACAAGCATTCGTCGTTGTGACCTGTGACCACATCAGCTTTTACGCCCCTCTCAGGAAATGCGCAGAGCAGGCAGGTATCAGCCACACAATCATGGCATATACATTCCGACCCGACACATAATATACGGATCTGAACAGTCAACCTCAGATAGGACGAAACAAAGTCGTAGCCAAGCTGGTCATGGTCTCAAGGATACTTACCTAGGTACCCGATAAACCAGCAGGCTCTCCGGAGCAGACAGGGACTTTGTTGCCAATCTTGATTCAGTTCCTAGCATCCCAAAAGTTCCCTCAATTTCTCTCGGCAAATAGAGTAAACCTTATCTCAGAACTCAGACCTCCTTGGGCTCGTAAGGGCACCTTCGGCGCAGGGGGAAAAAGGGGGGGATGGGCGGTAATTTACATGTAATTTCATTAGGCTAAACGTTTTGGGTTAGAACCATTACAATGACAGCCAGGGCGGGAGGTGGTATTGTGGGTCAGGAATCAATCTATTGGCTGCAAAATGGCTCTGTACGGCTAGTACTGTAATTTTCCGCCCTCGCTGGTCTGAGTTCTGAGATAAAGTAGACCCAAGTATAATATTCGGTTCGTTCGTGGAAAAGCCATCCTCTCTCACACTCCCTTCACATAAGACGGAATCTCGGTTTAGGTAAGAGGTGACCGAGGCTCGGGAGGATAGCGAGGGTAGGTACACCCGGTACCTAAGCGGAGAGCACAGACCATCGGCTACAGTTAGCTACCTACTGTAACTTGATTCGTTCTTAGCGGCGGCACTAACAAAGTCAATGTCATCCTTGCTTGCTTTCCTTATCGCTACAATAAGTTATCTTTCCATTTTTTGTTTGGCGCATCGACGCTCTGGTTCATCTTGGATCTTCCAACCCGGTCCAGCACAGTCTCAGTCAATAACACGCTCATCAATTACTATCTCTCTTTTCCCAGTAACTGAGCAAAGAAATCGTCACAATGGGTTGGTTCTGGGCCGACGCAACTCCCGCTGCTCAAGCAGCTGCGCAGCCGGCGGACTCGAAACGCCAGCACCATCCCGCAGCTGCCTCGCCTCCCGTGAGTCCGTCCATAACTGCCTGGCTGTTCGTTCCGGCATCTAACCTCTGCTCCATCAAGGCCAGCTGTCCCATGCACAAGCGCACCATCGACGCTCTCACATCCGTGAAACCTTCCGCTAGCGCAGAGGCTCCTTCCTGTCCCGTCCCGCACGGCGCGCCCTTCGCAAATTCATCACCGTCTTCCTGCCCCGTCCCGCATAGCGATCGCGGCGCCCCATCGGACCAGCGGCAAGAACAGGGCCTGCTGTCCAAACTCAACCCGCTCAACTACATGTTCCATTCCATCTCGCAAGACCCCGCCCCGAATCAGAACTATGCGCTACCGACCAGCCGAGACCCGTCCTCCATCCCCAAGGGCAGCGGCGATGGCAACTGGGAGTACCCGTCGCCGCAGCAGATGTACAATGCGTTGCTGCGAAAGGGGTACACGGACACGGACATCACGGCCGTCGAGAGCATGGTGGCGGTGCACAACTTCTTGAACGAGGGTGCCTGGGCCGAGATTGTCGAGTGGGAGCGCCGGTTCGGCAAGGGCCTGGCCCGCGGCTGGGAGGTCAGCAAGCGAGGCGAGGAGAACGCGCCGCTGGAGCTGAGACGCCTCGAGGCGCAGGAGGGAGGCCGGCGGGAACAGCCGACGCTGATCCGGTTCCAGGGCAGGCCAAAGGATATGACCCCCAAAGCCGCCATCCTGCAGATGCTCGGGAGGATATACCCTGAGAAGTTTGGGTTTGTTATACCAACCGCCGCAATTTTCTTTCTCTGTGTGCAAAGCGGCCTGCTAACGTGTCCTGCGACTTACTACAGCACCGAACCCCCTTTCGACCGCCACGATTGGTATGTCGGGCGCAACGTTAACGGCCAAACGAAGGAGGTGCGCTATGTGATTGACTATTACTCGGGCCCTCCCGAGCCAACGGGCGAGCCCGTCTTCTTCCTTGACGTCCGCCCGGCGATGACTCCCACGGGCGCCGTCGAGCGGTTGATGCGGTGGGGCGGAGATGTGTGGTGGAGAGCATCAGGCGGGGAGGTGCGCGAGAACAATAGGAAGAATGGCCAGAGTTGACTGTGCAGAACACACTTGGGTCTGGAAAGGGATAGGATGTTAATGGGCGCTGTTACTTGGCATATCTGACGGCGTAACGGAGCACATGCAGCATGGGTCTTGTGTCTTGGACAGGTTTACGTGTAGTTTTACTCTCTCTCTTGTCGGCACAGTCTGGCTGTGCTTACTTTTTGTGTGTAGGATATTGCGCTGCATCCTACTGCCATCCGAGGCTATGGAGAACGCCGTCGTGATCTAGAAACTGTATTCTAAGTTGACTGTTAGTAATTCAGCTACCTTGGAAGGCTTGGATACAGAGGATACCAAGGCCGATATCTACACTACGTGCTCGGTAGATATGCCAAGATTGTAACCTTCCGGGTTTTGGCCCCGGGGTTATTAAGCGCGATCCCCGGCACCTCAGCCCTGCAGGCACATGAACCATCCATTGGCCAATTTCCCAAGCCCTGTCAGCCACGGGGTGTTTTTGGCTTTCTTCTGCCCACTTGCATCGCGCGAGTCGACGCCACTTGAACCATGGCAGCCCAGCCGGGTCCATCTCTGACGACCGATCCAGCCGCCGATCGATCTGCCGTCAGTGCGGCGGGCCCGGACCCGGCGGTTCCACCTGCCGACGATGATACCGTTGCCGACGGCGACGTGCCCGAACCACATGACAATGAGTCGGGGTCTGTTGGATCTAGTGCGGAGTTCAGCAACTTCTCTGTCGAATTGAGTGTATGTTTTGCACTGGCTTCAAAGGACTACTACTTCTTGATCTTGCAGCCCCTGAAACTAATGGCCGAAGGTTGACCTTGACGACGATGGCCGGATTCATTCGGCATCAGATTCTGCGACGGGAGCGTGAGTTGTTACACTGTTTACGGGCACCTTTCATCATTGCTGGCTATTAACTCACGGCGATCTTCAGGTCTCCCTCCAGCGTCTCCGTGAGCTCGTCTGTGTACAAGTTTGTCACGGAAAATGGCCGGACCTTTCACAAGTATAAGGAAGGGAGTGAGTTTGATGCATCCAGGTATAATCATCCTGGCTGTGGGTGACTGACCTAAAGCAGAGTACTATCTTCCAAACGATGAGGTGAGAGGCAACGCCATTTGAGAGGGCTAATGTGAGCCTATCACTGACCGTGTGACTTGGGATCGCGCGACAGAAGGAGCAACACAGATTAGGTATGGCCTCTGCCATCCTGAGGGGTGTGTAATCGACTAATTGAACCTGTGATAGATCTTCAGCACGCCATTTCAAGATGGTTGTTGAAAGGCAAGCTTGGATTAGCCCCTGTACAGAATCCCAAACGTGTGCTCGACGTCGGGACTGGCACGGGCATCTGGGCAGTTGAGTTTGGTGAGTAGCCCTTTTATCCTGTCCATACCGTGGCACCCTAGGCAATGGTGACTTGAGCAGTCGGTTAACTTTGCTATCTCAAGCTGAGGAGAACCCCGACTCGGAGGTGTTAGGGACCGATCTGAGCCCAATCCAACCTGACTACCTACCGCCCAACTGCCGATTTGAGATTGATGATGTCGAAGATGAATGGGTCTTCCACCACAAATTCGACTACATCCACGGCCGCTATCTATTGCTGTTTCTCAAGGATTGGAACCACGTCTTCAAATCCTTCTACAAGAATCTGCATCCCGGGGGATGGGCTGAATTCCAGGAGATCATTATCTGTTTCCAGTCCATTGACGGCTCCATTGAGGGCACCGCCCTGCAACGGTGGAACACCCTCCTCCTTGAAGGCATTCGCAAGATGGGCCGCAGGCCGACTGAGGCACTGCGCTGCAAGAAGTGGATGGCAGAGGCAGGGTTCGTCAACATCAGCGAGAAGAAGTTCGCCGTTCCCATGAACCCCTGGGCAAAGGGTAAAGTGCAAAAGGCTCTCGGCGCCATGCAAATGGCAAACAATCTCGAGGGAGTCGACGGTCTTACCATGACCGTTTTTACACGATCGCTCGGCTGGACACCAGCGCAGGTCGAGGAAATGCTTGTCGATGTCAAGAGAGATATGAAGGACCGCAGCATACACGCCTACATTACCGTGTAACGATACCCACCAGCGCTGAGATGTTCCGCGATTGTGCTAACGAACCGGCTAGGGTTGTCGCTTGGGGACAAAAGCCCTACGAGTAGTGCTGTAAGTCAGCTGGGACTTGAGGGATTATTGTACTTGGTGTAATCATGCTCTCGCAGAGTTTTGTTTTCTGCCGTTTCATTGACTACCAGGTTGTATCCTTCGAGAGCCTGCGGATTTCGGCGTCGCGCTCGGTCATTTTTGACGACTTGGGCTATTGGGATCTGGCAGATCCTGGATGGATACAAAGATAAACTACTGTATATATCGGATTGAAATGTTGGGAGCGGCAATCATGGAAACTTGCTGAACTCGTTCGTTTCCAGTTCGATGTCGGCGTTGAGGAAAGGGGCAAGCACATCTCAGTCAGGGGATTGGTCTCTTCTAAGCGCCAGCTGGTTCCACCTGAGTTCCACCTGGGTTCCACTTAAATCCACCCCTGCCGACGACGACTCTTCACGTTCTTGGGACATTTCGCCAAATCTGAGTGAGGCAGAGTACTTCCGTCGGAATGATTGAAGCTATCGCGACCCGCGCTCAAATACGTGACGGTCGGCCATGAAGGAGCTCAATAGCGAATTACTAGCCTCAACTGAACCTGCTTCTGACGTGCCCTACATCCGGCTGCATGTCACGCCATTAGACGTCGACCTCCTCAAAGTCGTCCTTTCGTCGGCGCTACTCCCCAAGGCGCGCAACATATCGTACCATACAATCGAGACATTTCCTGAAAAGCGCTACGGCTTCCTCGAACTGCCGGATGAGGACGCGACGAAACTCCGAAAGAAGCTCAACGGATCGGTGCTGAAAGGCGTCAAGATACGCATCGAGCCAGCACGACCGTCGGCCATTCTCAGCCCGCTAGGCGAAGCGGCAATGGCGAAGGAGAAGGCTTCCGAAAAGGACACCGATGGCGTCCGGCCGCAGAAGGATCGGAAGAAGAAGAGGAAACGGGATGCCGACGAGCTGAGCGGCATTGTTTTGGAAGGGGGCAGGAAAATCAAGCGGGGCTGGACCAGCCCTGATGAGCCTAAGGAGAAACGGTCAAAGAAAGACAAGGGCAGCAAGGAAAAGAAGGAGAGGAAGAAGCAACAAAAGTCCAAGTATACCAGTCACCCCGAGTGTCTCGTCAAAACTGTTTTGCCGGCAAATGTCGCAGCATCGGTCGATTCTCAGAGTCCCAGTCCGTCAAAGAGCAAGAAAAAGGGCAAGTCTCGTGAGGTCATCGTGCACGAGTTTGAGAAGACCACGAAATTTCCGACATTTCTCAAAACGGCGGCATCAATCGGCCGCTCCGGGCCAGATCTGCATTTCGTTGATGGGAAGGGTTGGGTTGACGAAGAGGGAAACGTTGTCGAAGCTGTGAAGACCAGGCGGCCTCAGACGTCTTACCAATTGCCTTCGGACCGGTCAGAAGCGCGGCATCAAGAGCCTGTCCAGGATGCGGTGGATACGAACAGCGCCCCCGATGACGCATCTGACGGATCATCGGAGGCGGAAAGCCCAGGCGTCACCAGTAACGACGGCCATGCCTCCACGGCGGCGGAAAAAGAGCCTTCTTCATCGCCCGCCTCGGTCAAATCTGACAGTGCACAGCCAAAATCCCCTGGTTCAGCGAGGAATCTATCTATCAAGATCCCGCCCGTTACCCCAAAGGAGCCTAAGGTAGTACACCCCCTGGAAGCCCTATACAAACGCCCAAAGCAGCCCGATGGCGGTGTTGCGGAGGCAGCGGCAGATGGGCAAGGCTTCAGCTTTTTCGCGAATGGCGATGAGGGAAGCGGGGGTGAAAATGAGGACGGCGAAGACACTGGCAATGTTTTGGGTATTCAGCTACCCATGACGCCGTTCACTCGCCAGGACTTTGAGCTACGCGGGATCAGAAGTGCTGCGCCCACTCCAGACACGGCCCACCCCAGCCGCAGGTTCAAGCCGTGGGAGCAGGAGGATGGCGACGTCCGGCAAGAAGATGAAAACGCCGCTTCTGGTGATGACGAGGACGAAGAGCCGGAACCCTCCGGAAACCTGGCTGGTCATGCTGCCGAAAGCGATGACAAGCCCACGAGTGATTTTCAGAAATGGTTCTGGGAAAACCGTGGCGACCTAAATCGATCCTGGAAGAAGAGGAGGAAGTTGGCCGGTAAGGAAAAGAGGTACAGAGAGAATAAGGCTCGTATGGCACGGGCTATCTAGGTACTACTTTACTGGGCTCTTTTACTCGCGATAACTATATTGATACATGAACACGAGAGTCCGTTGCCTCCGCCACAGACCTCTTGAAACACAACATTCCGTCCTCGCCGTATTTGCGAATTGCTAGGCTCATTCCCGGCCACCAGTACCACCTGTTCATCACGTCCTTGGTTCTTGGCTTAGACCCGTGACCTGTGGCTTCAGGCGCCGTCGCGTGTACGCGATGGATCACTTGTAGGGGGCATCTTGTCGTCGGGTTCAACGATCAGCCCGCCACCCTACCACGCCATGGCTGTCAGGTTCGCTCTTCGCTGCTTCCTCTCTGTTTCCCCATGACCCAGGTGCATCTTCGTTCTCGGCAGCCTTCGTCCCGCCACAGCTGTGCGCTCCGCAAGGGGTATCTCACCGTCTCCTTAACTGACTTCGGCCACATGCGCCACAGTCGATTCCGGGAGCGATGGGCACTTGCCAGTCATCTCATGAGAAACCAAAAGACAAATTTATATAGTTGGGGCTTAACGCCCTGAAACCTTTTCATTTGACGATCCCCAACTCCTTTCCCTGTCGGCCGCCATGCGCTTGCGCACGGTATATTAACGCCGAGTCTTTGTCTTAACTCTTAACAATATGTTCAGTCCAAACCCGGTACAAGCAAATCCCTTGGAGGTTTCAAAACCACTCACTAAAGAACAAGAGAACCCATTAATGCATTTCTTTCGGTTGGCTCTTCCAGCCGATCTTTCAGATCATCCGCATGAAGTCATGGACAAAGGAGAAAAATGAAGGACAACGAAGGAGAGAAAGCAAGCAAGACAAAAGACAGGTGTGTGCGGTTCAAATAATGGTTCAACTTTTCCCCTTCTCTTCAACTTCAGTTTAAAGGGCCCTCAATTAGGGCCGACGGTGTCCGGTTCAGGCGCGGGTAGATTTGGAGGATGGAGAACCCCCGTTGGTGAAAGGCACAGGAGATGGCGTGAGTCCGTTAACAGGACTGGATCTGGTAGTAGGATGGCCGACGAACAACCCGGATCCGCGATAGCTGCGCTCAGCATCTAGCGGGCTGTACCCCTCGGTGACGGGGCCAATCTCATCGCTGTCGCTGTCTTCGCCGACATTGAAGACGTCGTGGTGAATAACCGTCCTTGTGCTGTCCGGCGTTGAGCTCTGGGGGATATCAGAGCTGCTGGGAGATGCCACGAAAATGTTGTGGTGTATGACAGTTCCTGTGCTGTTCTGTGTAAAACTCCGGGGGATTGCAGAGCTGTTGGGTGAAGCGGTGAAGACGTCCGGGGGTGTGACATTGCCGATGATGTCTTGTGAGAAGCTCTGCGGGATGGCAGAGCTGGTGGGTGACTGTGAGTCGGGGCGAAGCGGCCTGCGAGGTGACGGGGTGCGGTACATAGTCCGGGCCCTCGCACCAGTGGTGTCGCGGTTGGTATTGTGGCCGGTGTCGTCGTCGGTGTTGTTTCTCTTGTGAGCGGGAGTGCTCTCGCTTGAGTTTGCGGCATCATATTCTCGGCGATGACCCTGCTGCTGCCCTTCTTCGAGAGCGCCGATTCGGCCTCTGAGCAACTCAAACTCCCGGCGCAGCTGCTCCTGATCCTGGGTAACTTTCCCCAAGGCTGGGGTGGTGCAGTCGTTGTCTTTTTCCTCTTCAGGTGTGTTGGGTGGGCAAGGAGGAAGCGGCTTCGACCAGTGGTGCATCTCAATCCAGGCCTTATCTGAGATGATTGCCCGTCCGGTCTTGCGGTACTGGAGGATGGTGAGCCAAAAGGCGATGGGCAAGATTATGAAGAGGAGACCGCTCAATACAGCCCAGGCGACGACGCCCTCGCCGACGGTGCCCTGATTGTGGTTTCTCACGATGACGACGGTCATGCTCGAGACGAAGCTCATGGAGGAGAGCTTCCAAAGAACAGCCTCGGCAATTAAGAGCCCGCGAAGGCGACCCATTGCTCCCCACAGCTCTCGTGTGGCCCGGGGAATGTCCCAAACACTGTTTCCGGGTATTCGAGGTTTCGGAGGCAGCCTAGGGTAGCGAAGCCGTGGACCGCGCCGCAGAGACTCGAGATCAACGGGGATCTCGTGGTTTATGGCCGCATTTGCCGAGTTTGTGCCGTCAACAATGCCAAACGAAGATTGTGCCCTGGGAACAGCCGCATTTGGGGTGAAGGGGCTTTGGATTTTGCTGGACACCGCCTGGGAGACGGTGATGGCATGTGCCGGACCTGGGTTATCGTCGTGCGGTCTCACACTAAAGAGGCCGCTCAAACGGCCAAAGGTTGCCGAGCCGGGCGCAGTAACATTGCATCTCGACGACTGACGCAGCGGGCTCTGGTGCTGCTGCTCGGCCCAGTATCTTGCGATCACGTCTGCATCATCCGCCAAAGAATGGACCTCTGACACCTTCCGGGGAACGGAGTACAGCGTCAGCGTCAAGGGCCGCATCAGGATCTCTGTCGTTGGCTGGGGGAAGAGCTCTTGGGCGCTGCTTCGACGCGAGTACTCGGCTAGGCAAGCAGTCAACAATTCCTGTTCATCTGAGTTCTTTCGCTTCACGTCGCCGTGATCCAGAAACTTGCTCGTCACGCGACGACGAGTATAAACCTGGAGCAACACAACCAAACAGACTTACCCGGCTCATCGGCGTCCTGGCCGATACCACCACCACCACCACCACCACCGGACAGCACGCCAGTACCCGTGGCCGGGGCACGGTGATCGGGCGCGGCCCCCACAGTGTCGCCGTCGGTCGTGTCTTGACGTTCGGCGGCTGTGGCCGATCCGACCCTGAGATGTATCAGCGGAAGTGTTCTTGTTAACAACTGGAGATCGCGCCATTGGCTTACTGCGAGCAGGGCCTTTCCTGCCTGGGGAAAGGCCAGTCCAACGACGCGCCCCTGCCCAAGGGGACCACGCGGATTGATGGAGTCTCCATCGGCACGGCAATTCTGACTGGTATACTATCTTCTGGTCAGTGATGAAGATGCGACTTGAACGATTTCTCTGCGTCCGGCTGGTGATGGGAGAAAGGGTGCCACCTCAGCTGTGCGAGGAATGATGGCTGGAAGGGCTGGAAGGGCGCCCGTCAACTCCAACAAGCGCTGGTGAGAGGGACGCCGCCTCTCACAACCGTGAGAAGCGAGGCCACCTCGTCCAACGAGTGTTGGAGGAAAAAGAAGTCATCTCGTTCAAAAGGGTGCTAAAACAAACGATACTGCCTCATCCAATTGTGGTCGGAAAAGGGATTCCACCTCATCCGATCGATGATGGAAGAAAGGATGCCATACCGCCCGAACAATGATGGCTGGAAGAGTTCCATCTCATCCAAATGATGATGAGAGAAATACTCACACCAACGTTCCGATAGATGATGGAAGAAAGGACGTCGCTGCTCACGTTTGATGAGTGGTAGGGGAAAGGATGTCACTTTGGCCGATCTGCAATGGGGAAAAACAGAAACATGCAGAGAACGGTCGCGACTTCTGACGATCTCACGAGAACGCAAAGGACCTCTCTGATCCGATGATTGATGGGATCGCGAGAACTGCAATATGGGATGGCCAGGAAGAAGAGAAGATACGATGAAACAGCGAGGAATCAAGACGTACCTGTATCGGCTTGGTGATGGGAACAAAAACGCCGCGAGCCTGGGATGACTTCTGGGTAGTAAGAGAGGAGGAGGAGGAAGAAGAAGAGGAGGAGAGGCGGGGGGAGAAAAAGAGTGGTGGAAGGAGAGGAAGAGTAGTCAAGGCGCTCCCTCTTCCCCAGCTATTGAGGTATTGCAGTGTGTGAAGGCAACGCGTGATGAATCGTCTCAAAGGAGGCGGCAGGCGCGCCGCCCGAAAGGTCTTAGACACCTCAGGGGTGGTCATTACAACGCCCGTTAAGCCCCAGCACAGAGCTGGCCCAGGGCACACACTTCACAATTCCTCTTTCATCATTCCTGGTCTTTATAGATCAGCCTCTTCCCATCGGCCAAGATTGACTGTAGGCTGTGAAGCAGCAAACAAGGGTTTGAGGTTGGTTTGCTATTGTTTGTACTAGGATCACTCAGGACATACACAAGCAGAGCAAGTAAAGTGGTAATCAGGGGCAGGAAATTATCAATCATCAAAGAGCCAATACATCTTGACTCTTAACAAACTAACAAACAGCCAAATGTACTCAGAGCCGGTCCCTAGTTTCTTTTCGTGATAGACACCTTGATGAAAACCAATATGCCCTCAGATTCTCTCGTCTAACCACAACAACAAGGACACTGATGTATGGGCCCACCCATTTCGTCCGATATACTCCGTATGTTGGGCGCGACTTCCAGCTTCAGTATTCTGATCATTACCAGCAGCTTAAAGAACCAAATTTCAGTTCTATGCTTCTTGTCTTGGACGAAATCCCACTACTGCTTTGGTTTCTCTTCATGCTCAGCTCACGCCCATTAGACACAAAAGCTGTGCTTGTTGGACCTCAAGTTCCAGTCTTCAAAGACTGAGTCTCACACGCCCGTCCCTAGTTTGACCATTGAGAGTCTAGCGTGACACCTCATGCAAACCACATGGTGCAGGTAGAAGAATGCAAGGTGAGTCAGTGATTCCAGCTGCCTCTCATGGGAATCGGTGGACTCTGCATGTAAGTTTTGTTCTGTTGTTTGATCAAGGCCAGCTTTGAAAGCATCCCTAAGAGCCACGGTTTCCCCTCTGCCCCTAGAACCACGTCTCTGAAGTGCCCACTTCCAGCTGGGAATACGGTGCTAGCGGGTGAATAACGGTGTAGGTCTTCATCTCTTGCAATTTGGTCATGTACCGATGTCTGCCAAAATCTATGGCAGGGTATGAGAATTGGTGATCCCAACTCCAGAATGTGGACGTTGTCGTCGCCGTGCCGATGCAACCATCTGTTTACTTTACCCCTGACACCCACTGGCCGGTCGGCCCCACACCACTTTCAGGCGAGGTCAACAGCGTCAAAATGGAACCAGCAGCGCCCAGGCTAAAATGTAAAAAATACAGGCGGGAAAGCATACCAGGCCTTTTCTATTCGCTGGATTTAATTCTTTCACAGACAAATGACCGGGAGCGTAGTGTTACATAGCACAGTACTTGTGACCCGTCGGAGTTGTGACTGCAATGCTCAGTGCTTGATGCACCAACCAGCCCATTCTCAAAGCCAAATAGGATTTGAAAGGGGTTTGTTGTGAGCACGGGGGGCAAAGCCGAGAATTGAGAGAATTATGGGCGGGGAGCTACCGTCATAATCCGGAGAAATGGCGAATTTGGGTTGTCATCAAAGAGCACTCTAACCTTTCTTTATCTCTATCTGAAACCGTAAGGCCCAATCGGTGAATTCATCCTTTTGACCATCCCACGGCTTCACAAGCAATTCAGATGCTGCAAAAGCGTCGAAGAAGCACTCGTCCATGAGACGATCAATCTCGGAAGGCTCCAGTTCGTAGAATGCCAGCGCTAGACTTCCAAACCTCTCTGGAATCCTCTTGAGAACGGACATGACCTCGTCGAGCCGCGGGGGAATGTCTGATGGCGATGCCGGAGGCAAGTGTGGCAGGGACTTGAGCCTGCGCTTGACTGTGGCTTGGTAGAACAGAGAGGTGAGACGGAGTCTCCGGAGACACGAGTCTAACCGCGCCCGAATCCTGTCCGGGTCGTCGCGGGGAATGTACCGCTGCGCGCCCATCAGGTCGTCCAGGATGGCTTGAGCGTCTTGTGTGCCCGAGACCGACGCCGACGCGAGAGCGGCCGTGACCTGAGCAACTGCGCCGTCGTCGTCTACGCCGCCGTCATCCTCGCCTTCATCATCGTCATCATCATCCTCCGCCTCCGTCTCCTCGCCCCATTCTTTCAGCTCCTCCATAACGTCCTTGAGCGTATCCCTGAGCTGATCAACCTTGTACACCAGATTGCCGCCGAATCCCCGCTTGGCAAACGTGGTGACGTCGTCGCAGGCCGACCACAACACGCCGGTGGTCGCGATGCTGCCTCTGCCCGCGGCCGAGACGTTCTTCTTGGCATCCGAGAGGACTTTCCCGTCCGTGGGGATGCGCGTGACGAGCTCCTTCAGCTCCCGCAGCACGCGGCTGGCGCGCCAGGCCAGATCCTGCTGGATGGTGCTCGTGTACCGTTCCGGCGTGCACCCTTCGACCGCAGCGGCCAGGCTGGGCACGGGGGCGGCCACCAGTTCGCGGAGGACCTTGGTAATGGCTGTCGGGGTGAATGGCTCGTTGATAATGAGCAGCGAGATCTTAGTGGCGTGCGCTTTGATCAGACTCGCCGAGTCGTGCGCCAGCGAGAGGGCGTCCACCGGGGGGTTGTTGGTGTTGGCCGCGGTGGGCTTTTCCGTGACGGTGGCTGTTGCGGCTAGGTTGCTGCTGCTGCCGTTGCGCGCATGCTGTTCAGACTTTTGCGACGCTATACGAGACACTGCGGCTTCAAGCTGGCTTAGGAGAGTAATGGCGCTGGCACTGAGCGCGTTGAGTGTCTCGAGGGCTTCGGTAGAGGAGGTAGAGGAGGACATTGTTGCGGTCGCAGTTGGAAAAAGGAAATCGAGGGTTATGTATGTGTTGTAACAAAAGATATCTTCCCTTCCCTTCAGAGTCCAGGCCTACTATGTACAACGAGCGGAAGCTCTCACGGTCTCACCATCATGTCGATGGCGGGGCTAGTCAAGTTTTCCACATCCGCCGTGGGGTTGTGCTTGCAGTGGGACATGGTACTGCCTCGTACACTTTACCCCACATTTCCACTGACGCTGGAGATGGTGGTGTATGTTCCCGGCAGGCATTCCACGTGACAGCGACCCCTGACACCTGCCAGGCCCCGGGGGTCTCAAGTTAGCAAGCTGTCCTGTGCCAAGGGAGCTTCAACTCAATGCCGAGCTTGGCCTCTAGAAACTTGGGATTTCCTGGGGACGCCGGCACAACACCTCTTGTTACTTGGCTAGAAGAGCAAGAGGTGTTTCAAGACAATAAACTATGCGGAGGACAACTACATTGGCGCTTTTGAGCGCCCTATGCCATGGCACAATTGCTGCCGCCGAGAGCTTGCCGCGGGGTGTTGGTCCCGAGTGTAAGTCGCTGTCTCCTGTGTCTTCTTCAGTTCGTCTCGTCCTTGAGTTGCCGCAGCGCATGGTAGCACCACCAATTGTTTGGACGGCAGGACTTGCCGCAGGCCCAGCAACTTCCATTCAATTGAGATCCAGTCAATGACCTTTTCTAGTTGCCAAGTTCTACACCAGCAAAGCCCGATTTACCTGCATCAGCAACCCCACCATCACCATCGACTCCTCCCAGATCAACGACAACTCGTGCGACTGCCCGGATGGATCCGATGAGCCAGGGACAGCTGCTTGCGCCTATCTTGATCCCCTATCTCCCGAGCAGCCCCTCCCGGGGTCTGTGACGGGCACCACCAACACCACAGCTGCCTTGCCCGGCTTTTGGTGCGCCAATGCCGGCCACATTGGCACCTACATACCATTCATGTACGTCAATGACGGCGTATGTGACTACGACCTCTGCTGCGACGGCAGTGACGAGTCTGCCCACGCGGGCGGCGTCCAGTGTGAGAACCGCTGTGACGCCATCGGCAAGGAGTATCGCCGTCTGGAAGAGGAGCGCAGGCTGAGCAAGGAGAGAGCAGCCAGCCGGAGACGAACTATGATTAAGGAGGCCCGCGAATTGCGCCGCAGGGTGGACACAAAGATCGTCACCCTTAAGGGGGAGCTTGAGCGGCTAGAGAAGGAAAAGCTGGAGCTGCAAAAGAAGTTCGAGGAGGTTGAGCGTTCCGAGAGGAACAAGGTTGTCAAAACTGAGGGTCAAGGGGGGAAGCTGGGCGTTTTGATAGGTCTGGCAAAAGGCCGCATTTCGGAGCTCCGGAATGCCCTGGATAAGCTGCTGGACCAACGCGACGACCTGCAGGACAGGGTGGAGCAGCTGGAAGAGATCCTTACCAAACTCAAGGAGGAGTACAACCCCAATTTCAACGATGAGGGTGTTAAGGCCGCTGTCAAGAGTTGGGAGGACTATGCAGCTGGCCAGGCAAACGACAAGACGTCGGAGCTGAGTGATGCTGATGTTATGGAGTTGCTGAAGGAAGACGGTGAGACGTCTGGCATCAACTGGACCGAGTTCGAGAACGCTGAAGAGAGTGACGTCGACATTGGTATGTTCCCCGCTTCTGAATCCCTTGAGCGGCACTGACTAAATAGCTATAGTCTACAACTGGCAAGCATACCTTCCGCGCCCCGTCAGCGACTATCTCTTCGACAAGCTCAACCTCCTGCGTGACTGGGCCGTCAAGAACGGCATACTGGCCGAACAGCCCGCCAAAGGAGGCGAGTCTCGCCTGGTGAAGCAGGCCAGAGAGGCTCTGGACGCCGCTAAGAACGACATTTCGTCCAAGACGGCCACCCTGGAAGAGCAGCAGCGCGACCTGGAGAAGGACTACGGCCCGGATGACATCTTCCGCGCTCTGAAGGGCAAGTGCATCAGCAGTGACGTGGGCGAATACGAGTACGAGCTCTGCTGGATGGACCGGACCACGCAGAAGAGCAAGAAGGGCCACGGCAACACCAACATGGGCAACTTTGCTCGCATTGACCGGGACATGGCGGACGAGGACGAGCGAGCCGATGGCAAGGGCCTGGGAAGGGGCCAGCGCATGGTGCTGCGCTACGAGAACGGGCAGGGCTGCTGGAACGGGCCTAACAGGCGTACCGATGTCTGGCTGGCCTGCGCCGAGAAGGACGAGCTCTGGCGCGTGACCGAGTCGGAGAAGTGTGTCTATAAGATGGAGGTGGGCACGCCAGCTGCCTGTGAAGATGTCCATGAACCGTCCGAGAGGACCAAAGACGAGCTTTAAGCGTGCATTTGGAGAGGGCAATGTTGGGGCGCAACAAGGGATGTTTTCACTTTTTGAACAGAAAGATTATGGGTTGGTATATACTTTATGTACTGTGCATAGAGCGAGGCATGATGTCAATTCAGAGAATCGAGATATTCAACTTCAAGTATTATCCGCCTCATCACAACGCAGGATTGGTACAGCCGATTCCACTGCTGAAAGCTGGAAGAAGAATGGTATCATGATATTTATGCTCATCCACACGTCGCCATCTATTAGTACACTGCCGTCTAAATCATTGTGCGGCAGCGGCCAATTTTCGCCGTTTGTTCCGCTCTTCTTGCTCAGCAAGCACTTTTGCGGTGAGTGACGCTGTCATGGGATTGTTAATGCCGCTCACCCGGCTGGCGATATCGGGTTTCGATGGTACTTTTGATGACGTCTGCTGTTCTCCTGGCGGCGGCTCCTTGGACTCTTGTTCCCTGGCCGTTCTGTTTCCGTTCGCCTCATCTGCCTTTCGCTTCTTCTTCCCCAAATTCTTGTCTTTTTTCAGGTTGTGAGCTAGCCCCTTGGACGCGAGTTCCGCGATCCTTGCGCTTAACGCCTCGAGGTCGCTCTTCTCGGTCGGGAGGATAGGGATGACGTCTCGCCGCTGAAACACCTCGCTACACTCGGGGCAGACGTCTTCGTGGATCTGCTTTATGGCTGCCTCGGCAAAGACGTGGCCGCATGGCACCAGGTACACGGCCCTTGTGGCGGCGCCTAGCTCTTTGAGCGACACGGGGCAGGCCCAGATCGCCTTGCCCTTGTCCTTGGTACCAGGGGGCACATAGCGTCTGAACTTGAGTTTTACCACGTCGCGCAGCGATTTGATACCCGTTGCCGCGAATGTCAGTTCTGGCGACTCACCGTTCGCATTCACGAGCGCCGGGGCTGCTGTCGCGCCGTTGTGGTCGGCGTCATCGCCGCTTGGCATCAGGCCCTGGAGTATCGACTCGTAGTTGTAGAGACGGCCGCGCCAGTCGGACACCACATTCTCCATGTCGAGAGGTTCTGATGTCAAGGGATCGTGGGCCCACGCATGGCTGAGGTTCTCGAGCGCGGTGGCTTTGAGTTCGCTTACTGTCGGTGTACGGGCCGCTGATTTGACGAGCTCGCGGCGGGTAGGGATCGAGCCCCCGTCGTTTCCCATCGCGGAAAGCGAAAGTTGCCAGAAAGGTTCGGAAAGTCTGCCCAGAGTAATGGCAAGGAAATGCGCGTTTCTCGACTAATCTTGCCGAGTGTCGAGTCGGAAGATCTGGCGTCTGCGTTGTAGCAGAGGATATTCAACGAAGCAGAGTGGCGACCTTTGGGTGATGGAGAGCAAACCAAAAGAGTTGATAAGATAGCTCAGAAACGTCGCTGCTTGTGTTAAGTTGTGGCGCAAATCGCACTGTCATGCGCGAGCTTGGCGGGCTGAAGCGCGGGTTGGGCAGGGAAAGGGGCTGACCCACGCGACCACTTCAGGCTGGCCGAGGTTCCAGATACATCAATGCGAACCCACTAGTGTAAGCTTACATGTGTAATGTAATGCACTCGTATCACATGTAAGATTATACAAAATTACGACCATTACCATTCCGCTGTTACGGTACATACTAACTTGTATGTATGTACTGTACTATATACATACATCCCGTCATTACAACACGGCTTCCTGGTGATTTTTAGCGCGTGCCATACGCTCAATACCCTGCGAATCGCATCTGCTTGCTACATCATCATACAAATTCCAGAGCTTCAGCGAGTCTATCCATATCGCAGACACAGAGGTCTGCATGGCGCAGCTGTGCGTCTCATTAGAACAAACTCTCGAAAAGCTCTTAATCTGGACGGTCGCGCCAGTCAACCGTACCTCCCCAGCATTGACGTCGCCCCTAGCCTCGTGCGCGGCAACATCCTGACGAGGCTACGAGCTACCAATTACCTTTACAAAGGAGACTCGACTGCCTCGTCACGTTCCAACCACGAGGGCATCCGAAACCGAGCGCTCAGAACCGGCTCACCCTCATTCTCATCCAACATTCTATGATAGGAAATTAAACGGGCAACCTTCCTTCCAACACCGAAACTGAGCGTGCAACGCCCCACCTCTTGTCCCAAACCCTCGAAAACCGACTATGGGCCATCGACAGCCGATGCAGCGCCCGCAAGCTTGACGAGACTGTCTGCTGCTCTCTGAAAAGCTGAGAGACACACAGGCCGGACAAGATGTCCATCACCAAAGATCAGGCGGCCAGCGCCCTGGACCAGTATATTAAGGAAGTCAGGAATCGGTGCGTTACTCGTCGCTCGTCAATCGTCACTCATCGGCCCTTTGCCTTGCCTGTCCTCTCGCCGTATCCATACCTATAGTTTCCTCGTTGTCAGCTGTTCGAGCTTCTGGCTGACCAATGTTCTCCGCATCAGGAACTATCCAGAAGATCAGCGGAAACGCGCCGCTCGCCAGGTTCGCGATGTGGTCAATATTGCGAAGCAGGGTGGGTGTTTTAGGAATCCTAGACCGATCAGTGGGTTGGCAAGGTCTAACTTTTTTGCAGAAATGGGCGCTGAGACGTTCCAACGCTTCTTCGATATGGTTAATCAGAGAACCATGGCCCTCATCCAAAGCACCGACACCTACGACAAGATGGGAGGAGTCTACATCCTCGATGCTCTCGTAGACTTTGACGGCATCGAACCTGCGCTGAAATACAGCCGCTTCCAACAATACATTGGCATCATTTTGCGTGGAAAGGATCTGAACCCGATGCAACCTGCCGCCGTGGTCCTCGGGAAGCTATGCAAGCCCGGCGGCTCCCTGATCTCGGAGTTAGTCGACGCCGAGGTGCAGACGGCCCTCGAGTGGTTGCAGTCGGATCGAGTTGAGGAGCGACGATACAGTGCCGTTCTGGTCCTACGAGAGTTGGCGAGAAATTGCCCGACACTCATGTACCCATATGTGGGATTCGTCTTCGACCAGATATGGATCGGGCTGCGGGACCCTCGCCACTTGATCAGAGCGACCTCAAGCGAAACCGTCAGTGCTTGCTTCAAGATCATTCGCGAGCGCGACCAGGAGATGAAGCAGGAGTGGATGGATAAGATGTTCGCGGAAGCTGTCAAGGGCCTCAAGACCAATACAGTCGAATACATCCACGCCTCGCTCCTTGTTCTCAAGGAGCTCCTCGAGCAAGGAGGCATGTACATGCAAAACCACTACCAGGAAGCTTGCGAGATTGTCTTTCGTCACAAGGACGCCCGCGACCCCGCCATCCGCAAGACGGTAGTCCTCCTCATCCCGGATCTAGCCAACTACAACCCAACCGAGTTCGGCGCGAGCTACCTGCACAAATTTATGGTCTATCTGTGCGGCATGCTCAAGAAGGACAAGGAGCGGAATGACGCTTTCCTGGCCATTGGCAACATTGCCAATTCGGTCAAGAGCTCCATCGCGCCCTACCTTGACGGCGTCCTAATCTATGTCCGGGAAGGGCTCAGCGTCCAGTCCCGCAAGCGAGGCTCCGTTGATCCCGTCTTTGACTGCATCAGCCGGCTGGCAGTAGCTGTGGGTCAGACTCTAAGCAAGTACATGGAGGCGCTCCTAGATCCCATATTCGCCTGCGAGCTCACGCCCAAGCTGACCCAGGCTCTGGTTGACATGGCTTTTTATATCCCGCCCGTCAAGGGCATCATTCAAGAACGGTTACTTAATATGCTGAGCAAGGTCCTGTGCGGCGAGCCATTCCGACCCCTGGGTGCACCACATCCAACCCCAATCTCCTCAATCCCGCCCATTCCCAAGGACCCAAAAGATCCATCTGTTCACGAGAGAGGGAAGGCAGAGGTGAAGCTAGCATTGAATACCCTCGGCAGCTTCGATTTCTCGGGTATGTTTCCTTTCCCGTCCCTTCACTGTTGCCAACAAGTCGTGCCAAAGGCACCTCTTGGGAGTAAACATTATTGACTCGAATCCGCAGGCCACGTTCTAAACGAGTTCGTCCGTGATGTCGCGATCAAATATGTCGAAGACGATGATCCCGAAATCCGCGAGGCCGCTGCCCTCACATGCTGTCAACTCTACGTCCGCGATCCGATCGTCAACCAGACGAGCTACCACGCCTTGCAGGTTGTCGCCGATGTGGTTGAGAAGCTCCTGACCGTAGGTGTCTCCGATCCTGAGCCAAAAATCCGTCGGACAGTCCTTGCCGCCCTCGACGAGCGATTCGATCAGCACCTCGCAAAGGCCGAGAACATCCGAACCTTGTTCTTTGCCCTGCACGATGAGCAGTTTGCGGTGAGGGAGGTAGCCGTGTCCATCATCGGACGCCTGGCTCGCCACAACCCTGCATATGTCATACCCCAACTACGCAAGACCATCATCCAGATGTTGACCGAGCTAGAGTATACCGACGTGGCAAGGAGCAAAGAGGAGAGCGCAAAGCTACTCAGCCTTCTTACCCAACACGCTCAGGATCTCGTCAAACCCTACGTCAGCTCCATCACCGAAGTCCTCCTGCCAAAGGCTTCCGATCCGACTCCCTCCGTTGCCGCAACCATCCTGCAGGCGATTGGCGAGCTGTGCACTGTTGGCGGAGCAGAAATGCTCGCCTACAAGGATACGCTCATGCCCGTCATCATTGATGCGTTGCAGGATCAAAGTGCACCGATCAAACGCGAGGCTGCTCTTCATACCCTCGGCCAGCTCGCGAGCAACGCCGGCTACGTCATCAAACCCTATCTCGAATACCCACAACTGCTCGAGATCCTCCAATCTATCATCAGGGGTGAGCCGCAGCATGGCCCTCTCCGACAGGAGACCATCAAACTCATGGGTATCCTGGGAGCACTCGATCCTTACAAGTACCAGGTACAGCGCATAAGTTCATTTATTCCCCCTCATCACGCCCATTTCTCAGTCTTGTCATTTGCCAGCCCCACCATGACAGACTCGGACGAGGAGGAAGACGGGGAGGATGTTTCCCATCCACTCTCCCCACTGGAGCGGACTAAACAAAATTTCAGCAGGATGTCGCGAATAAGGGCTAAAAATCAGAAACAGCAGGTCGAAGAGCGAACGCCGCAGACCCAACGTCGCCCCGAAACCGCACAGCAAACCGATGTGTCCCTCATGATGAGCGGTCTAACTCCGTCGCAGGAAGATTACTATCCGACCGTTGTGATCAACGCCTTACTCCAGATCTTGAAAGACCAGTCCCTCGTTCAATGGCATGGTAATGTGGTCGATGCCATCATGAGCATCTTTATCACGTTGGGACTCAAGTGTGTCCAATTCCTCGACCGGGTAGTTCCCGCCTTCATCGCCGTCATCCGGGCCTCAAGTCCGGCTAGGCTCGATTTCTATTTCAACCATCTTAGTAGGCTTGTCAGCATCGTGCGTCAGCATATTCGTGTGTACCTCCCGGACATTATCGCTGTTCTGCAGGAGTTCTGGAACACGACGCCTTCCTTGCAGACAACTATCATATCCCTCATTGAGTCCATCGCTCGCTCGCTAGAAGGCGAATTCAAGATCTACTTGGCAGGTTTGCTTCCGCTCATGCTTGGGTTGCTGGAAAAGGACAACAGTACAAAGCGGCAGCCCACTGAGAGGATTTTTCATGCTTTCCTGGTCTTTGGGTCCAGCGCCGAAGAATATATGCACCTTATCGTCCCGATACTTGTACGTTTGTTCGACAACCCCGCGCAGCCCATGTTCCTGCGGAAGTCGGCCATCGAGACTATCGGCAAGCTTTCCAGCATGGTGAATCTTAATGACTACGCCTCCAAGATCATCCATCCCCTGACTCGGGTCCTCGCCAGTCAAGAGCCCAGTCTCAGAGTGGCCGCATTAGACACCCTGTGCGCGCTGATGCTTCAGTTGGGAAGGGATTATCTGCACTTTGAGCACACGGTGGAGAAGGCCATCCAGATGTACTCTATCCAGCATTCCAATTACGACAAGGCGGTTGAGAAGCTCAAGAAGGGCGAGGCGCTCCCTCCAAATCTGGCTCCCCGGTTTGAGGACAGTCCCGCAGAACCGTACACAGCCGAGAATAACCCTCCTAAGAAGCTTGACTTGAATCCCATGCACCTGAAGCAGGCATGGGAGACGAGGGGCAAGTCAACCAAGGATGACTGGCATGAATGGTTCCGCAAGTTCAGCACGACCCTACTTTCAGAGTCGCCGAATCACTCATTGCGGGCCTGTGCGAGCCTGGCGAGCAATTACCAACCTCTGGCAAGGGAGCTCTTCAACTCTGCATTCGTCTCTTGCTGGGGTGAGCTCTACGACGGACACCAGGTAGGTTCTTTTCCTAGGCATCCATCAGTGATTGAGACCTGTACGGCTAACCCTATCTAAGGAGGAACTGATCACAAACATTGAAAACACAATTAAATCGGAGAATGTACCCCCTGACCTCCTGGGTCAGCTTCTTAATCTCGCTGAGTTCATGGAGCATGACGACAAGGCGCTTCCCATCGACATCCGAGTTTTGGGACGCGAGGCTGCGCGATGCCACGCGTATGCCAAGGCTCTTCATTACAAGGAGCTCGAGTTCTTGCAAGACCACAACAGCCACGCTGTTGAGGCCCTCATCGTGATCAACAATCAGCTGCAGCAATCGGATGCCGCCATCGGGATTTTGCGCAAGGTCAAGGCCTACAAGGACGGGATTCAGCTGCGCGAGAGCTGGTTTGAGAAACTCGAACGGTGGGACGAAGCACTTAACTTCTACTGTCAGCGAGAACGGGAAATCCCGGAGGATCAACCCATTCCCGTCGACATTGTCATGGGCAAGATGCGCTGCTACCATGCCCTGGGCGAGTGGGATTCACTTGCCTCGCTGGCTGGCAGGACCTGGGCGAACTCAGGGCCGGAGATCCAGCGAAGGATTGCCCCCTTGGCGACCACAGCCGCATGGGGCTTAGGGAAATGGGACTCGATGGATATTTACCTGCAGTCTATGAAGAGGTTCTCACCAGACCGCGCTTTCTTCGGCGCCATCCTCGCCCTGCATAGAAACCAATTCCGAGAGGCATTGGCCTGCATCGAACAGGCTCGGGAAGGCCTCGACACAGAACTCAGCGCACTGGTCAGCGAATCTTACAACCGCGCGTACCAAGTCGTCGTGCGTGTCCAGATGCTGGCCGAGTTGGAGGAGCTCATTGTCTACAAGCAGTGTGGCCCGGAGAAGCGAGCCACCCTGCGCGCAACCTGGGAGACTCGGTTGAAAGGGTGTCAACGCAACGTTGAGGTTTGGCAGCGGATGCTCCGGCTGAGGTCCCTCGTCCTCACTCCGCCTGAAAATATGCACATGTGGACCAAATTTGCCAATTTGTGCCGGAAATCCGGGCGTATGGGCCTCGCTGAGAAGTCGCTGAAGCAACTCATAGAGACTGATGCGCCGTTGGAATCAGTCATACCCTACTGGTACGACCGGCAAACCAGTCCGGCTCCCGAGAGAATTGCCTCTCCAGTACTGTATGCGGTGCTTAAGTTTCAGTGGGAGATTGGCCAGCAGCCGGGTGTCCGGGGTTCGGACCGTGGCATAGCTGAGAGAACCCTCTACTGCCTCCGCAGGTTCACCGAAGACACAGCGCATCGCGTGGAGAGCGCAAGGCTGCAGTTGAACGCATCTGCTCAGGCGGCCAATGGCATTTTGGATGGACACGGTCACGGACTGAGTCAACCCAGGTACGCTGAGTTCGACGAGGCAGCAATATTGAATCCAGACGCGCAGCGGCAGTGGGTTGAGCAGACGGTGTTGCTCGCGAAGTGCTATCTTCGTCAGGGCGATTGGATGATCACTCTGAACAACAGCGACTGGCAGTACACGCGGCGCGCCGACATTCTCGACTGCTATTCCAAGGCTACTCACTACAATCCGAGGTGGTACAAGGCCTGGCACGCTTGGGCTCTCGCCAACTTTGAAGTTGTCCAGGCTCTCGCATCCCGGAAGGATGCGGAGGGCCGGACCGAGCACAGCATCGTCCTCCAGCACGTTGTCCCCGCGGTGCAGGGATTCTTCGAGTCTATCGCTCTCTCATCCGGCAGTTCCCTGCAGGACACTCTTCGGCTCCTTACCCTTTGGCTGACGTACGGGGGCTATCAGGAAGTTAACAACGCCGTAACTGAAGGCTTCGCCCGCGTCAGTGTCGACACGTGGCTCGAAGTCATACCCCAGCTCATTGCCCGCATCAACCAACCAAACAGGCGGGTACAGGCATCAATTCATGCCCTTCTGTCTGACGTTGGCCGTGCACATCCGCAGGCGCTTGTGTATCCCTTGACAGTGGCCATGAAGTCTCGCCAGAGCACACGGCGATCCAAGACAGCACAGAACATTATGGAAAGCATGCGTCAGCATAGCCCCAAGCTTGTCGAGCAGGCCGAGATCGTGAGCCGCGAGCTTATCAGGGTCGCCGTTTTATGGCACGAACTCTGGCACGAAGGGCTGGAGGAGGCTTCGCGCCTCTACTTTGGCGATCAGAACATCCAAGGGATGTTTGACGTCCTTGAACCTCTTCATGAACTGCTCGAGAAAGGACCGCAAACGCTAAGGGAGGTTTCGTTTGCGCAAACGTTTGGGAGAGACTTGGGCGAAGCGCGCGAGTGGTGTAGGCAATATCGCATCTCGCATGACGTGAACGACATTAGCCAGGCTTGGGACCTCTATTATCAAGTCTTCCGCCGAATTACCCGACAGCTGCCCCAAATGACAAGCCTCGAGCTGACTTACTGCTCGCCCGACCTGCTGCAGGCCCGTGACCTCGACCTTGCAGTACCCGGCACCTACCGCAGCGGCCAGGAGATTGTTAGGATCATGTCGTTTGACGGCACGTTCAATGTTATCAATTCCAAGCAGCGTCCGAGGAGGCTTGACATTATTGGCAGCGACGGTAAAACCTACACTTTCCTGCTCAAGGGTCATGAGGACATTCGGCAGGATGAACGTGTCATGCAGCTTTTTGGCCTGTGCAACACGCTGCTCGCCAACGACTCGGAGTGCTACAAGCGCCACCTCAACATCCAGCGCTTCCCAGTGATCCCATTGTCTCAAAACTCTGGCCTCATCGGATGGGTACCCAACAGCGACACGGTTCACCAGCTTATTAAGGATTACAGGGAATCGAGGAAAATTCTCCTCAACATTGAGCATCGGATCATGCTTCAGATGGCTCCCGACTATGACCATCTCACGCTCATGCAGAAAGTCGAGGTATTTGGCTATGCACTCGACAATACCACGGGCCAAGACCTCTACCGGGTCCTGTGGCTGAAGAGCAAGAGTTCGGAAGCCTGGCTCGACAGGAGAACGAACTACACGCGCTCGCTGGGTGTCATGTCAATGGTCGGATACATTCTGGGTCTTGGAGATCGGCACCCTAGTAACCTGATGCTGGATCGGATCACAGGCAAGATCATCCACATTGACTTTGGCGACTGCTTTGAAGTGGCCATGAAGCGCGAGAAGTACCCGGAGCGGGTGCCGTTCAGACTGACGCGGATGCTCACGTATGCCATGGAAGTCAGCAACATTGAAGGCAGCTTCCGCACGACGTGCGAGCATGTGATGAGGGTCTTGCGAGACAACAAGGAGAGTGTGATGGCTGTGCTGGAGGCTGTGAGTCCCGACTCTGTTGCGCGATGTCTTGATTGGTATAGGGCAGACGCTAACCGTATATGCTTTTTCAGTTCATCCACGATCCACTTTTGACATGGCGGCTCACCAACCCGGCCAGCCCTCCGGGGCCCAATTTTGACTCGGAGCGCGAGCAAGCCATCGTGGGGCCGCAGGCAGCACGGGCTCGCCGGCCGTCGATACTAGACGCTCCCGTGGCGCCAACCGAGTTTCTAGCGGCCCAGGGCGGCGCTGTGGATGGCATTATGGGGGTGCCACCTGGAGCGCGCAATCGTGCGCGCACCAATTCCTCGGCCGTGCCCCCGGGCAGTATGGTCAATGGCAACGGGCCGCATGAAATGGCCGAGGTGCAGAACGCGCGGGCGGTGGAAGTGCTGGATCGGGTTGCGCAGAAACTCACAGGCCGCGACTTCAAGCCCAACGAGGAGCTCACGGTCACGGACCAAGTTAATAAGTTGATCATCGAGGCGACCAAACTCGAGAACCTCTGCCAGCATTACATAGGATGGTGCAGCTTTTGGTGAGACACGGGTTTCCCTCGAAGGTCTTTCTGGGCAAGTGGGAAGGAGTGATTGGCGTCTCTGGCTTGGGTTTATCACTATCCTTTTTACTTTTGGCCGGTATGTTTGGGAACACATGTCGAGAGGCGGTCTGGGCTGCTCGTAACCCGTCGGGCAGGTCCATTCATTGTAATATATTAGTGTTGCTGGCTTGTTTTTCTTCCTTTTCTTTCTACCTGGCCGTTACGGCACGGTGCTTCACAGTGCAGGGAGAAGAGTTGCGTTATTTGGCACATGGGATATGGTTTTCGATGGCTAGGGATTCGTTCTTGCGGTTTCCTTGTTGCTTGGCTTCCGCGTTCTAGACTTGGGTCCCGTGTTATGCATGGGAAGGGAGTTCAAGGTTCCCTGAGAGCAAAACCAATGAGCAGCTACATTATCAGCCCAGTGGGTTCTGGCATGTGCACCTGGTCTCGTTCTGCAAATCACCCACTCGTTGCTGTGCACTGGTTTGATTCGGTATGTCTTGGCAACAACACGCTGTCGGTGTCTAGACAAGTCGAGAGGCTTTGGGAGTCCACGGCGGTCCAACCCAGGAACCGGCTGTGTGCATTCAGTATAGATGTATGGACGCGGAGGTTCCTTATTCTGCCGTGGGCTAGGCGCCCGTTTCACTCACTCTCCCGGATATTGCTGCTGCCCCTCTCCACTCCGGCACTTACACGGCGCCTGGGTAATACCCGGGGCAAGTTTCTGGTCTAGGTAAGACCTGTTATTTGAATCCCCCCCGGCACTGGTTGCTTTTATCAAGACATATCGTATGCGTACTACTTGGCCTCCTAGCTTTCCACTAGATCTGCTCACAAGCAATCCTTAGCAAGCCTGCAACAACCCAGCTCAACTGACAAGAATAACAATGGTGCTGTCAATCAGACTCCGAGCTTGGGCGGCTCTGGTGGTGGCGGCTACGCAAACGGCCACGGTTCTGGGTCATCCCTTTATTAACACTAGTCCCCGGGCAGCGGCCGACTGCAGCAAGGAAGTGCTGCAAGCCGCAGCCGATGCCTACGTGGCGGCGCAGACGGCGGGGAACGTGACGCTGCTCGAGGGCGTGGTTGCTACCGCAGGGTGGGAGTATGAGCAGAACAACAAGAAGATGGAGGCCAAGGCGGGCGTGTTGGGCAAGGCGCTCAAGCCGGACCACCGGCGCACCAACTTTGACCTGGTGGCGTGTGCGACCTACACGGAGCTCATCAGCGCCTCGGACCCGGCCAACCCGTACGTCATGGGCGTCCAGTTACGGCATCGGGTGGAGGACGGCAAGGTGGTGTTGATCGACGTGATTGCGTCGACGACGGACTCGTGGCTGTTTAATGCGACGAAGACGCTGGAGTATGTCCGCCAGGAGAAGTGGGATGTTATCCCTGAGGAGAAGAGGGATAAGAGGGAGGTTATCAAGGCCGCGGGGGATGCGTATATGGATATGTGGTGAGTGTCTATCAACTAGATCTTTCCTCGAGTAAGTGCTGACATGGCTGGTCCAGGAATGACTCGACGGCGGCCGATAAGGTTCCCTGGGGAACGCCATGCACCCGTCTGGAGGGATCGGCGTACACCGGCCGGGGACAGCCGGACGACTCGTGCAAGGCCGGCATTCCGTCAAACCATAACCAGGCGCCGAACACGCGCCGACGTTACGTTATTGACGAGGCAATGGGGTCGATCACCATTTTCTGTGTTTGGGAGCACATGATGATGGCGGCCGACAGCCACGAGTTCCGCTTGGAGAATGGCAAGCTGCGCTATGTGCACACCATGACCGAGTGCGGCGGCCGGCAGTGCAGGCTGTAGCGATAGTTTGGCTATGGCACTATAAGTCTGAAAAGTGATGTTGGAGAAATGTCAGGAGCACCACTTGGTAGCATAGGTAGTAATCACGGGAGCTGTCAGAGGGGATCTAGTAGCTCAACTCGACTCTTTTGACCACACAGCCTCGTCATACTCGTCCATCCACTGCGTATATTCCGGGCCCGAGGTTGCCCATCCCTTGATTCCGCCAACCAGGACCAGACTTTGCATATCGTGGTCGCCCTGGTCGGAGAGAAGATCGGCAAACCACCCAGCAGCGCGAGTTCCTCGTCCGCGTGAGGAACCTGCCGTTCACTGTCAGCTTACCTTTTACTTGAGTTTCCTATGTGTATAGCTAAGGTGCTATACTGCCAACTAGGCCATGATCATCATGGATGCACATACCGCAATACCAGATGACTTTCCGCAGGCCTGCTGCTTTCAAAACGGAATACAGCGTTGGAAGAGTAGGGTACAGGCTCTGGGCAGGCAGATTGATGGATCCGCGAATAGTGCCACCCTGAGACACATGTTAGAAGTTGAGTGACAATTGAATAAATCACTGCAACCGTGATATCCGCTTACCTCATGATCGTTGCGACGAAGATCAACGAGAACAAAGTCCCGTGGTCCACTGGCCTTTCCGTCGGTTACAACTAGCTTGCTCTTGAGCAGGTCAAGCACCTCTTCGCGTGTTATGCCGTCTGGTTGGGAGTTCCTGGGGGCTGGGTACGCGGCATGCCACGGCGGTGACGATGTCGATGCCGCCGTCGCTGTGGCTTCGCTGGGCTGGGGTGCAGACATGGTGAAGGAAAGGTTGATAACCCTTGAGAACTTGAAAAACTCGACTCTGAAATGCGATGTGTTACTTATGTATCACTTGGTAACTAGTAGGTACCCAACCCTACTCCATCCCCAAGGAGAGAATCTCAGGTAGGTACCTGGGTACTTATGGCATCGTTACTGGAAGGTGCAGACCCCCTGCATTGAGCGAGTTATGTCACTGCCCTGGTGTGATTGGTCACTGAGTTCAGCATGGTTCCGCCACACAGTTGAACCCATCCAAGATCTGGGGCATCCCAATTCAGCTGAGGCTTGCAAGAAACCTGTGCTTGTACTGTATGTATGTACATGCGATTCACGAAAAGTATGTTCACGTAATCGCTGCCGTTCTCTCATAATTGCCGTGGAAAGCACTACCGGCACGCTGGACCCAATGAGAGAGCACCCTCGCTCCCACAGTCTCGTAACCTCTTTTTGCTCATAACCGTGCGAAGTGATTTCGAGGCCAAAGGGCACCAGCCCCCGTGTAGCGAAAAATGGTTGAGAAGGCGAGTAGGACACACCGTTAATAGCGCTTTTCCTAATCAATTAGCAGGAATGTTAAGTAGTACTAACATCATGATGACATTTACACAGGCACACCAAGATTCCTCTGCCGCGGCAAGGATACGCAACAACCAGCGACGAAGCCGCGCTCGCCACCGCGAGTTCGTCGAGGAACTCAAGGCCAGGGTCCGCGACTATGAGCGTCAGGGCGTCCAGGCCACCCTCGAGATGCGCGAGGCCGCTCGCAAGGTCGCGCTGGAGAACTCGAGACTCAGAAGCCTGCTCATGTCACGCGGAATCACCAGCGACGAAATCAATCACTACCTGGCATCTTTCGACAGCCAACTCCAAGCATCAAGGATTCCCACCCCATCTGTGCCAACACCGCCGCCCCAGCCTCGACGCGCAGACAGAGACAGGGTGCCCCCGCCTGTACTTGTACCAGTCTCAGAACCGCCATGCCAAAACGTTCCCGAAAGGGTCCCCAGCTGCCCGCCCATGACCAGTAGCAGCATCACATGCCCTATAGCCTTCATGCCGAATCCAGCGGGTCATCAGCAGACAACAACACCAGTACTACTACCTGTAGATGATGATTCTACTAGTAGTAGCAGTGCTACCGGGTCAGAAATGCTACTCCCCGAAGGGGAGCGGACGGAAACATCTGTCAACAACAACATGAACCTGGACGCACCAATCTCGGCCCTGGATACGCTTGCTGTCGCAGCAGGGGCCGATTCGCTGCAGAGCTGCTGCGGGCCCATCACTCAGTGCTCACCGGCTGCCGCCGGGGATGGCATAGTATTACCACAGGCTCAGCTGTGCAGCAGACCAGCCGAGTCTGCACCGCCCGATCCCATCCCAAAGACGCCAACCCCGACAGCGTCGCATCTTGAGATGTCGTGCACTGCTGCCGCTCGTATTGTGGCCTCCATGTACAAGGATGGAAGTGAGGAGCTGGCGCGCGAAGCCCTGGGGTGCTCTGGGCCTGATGAGTGTCTGGTGAAGAATACGGTTTTGTTTCAGCTGCTGGATCGTTCATAGCACGGGGTTTGTTGAAACTATAAGATACCATCTAGGAAACAGGACCGGTGCTTACCTATGGACGGGGGATACGAACCCCAAATTCAGCAACGCGAGACAACTTAACTTTTAGAGGATGATACGGGGGGGGGAGGGTAAGATATGGCTCAAATAAATATAGCCAGTCGAGCTAGAAATAGACGTGAATCAAAGGAATTATTCCTCGGACCAGTATTCCAAATCACCACGGCGATTGTTTTGCTGATGTCTGACACGAGACAGATATGGAGACCGTTTGCAATCAAAAGCGGGTCGTCACTGAATTTGCATCTTAACGCCAATCACCGTCAAGAAGTGACATCCAGGGCGCTGGAGCTGAGCTTGCCTTAGTGCGGTTAAACTCTACTCTACTCCGTACACTCCGTACTATCACTCAACGGACCAGGGAAACGGGAACCTCTATAAGGAACCTTCGCTCTTGGGCTCTTGCCACTTTTCTTTCTACCGGCTGCCCATGGATATACGGCATTAATACTTAACTTTAAGCTGTCAGTTCATACACTCAAATGACATATAGTACCCCTGAGTAATATTGGCTTCCTCGATCCGCTGTCATAGAATATCTCTTCAAGTTACCCTTTCCCAGAAGCGCGCTCCAGAGCCTTGATGGTCCGTCCCTGATACACTCTTTACACCCTTCCATGCTCTCTCTCTCTTTTCGGCCGTTGAGGAGCACGCTTGTTCCAGCCGTCCAGCGCACATTAGCTCAGCAAGCCTCCCCGTCGGCACACATCCGGCCCATCATGGGCGATCTGAACAACACAGGGGCCGCAAGAGAGCGCATAGTTCCTACTGTCGACCCGTCATACAAGTTTCGCTCGTTTGCAATAAGCCTACGCGATGACGACCCCGTCGTGCGGGAAAAATATCGTCCATTCCTCATAAGCGACGCGGTGCATGAATCCGACTGGATTGCGAAGCTTGAACTTGCCACGGTGGCCGAAATGGTTGAAAGAGAGATTCTCTCCAAGGGAAAGGACAGGCTGCGCGTTCTCGTGCTGTATGGAAGTCTCCGGTCACGGTTCGTTGCCTCTTTTCTGCCCTATGGGGAATTCTTATGCGGTATCCTACTACTAGTATTACCAGTCCTGACAAAAAATTGAAACCATAACTATCCGATTGCAGATCATACTCGAAATTGCTAGCATATGAAGCCTCTCGCATCCTCTTCCGCCTTGGCTGTGACGTGCGAGTGTATGATCCTGCCGGCCTGCCGGTCAAGGACGATGTCCAGCACAATCACCCAAAGGTGCAAGAGCTCCGTGAGCTCAGCAAGTGGAGCGATGGCCACGTCTGGGTGACCCCGGAGCAACACGGCAACCTGGTATGACCCCTCTTCCCAAATTGTCCTTCAGACATGATGCAATATGGCAGCCTGTGCTAACCCATTCCCCCGTCTCCCCCGCGTCACAAGACGGCCGTCTTCAAGAACCAGATCGACTGGATCCCGCTCTCGACGGGGTCAGTCCGGCCTACGCAGGGCAGGACGCTGGCCATTGCCCAGGTCAACGGGGGATCGCAGTCCTTCAATGCTGTCAACTCGCTGCGCATACTGGGCCGATGGATGAGGATGTTTACCATACCCAACCAGAGCTCCGTCCCCATGGCCTGGACGCACTTTACCGATGCTGATGACCCGGCAGAAGGGGGGAGCCGTTTCAAGCCCAGTTCCAACAGAGACAGGCTGGTGGACTGCATGGAGGAGTTTGTCAAATATACCATCGTCATGCGGCCGCATTTCGACCTTTTCGGAGACCGGTTTAGCGAACGGAATGACGTGAAGGGAGCGAGCTAATTAGTGGCCTTTGATGGCGATACTGGCGATGCTTTAGAGTGCTTACTAGTAACTACCTGAAGTATCAAGCGGTGGAACACTTATCCTCAAAACTCCCCTTACCCTGTTTGAACGCTACCGTCTAGTAGTATATGTGTAGAGCTGTCTCCTAGTACCTGCCACGCCGTTCCTTTGCCGCCTATTAAAGGGATCAACGCTGCCACTGCTACTCAGCTGTGTTCTCGCTGTCTCCGTACCTGCCCGGATTGCCCTGGATGCTCAACCAATACAGTCACCTCGAACGGATCTGGGCACCAACCCCTCGATGCTGGAAAATATCGCCTTTGTTTGAATCCAGAAGTGACACGTTTCGAGTTTCCTCCCGCGGGCTAACAACTGGGTCTGGTTAATGTCGCGAGTCTCGGACAGGCATCGACCTCCTGAACTCCCTTCTGCTCTCACTGTATGTCCGGATCGGACCTGTCTTTCTCCGTGGTGATATCGGAGCCACTTGTGTATCAGGATCGATGGCTCCAGTGCCGGCCTCGGCGATGTTTTTCCCATCTGGAGCGTGCTTGCTGATATGATCCTCCGTGGCTTTCCCTCCTAGAAGATATACCTGAGGCGACCGGAGCCATCGCATACTCATGGTTGATCTGGCACCGGCTCCAAAGATCCCTAAGCCGCGTAGCAAGACTGTCAGCCTTGATGCGCTCGCTGGGACTAACTCGGAGCATGTGCAACTCTATTATATCCAAAAAGTCGTGGACGAATTGAGTGCTTTCCCCGTCCACACGGAGCCTCGAGATTGCCTACGTTTTGTTAGAGTCATCCTTGTCCCCTTCTGTAGGATATGGTGCATTAGTTCAGGTACTTACACGTTGCACTGCTGGCTTCACCTTGGCCACCGGTGGCTCGTCCTCCCAGTCAATTGAATAGTAGGCGTCAGTGTAAAGCCAGGGCAGATGCCTAGTTTTGGCGTATCTTTCATCAGAGGATTCCAAAACGGACTTCCAGCCTCCCAAATACCACGTGATGAACTCCAGATATACACATCCGAGAGACCAGATATCTGAGGCCCTACTAATAGTGCCATGGGTCATTTCAAATTCTGGCGGGTTATACGTGTCGGTGCCCGCCAGATTGTATCTCCGGTCGTTAGACATGGACCTGCTCATCTTGGTATGGAGTTTGCCTAGGCCGAAGTCGCCGAGGACGAGAGATCCATGGTCATCAGGATATCGTGGCCCTTTGAACCAGAGAATATTTTCCGGTTTGATATCCCCATGGCGCCCATATCTTCTTTCCGCGGTATCCTGCGATGACTCCTCTGCGTCCAGGGGTTCATCGCTCGAGTGAATCTTTGCCAACGCTTGAGCAATGCCGGCGCACTGCTCCGCAACCCAGAGAGTCATCTTGTAGTCCGCTTTGGGCGGCTGAGGGTGGAATTCCTTCCAGAATCCCAATAAATCTCCCTCTGCCCATGGGAAAATGAAATAGTACCTCTGTCAATACTGATATGACGCTAGCAAGGAAATGATATGCGAGTCAGCACCACGGAACTTTTTCAATAAATTGGCTTCCCTGTGAAATGTTTCTGCAGACGTGGAATGTAATGCTTTCATTGCAAAGCTGTTGTTCCCCGGCGTGTACTTTCCAGTTGTATCAGTAACGTCAAGCCTGCAACGGTCCGAGCAATATTCCACTTACCTTGGCGAAACGATGGTGGTCTGGGTGAATTTTGACTTTCCGCACGCTAGAGTATCCACCGAACACTTCCTCGTTACGAGAATACGAGTCCTCGGCAACGAAGGGAAGTATTGCATGGTCGCTTAGCTCGTACGGCGTCTGATGGTCGGCAAAGATCGGGGCCAATACGGCCCATTGTCGATCTGTGAAGTACTCTATTTCATAGTCATACCACTCTCGTACACAAGCCAAAGGGAGGCCTGGGTCGGTCCTGCGATATAGAAAAAGGTGTTCGTTCGACCACTCGCAGGATAGTGGCAAATCGATATCACAGACTTCCTCTTGGAGAAACTCTGTGATCGTTTGCGCTTTTTTCATGAGAACCAGCAGAGCAAATACCCTCTTGAAACTGCCGCAGACCCTTTCGACAATGGCATGAAGGTTGGAGTTTGGCGATGAGGCAACCTGATATGCAGAGTCTATTCGCTTCCAGTCTGCTGACTGAAGGAGCAGCCTTGCAACTGACTCTTTAGTGATGATGGTATTGAGTTCGCCGTCCGGGAGAAATCGCCCCCTTTCCCCTTGGACCATTGCTTTGCGCAACTGAGCGTCCATGCTTGGAGAATCATACCCGAACACTGGTGTATCATTTACTGATATACTGGGAATTTGCACCAGAGCGGCGGGCAACTGATCCCCTGTTTCGGCTGTGGCGCAATCCGGATCGCGTGGCTCCGTCTGTTCCCCGGATAGGGCATGTTTGGCGTTCTCGACAGCCTGTTTCGGCGTATCTTCTTTGCTGGGAGCATCCAGACAGACACCAGTCGCAATCTTGCGAGTTGACGATAATCCTCCGTCTTGTGGAACCTCCTCTTGCTGGGTCTCGTTGCTGGGCACAGGAGCCGGCTCAGTCGGTGGTGTGATGCCAACTTCGTTGACATCAAAAGAAACCTTGATTTGCTTCATTACCTGCATAAGCGGAGAAACATAGACAAACCCAAGCGGGCTGGTGCCAATTACGTGGCCGTAGACTTCTCTGGTCTCTTGGTCAACAACTGCCGAACCACATTCACCCTTGGCAAGACCTTGGTATGTGATGTCAGTAGAGATACAGCAGAGCAGTAGTGGATAAGTGAAGATGTGCTCACCAGAGCCAAACCCGGAGTCGAGTATCACTGTCCAGACTTCGCACAGGTCTTTGCCAGGCGCAGACCCGATCATCGTCGGGATTGACATGATTTGCCCGGATATCACCCCCCGCAATCCGGAGATGAGATACACAGGTGCCAAATGACACCGGGGCTCCCGTGCAACCTGTCTCAGCATGATGTGAGATCCATAAAGGCCTTTGGGAAAGATTATATTGCCAGAGCCTATCGGCTTCACAGGTTCCTGCTGTTTGACGAGTGCCCAGTCCAAGTAGGGAGCAGTAGGATCAAGGTCCACCGAGCCCTCAACTCTACAACCTATCCAATCTTGCGTCGTGTTATCTTCAAGTTCTGACGCCTGCGGGGAGTTGGGAACCTGGATGTCACCCTGAATGAATGGCTCCATATCAGGAGGCGGATCGTAATCGAGGTACTCTTCGCTGTCATCAAGATAGTATAAATTACCGAGCTCTTCCATATCCTCATCATTGAGCGTCGAGACATCCGAGTCGCTTGATCTTCCCAAGGATACTTCGGAGGCAGTATCTAAACATTCGTTCGACCGTGGCACGTTTGTCGTAAAGAGATGGTCGACGGTCAGGGCAAGCTCAACTCCGTCAGCGTATATACAGAGACCGAGCGTGGCCGTCCGGTCAAGGCTAGGTGAATAGAAGAGAGCGCCGCACAGAGTCAGGGGGGTGTTGGGACGGGCCTTCAAGAGTCCGGAAGCCGCAGCGCGGGTGATGGGGCCCCGTGGCGTTTGGTAGAACACGAGTCGAAGCGGTGGTACTCCCTCTTTACGGAAAAGGTGATAAGGTTTCGACTTTTTTCCAGAATAAAGTCTGTCCTGCAAGCGGCCCTTGAACAGTGCTCGGAGGGCATTGAAATCCCTGTCAAAGCAGGTGACAACGATGCTTGGCTCGGCCTCTTCTGGGGTTTTGCCGGTCATCAAAAGACTGTACGATATTACACACGCTCGATCTCGGACGCAGGGGTCTTCATCGACAGCCCTCTTCAACTCATTCGAGACAAATCTGAAGCGCTCGGCGTAGTCCGCTTGCTCCCAGTTTCCACTTTCTACCGGAGCGCGCAGGTAAATGCGCCTGTCCTTGCCGCGGGGAATAGGAATGCTGTCGGCATAGACCACTGAGTCTCGGGTTGGTTGCTTGGGAATCAGTAGGTTGGGTTCCTGTGCTGCCCCTTCTGGGCCTGTTGGTGCCGACATGGACGTTGGGGCCGGGTGAGTACTAGTAGATACTAGTACATCAGGATGTTGCCGTTGCTGCCACTGTTGAACCAGTGCTGAAAGGATGCCGCTACGCCGGTCAGGGCTCTGCCTCTGATTATTTTCATCCAGAGACGCCGCCAACACTGTTAAGTTTGCGGGCGGGATCGCATGGATGGGTCCATCTGGCGCCGGGTCAGGGGGCATCACGGACAGGATGGCAATCGACATCAAAAAGACTCTCTCGACGGGAGCGTCACGGTAGGAGTATTGATTGCTGCGTCTGCCAAAAACTAAAGACCCAGACAAATTTGTGCCTGTTTGTGACAAAATGGACGCGGGGTTTAGTTTATCACTTCTATGTGGCGGTTTGCGAGCATCACCTGCATGGGGCAATGCATTCCTGGCGCAAACCCGTACCGTCTAATTCGTCGGTGTGCGCCCCAGGTTCGGACCTCACTAATCGGGATACGTCACATACATACAGTGCCTACCTGTCATGCTGTCCTTCTAGGCACTTTCGGTGTTGAATGAATGTATTGGGTGTTACCCGACCGGTAACCGCAGACCAGAGTGTGTTTCAGCCCTGGCCGTTAGGAGGCCTCCACAACGTCAGAGCTGACAGGACAGGTCGGTACTCACTAAGAGACAAGACAGGGACAATAAGTTATTGCATGTGCCCCTTCTGAGTTCAGCTTCTCAGTCTGGGAACGGCACCTAGGGTTGGAAGCCATCTTCCTGCACACTTTACCGAGAAAGAATGGCAAATAACGCAGAATACCGAAACAGGATCTCGCAGGAGCTACTGTACAAGACTGGCGACTTTCGAGCGTACTTCAGGGTCTACGACGAGTTGTTCCAGTTCAGCATTGGAAGGCGTCTCGTCCAAATTGAGCACCCCCTGGAACCAAACCACAAGCCAATCGACCATGAGGCTATTCTGACCGGCACAAGAATTCTCAAAACCAATCCTGCGATTACACTGGATGGCGCTAGGAAGGAATTGCGGGCACAGCTCACAGGGCGCTACACAGAAGACGAGGTTACTTTTGCCATGAATCTCTCAGTTCAAGCCATGTTGATGATCGACTCCGCTGTGAACCACTACCGCAGTCCTGACTATAGCATTGGGAGATACAGCAATATCTCGTGGCGCGACAACGAGAGATTTGTTGACTATGTAATCCAGTGCTTCCCCCGGCTTTCGCCTGAATGACAAGACCATATTGACACGGTCCTCAGAGACAAGCGTGCTTTGAAAGCCTGGAAACTCAAGGAGAGGGCCGGCATCACATTCAAGGCCACAAACAATTTGGTTGATCACCTGCTCTTTGATCCGGCTACTCGTATCGTGTACCTGTTCCATCACTCAGCGTACATCAAAGCTCACCTGGACATGTGGCACCAGAAGGGTGCCACGGCTTGCAAGAATCTTGGACATGCGCAAACGCTAGAAAGGTCAGTTCGCTCGCAGCAGCAGCCTTACAGGGGGCTAACAGGCTTCCATAGCGGAACCTTGTGTCCTGAATTGCTGGTCGAAACCCTCCACTCCCTGCAGTCTGTCCTGTTCCGCTACGACGACAAGAGGTCCATGGATATTCTGAGACAGCTGGTCAAGAGAGATAGTTTTGACGAGACCTGTTCAGTCCACGAAGGGTACCGGATGTTCCAGGATTCCATCCAGGACATCAGATATCTCTATTGGGGAGAGAGGCTCGCGGTGCTCTATGATCTGACTCGCAACCGGCCCCCAAGAACCCGCTTTGAGAAGTGGATCAGGTGGCAGACCTCTGAGAGCAATGCTTTTATGGTCGCCATGCTTGCCCTCCTCATTTCCATTGTTGTAGGGGTTCTGTCGCTAGGATTGTCGGCATTCCAGGCATGGATAGCTTGGCAGGCATGGAAGTACCCTCCCAAAGATCCAGCAGCTCCTGAAGCAACGTTGACTGGCCCTATATGACGAAGGTTTGGTGGAGGCTTGGTTGGGCCAATGTAGAACTGACCCCAATCCTCGAAGGCAAGTGATTCTTGCAGTAGGAGCCGCTACTAATAAAAAAAA